GTTAGTGTGTGTGTGTGTGTGTGTGTGTGTGTGTGTGTGTGTGGAAAATTGAAACTCACCAGAGAATTCTCCGCAAGCCGCTGACCGGGACAGACGCGCCTCCCGGCTCCAAAGCTATAAGTCACCCGTCGGCGATTCTCGTCGTCGTCAACGTCGTCGTCGTTGTTATTGTCGTCATCGCGCAAAATTTGGACGTTGCTCTTGTTCTTACTACCAAACTTGTCGTCGAGGAACCTCTCGGGAATGAATTCCTCGGGTCTGTCGTACTCCGACACGTCCTGGTGGATGGACCAGGTGTTGGCAAACACGATGGTGCCTTTGGGGAGGACGTAGCCGTCGTAGACGTCGTCTTGGATCAGCATGTGAGGCACGCCGTTGGGGGCGACTGGTCGCCATCGTAGTGTCTATCGCAGTATTTCAGTCTCTCTCTTTTGAACTCGAAACCTTTTTGTCACAGCAAGCACACGCGTGTGTGTGTGTGTCTCTCACTCACCTCTGTCATTATTGCTTGCATGTAGGGAAGGTTCCTGATATCTTGGGAGCTAGGAGACCTCGAGGCCCCGCATACTTGATCTAGCTCTGCCTGTGCCCGTTTCAGGACTTCGGGGTACTTGATCATGGCTAGCACGAACGAGTGGAGGGTCGAAGATGTCGTGTCGGATCCTGCTTCCATCTACCCAACCAGAGATGTTAGTACTGTCTGACCCAAACCTCAAGCACAGCCACGAGAGAGAGAGATACCAAAATCCCCCCCGTGTATACAATCTGTTCGTCGTCAAGGCCGCTCTTCTCCTTCCCCTCCAGCAGCTTGTCCATGAAGCAAGGAATCCTGTCCTGCCTTCGACCCCGCGCCACCGTCTCATTGAGCAAGTTGGAATACAGCGTCCGCTGCTCCTGGCGAATCCTCGCCGCCCAGCGTTTCCAAGGGGCCAAGAACCCCGGGATATATTTGAAAAGAGGAAACGCGTCCACGGGCGGTGTGGCTCCCGGGGCGAGGATCGTGGTGAACTGCTCCTGCGCGTGGTAGAGCGCTTGGACCTTGGGAGCCTCGTAGCTCGCGCCTCTCTGGCCAAACACGGATGCGAGGATGACGGCCGTCGAGTACCGTCGGATGTGCGTGAAACACTTTTGCGGCGTCGTCATCAGCTCGAACAGCGTCTGCGCCGCTTCGGCTTCCTGCACGGGCAACAGACGGTCCACGGCCGTCACGTTCAACATGGCCTGGACGGCTTTCCGGAGGGTTCTCCAGCCCGGACCATAGGGGACCAGGAGGATGTGCGTTTCGTTGGGGCAGAGGAGTTGATTGCCCACATAGCTGTCTGGACGACTCGAGTAGAGAGCTCCGCGCTTATCGAAGAGTCTGTAATGATAGTCGTCAACACACGGTGCGTGGTCAACTCTCAGGTCCCCAACCTACTCTTTCACACTCTTGTAGTTGTTCAATACCACGACGTTCTGAGGACCCAGCTTGAGACCCACTACAGGGCCGTACTGTTTGCTCCACTCGTGAAACCTAGACAATTAGCCAATGTGCTGTCAACCCCCGGCCGGGGGGATCAAACTCACTTGATGAAAGGCTTTGTGAGAGGAAGCTGGTGTAGATTGCCAATGACTGGCAGTGTTGGTGGTCCTGGGGGAAACCCTCGAGGTCGACGACTGGCGGCAGCATATCGAGCGAGGACAAGAACAAACACCGCGGCGGATGCCAGAGCCAGCTTGCTGGCAAGGGAAATCAATGTCTCGTTCATGGCTGTTGGCCTGAGATTAGCTGGTCTCTCTAGCATGTCTCTCGCTCCTGGATTGTCTGTAGCGGTATCACTATATGATGCTTATCTTTTGTTACCTCCACCATCCCCGTGTCGCTGGAGCAATACCGTCTCGGCCATTCGGCGATCGATTCCTCCATGAACTCCCCATTTCGGGTTCTTGGCTGTGGGGAAGAGATCCACAGTGGTATACGAGGATAAGGTCCCCAGCGGAGAATCCCCCGCCTCCGTGCCGAACGTGTCGAACGAATACTTGTGAGCATTCTGGTGGTAGGCGTCATGTTAAATGGTCTGGGCAAGGTGCTCTTTTCGTGAGGCAAACTTCCCTGGTAGCGCAATAGTTGCTTCGACACGACGCCAGCATGGCTAAGGATCTGGATTTCCCCGTCATCATCGTGGGAGGTGGAGGATGTGGTTTGTCCATGTCGTCGTTCCTCTCTGACTATGGAATCGAGCACATCCTGTTTGACCGCAAGGTCGTGGCTTCGGCTCTGCCAAAGGCACATTATCTCAACCAGAGAACCATGGAGACGTTCAGGTTGCATGACATGCACAAAGAAATCCGGAAGAGAAGCTGTCCTCCCCACCTGATGAGCCAGGTCGCATGGGCTACCTCTCTTGGGGGCAAGGGACCTCTCGACAGAAAAGTGATTCACCAGTTTCCGTGCTTTGGTGGCGATGACGGCGATCTCAAAGCCCAAGCATACAAAAGAGACAGTGCCGAAGGGTCGGCCAATCTTCCACTCTGCAGGATGGAGCCAATCTTGCGGCAATTGGCCGAGGAAAGGAATCCTGGACGTATCCGTTTCGGCCACACCGTCGTCGACTTTCACGACAACGGTGATCACGTTGAAGTCACGGTCCAAGACGCCACCGGGAACCTCTCCACTTATCGAACGCGATATCTCATCGGCGCAGACGGTGGACGTTTCATCGGGCAAAAGATCGGTATCACTATGCAAGGCCCGACCGGAATCACGGACATGGTCTCTGTTCACTTCGGGGCAGACCTTTCCCAGTACTGGGACGAAACATTCTTTGCCTGCCATTTCATCAACGGCGAATGTGGAACCATCTTTGAGAGTGGTGCGATAGTCCCCATGGGCCCGAACTGGGGCCGGCAATCGGAAGAGTGGGTGATGCATTTCGGCTTTGCACTGGACGACGAAGCGAGACACCAGGAGGAAAAGCTGGTCCCTCGAATCCGCGACCTTCTCAAGATTCCCGATCTCGACATCAAAGTCCACAGAATCAGTCATTGGATCATCGAGAGCGTGGTCGCCGACAAGTATCGCGAAGGCCGCGTTTTCGTTGCTGGCGATGCCGCTCATCGACGCCCTCCAACCACGGGACTAGGCCTGAATACAGCGATAGAAGACGCACTCAATCTGTCTTGGAAGTTGGCCATGGTCCTCAGGCATAATGTGGACACCAAGATCCTCGACACTTATGAGCCGGAACGACGACCAGTCGGCCGAAGGAATGCTGATTGGGGCTTGTTCACGTTTGAAAACTCGGCGGTGATTAACGCGGCAATTGGCCTGGTGGCTGGACAGAAGGAGAAAAACTTGTCCAGATTCCAGGCCATGTTCGAGGACTCCTTGACCGGACGGAGCATCCAAGCACAGGTGAAGAAAATGATTGAATCTCAAAGCATCGAATTTGGAGCGCACGGGATCGAGCTTGGGTTCACGTACGAGCATGGCCTCAAGATCGCCGACGGCACCACAGCTCCAGAGGTAGATCCCCTCGGCCAGAGATATTTCCCGACGACTCGACCAGGGCACCGCCTCCCTCATGCATGGTTGGTTTTGGACGACCGTGTCATCTCCACGCAGGATCTGGTCGGGCCCAAAGGATCGTTTCTGCTTCTGGCCGATGACAATGGGCTCGTATGGACGGCAGCTGCCAAGCGATTGGTGCTTCGGTACAAGATTCCAATCCAGACGGCCCGGATTGGCGAGTCTCTAAGGGATATAACAGACCAGTGGCAGCGGGTGAAGCAGCTCGACGATGGGGGCGCGATTCTGGTCCGACCGGATAATTTTGTTGCCTGGCGATCGCGAGGACCGTCCAAGGCTAATGGTCAAGAGCTGGAGGACGCGTTTGTTGCGCTACTAGGTCTACCGCAGTTCGTTGTTGGGGAGTCGATATAGTAGCCAGTCAATGGGGAGAAGAACAATCCAAGGGCGATTAAGCGGTGGTGTAGGAAATAGCTAGCACTGTGCCAAGACACTAGTTAAAGGACTAACCCCATTTGGAATTCAGGACATCTTTAACGACAGCGAATGGAATTCTTATTGAAACACATCAAGACCTTCACCTATACGTCAATTTCAAGTTCGTGGATAGGTGTGCACCCTGATGATCAACATCCATATAACTTGATTCTTCTGGGGACGATCATGTGGCACGACTAACCAAAGGTCGTCTCGTATTGCATCGGCATTCGGGGAACTCGATGTCTCGTCACCGAAATTGTCCCTTCACTTACCTAGGTAGTGAACTCTTGACTGTCTCGTACATCTCGTACGAAGCATCATGAGTTCAGCATTGTGCGTTCCCTGAAAGCGAGTGGCGAGAGTTTGCTGTTGTACGACTTTAGGGACATAAAAGAGGGGGGTTGAATAGTCACCTCAAGACCACTTACAACCCTCTACCCAACTCTCAGCATATTCGCTCTACCTCTATCGCAACCCTACTCAAGGCTTCCTTGCAGAATTGCTATATCCTCCTGACATCAAAACCATGACGGCGCAGCACAACGGTACTACAAACAGTGTCAACGGCCACTCTCAGAACGGCGCACCACAAACAATCAAGGTCAAGTCGCCCATTTCTCTGGCCCACGTCGTGCTCCGCACGTCCAACTACGAGCCCATGGTACAGTTCTGGCAGGCCTTTCTAGGTGCCGAGATCTCCTTCAAGGGCGACCAGCTGGCCTTCCTCCGCTACGATGACGAGCACCACCGCATCGCCATCATCAACGTGCCCGGAACGGGGCCTAAGGTGCCCACCTCGGCGGGCCTGGAGCACATCGCCTTCACGTTCGAGACGCTCGACGACCTGACCGAGTCGTATCTGCAGCGCAAGGCGCTGGGGATGATGCCGTGCTGGTGCACCAACCACGGGCCCACCACCAGCATTTACTACAGAGACCCCGACGGGAATAGGATCGAGACCCAGGTGGACAACTTTGACACGGTGGACGAGGCGAATGCCTTCATGGCAGGCCCACTGTACAGGGAGAACCCCATCGGCACTGACTTTGACCCGGAGGATATGATCAAGCGGCTCAAGGCGGGAGAGGACCACAGGAGCATCAAGACCAGGGTCGAGATTGGAAAGAGGAGCTTGCCAGAGGACTTTTGAAGCGACAAAGTAACGTAGTGTCTTGCGTCTTGAGGATAATGATCTACATTCACAATGTTCTTTCGGCATATTCACGTATACTCCATGTCCCACCCGATTCTTTGACAGACATTCTTGATTTCGCCAGTAGATGGGGAGCCAGTAGTCGACGGTACACCAACCCCCTAGAGTCCAGGTCGACCACAAAGCCAACTAAACTGCAGATCTCTCGTGTCCTCGGCCATCTCTCACACATTCCCCACGCATGCGCCCCAACACCGTCCCCCACAAGACAAGACTGTCCTGTCCACATCATCGTCAATTGTGCGGAACGAGAACAATCAGCCGCAGAAGCAACACATCTCGGAGTTCGGCTTCTTGGCAGACCCGGATCCACTTGTGGGGGAACAAGCGGCGCACATCTGGGGTAAAAACGACCGGGGTTGGAAGTGTCCAGGCAAGGGGTAGTCCAACCGCTTGCTTTCTGATTCCTTTCTCTGTTCGCACTTCGATCTTTGGACCATCGTTCTTCGTACAGAGAATGAAGTCCTTCCCCAGAACTACGAGGTCTAGTTCCAACCGAGCCAAGACTCCGGTGGCGGCGGCCCAGAAAAGTGATCGTCTCAGATGGGTCGACAGGACCGACCTCACCCATGGCCCGAATGGTCTCTCAACGGTCCAAACTGGTCAAACCACCTGATGGTCACCATCCGCCCACAGAGCGGGTATCGTCTACGATTGTAGATCCGTGTCAAAGGTTTGTCTAGGGGTCAACAAAGCGGCGTCTCTCCGCTTCCCCCATTCATTCCCCCATATTCCCCCCGGTGTCCGAGTCCCGACTCGAGACTCGACGATGTGCACAGAGCGCGGGATGGGCAGAGTATATAAAAATGTGTCGTGTGTGTATGGGAAGACTGTTTATACCAGGATGAGTCTTGACCACCTCCTTTGGAAACCCACATCCCCTTTGACTTTCCTGCCTGCCCACCCACATCACTGACCCGGCTTGCTATGTGTATCCCCCTCCCCTTGCCATCATGATCTTAACAAGCCTTGGCAACCTGGGCCAGAATGCCCCTGCGTGGGCGGTCGTCCCACTCCTACTGTTCCTCTGGCTCGGCGGCCTTCTCGTCCAGTCGTACAGGTCACGCCGCCGCCGCCTCCCCCTCCCCCCGGGGCCCCCCGCGGCTCCCGATCATCGGCAACCTGCACCAGGCGCCGCAGGTGTACCCGTGGCGGGTGTACCAGGAGTGGACACGGCAGTACGGCCCCGTGTTCAGCCTGCAGTACGGGATGAACACGGTCATCATGCTGGGCACGTACCAGGCGGCGCACGAGCTGCTGAACAAGCGCAGCCACATCTACAGCTCGCGGCCCCGCGCCGTCATGGGCGGCGAGTGTCTCAGCCGCGGGCTGCGCACGCTGCTCATGCCCTACGGCCAGCAGTGGCGCAACCACCAGCGCTTGCAGGCCTCGTACCTCAACGTCCGCGTCTCCCAGAGCTACCGCGGCGTCCAGGACCTCGAGAGCAAGCAGCTCCTCTACGAGTTCCTGTCGCCCGGCGTCGACTTTGTGGACCGCTACCACCGCTACTCGTCGAGCGTCATCTTCGCGCTGGCGTACGGCCGCCGCCTCCCCAACGGCGACGAACCCGAAATCCTGGCCATTGACGAAGTCATGAAGAACTTTCTCTACGCCGCCCGCGTCGGCACCTGGCTGGTCGACGCGGTCCCCATTCTGAACTACCTGCCGAAATTCCTCGCGCCGTGGAGACGCCTCGGTGACCGGCTGCACAAACTCGAGTCGACCCTCTGCATCGACAACATGACCAAGGGCCTCGACTCGGCGTCGTGGAACTGGTCCAAGCACGTGTCGGGCATGAAAGAGGGCCGGGACATGTCGACCAAGGAGCTCGCGTACGACGTGGGCATCATCTACGAGGCCGGCAGCGACACGACGTCGATGGCGCTCGAGATCTTCACGCTGGCCATGCTCGTGTACCCGGACGTGATGAAGAAGGCGCAGGCCGAGATCGACGCGCACGTCGGCGACGACCGCCGGTTACCCGGGTTCGAGGACAGGGACTCGCTGCCGTACATGGACGCCATGATCAAGGAGGTGCTGCGCTGGCGGCCCGTCAGCGCGGGCGGCATCCCCCACGCCGTCATCCAGGACGACGAGTATCTCGGCTACCGCATCCCCGCGGGCGCGACCGTCATCGGGAACCACTGGTCCATCCACCTCGACGAGGACGTCTACCGGGACCCGCACGCCTTCAACCCGGACCGCTGGATCGAGGACCCGGCCCTCCCGCTCGCCCCTTTCGGCTTCGGCCGCCGCGTCTGCACCGGCCAGCACCTCGCCCGCAACAGCCTCTTCATCAACATGGTCCGCATCCTCTGGGCCTTTGACGTCGTCCACGCGTACGAGTCCGTCCCCGAGATCGACCCTCACACCGGCCGCACCGTCCTCGTCAGGCGCAGATGCGAAGTCGACCCCCTCGCCTTCACGCAGGGCCTCAATTCAAAGCCCTTGCCGTTCAGGGCCGAGTTTAAAGTCAGATCGCCCGAGAGGGCCCAGATTATCCGAGAGGAGTGGGACAAGGCGGAGAAGAGGCTTGATGTGCTGTTGGAGAGCATCCGCGCTGATGTCAGTGGGAGTGGGAAATGAAGTGGCGAGAACGATGGCCTTTGACGGTGTATCTCGACTCTGAGAATTTCTGTGCGTGTTTGAACGAGAAAGTCGCGAGGTATTCAACACAGTAAATTTGTGGTCTGAAAAACCAATATAGTTCCTTGATCCAGGAAAGGAAGGGTACACGGAAGAAGTGTCTTTTGTATCACTCGTATTGCCATATGTGAGCTTTGTCTCCCGTTCCAATCCTCTATACCTCCAAGTCTATTTCCACAAAAGACGACACGGATGACCAATCTGCCATCACCTCAAAGATGTGCCTTTGCAGGCCCAACTTCCCAGTCCCCCAAGAATCGTACATTGATCTTTCTTCCTCGGAGACCCTTGACAGCCACCTTGACCTCCTGTCCAGGCAGCAGATCGAACATGTTGTCTTCCCACAGTGGTTCAGGCTCGTCCGTCTTTTCGGTTCCATCGTACGCAGGCTCAAGCCAACAGCCTTTAATTGGCTGATTGGCAGAAACTGTCACCACATCCTCAAAGTGTGTGCCGTTGACATCGGTATGAGCGTGATCATCTTGAATGCTCTGAATGGAAGTAGCCACTTTGGTGTCGACGGGCCAATGCAAGTATCGATACGGCTCGGGCCAGTCAGTGAATCTTGCCAGCACCTTCTTCGTCGACGGGTCCACAAGGCTCGCGTCAAGGATGATCAGACTTTCCTCGTTCCACGATGCATGTGGCTTCAGACTCCCAAGCTCAGTATTGTGACCGGCTGACAAGGTCACCTCCAAGCTCACGCCCGTCCAGTCCAACTCAACCTCTTTTCCGGCGTGAAGATCGTACGCCCTCAGTTCCAGAGAGCACTTTACCTCGACTGGCGTTGTATTATGCGCAAAGAGAGAAAATTTGGGGATATATGAATCCTTTGGCTTGTCTTCGTCAATCCAGCGAGAGCGAGGGGTGCGTTCAATGCCAACGCTGATTGGGGCAAAGTTTCGTCGGATCGTATAAAAGGCAGGTTTCGGACGGAGATAATAGTCAATGTATGCCCAGCTTGTGACCGGATAGACATCATTCAGCTGCCAAATGATTGCACCCGCGCATTCCTCTTTACCTTTCCCCCCAAACTTCCGCTTCCAGTCACGCAATGCATAGCCGTATGCTTCGCTCTGCAAAAGTTGCGAGCAGTATACGAAGTTCTCGAGTTTCATATCATACCGGAAGTTCTCTGACAAGTATCGCGCGATACGTGTCTCCGCGCCGTGGCCTTTGTTGTGACAATCGATGACGCGGGACTGGGGATGACGGTCTTTCGGATCCGGCGCAAAAACATCGACCGTGCGCATGATAGGGAAACCGTGCATACCGAATTCAGAGACAAAACGACCATGCAGCTCTCCATATTTCTGATAGGAGTGCTGCGGCCCATGCCATACAGCCCACTGGTGAAGATCGCCAAATGTGGTGTCGCTTGCGTTTTTTCCCTCCTCGCCCCAAGGCGATGACGGCCAGTATTGGATCGACGGACACAAGCTCTCGCTGACTTTGGGGAGAAGGTCGAGGTAGATCTTCCGTGCGGGGAAACTGCTATCTTCAAAGGGTCCTTTGTGGTCTGAAAAGTCGTACGGCTCGCCAAAAAAGTCCTGGATCCCAAAATCCTCGTTGTTGCCACATAAAAGCGCTAGCGAGGCGCGGTTGCGCATTCGAATAGTCTGTGCTTCGGCCTCGGTCTTGACGCTATCCAAAAATTCCTTGTAGACGGGATAATCGCCACAAGCAAATGCGTAATCGTGCCAGACCAGCATGCCCATCTCATCACAGGCATCAAAGAAGTCTTCCGACTCATAAATTCCCCCTCCCCAAACCCGGATCATATTCAGATGGTGGTACTTCGAGAGTCGAACCCAGTCAAAGTATCTTTCGCGGGTCATAGTAGGCAATAGATTGTCTCCTGGGATCCAGTTGCCACCCTGGGAGAAGATGTCGCGGCCATTGACGTTGAAGAGGAATGTCTTGCCTGGCGCATTATCAAGAGGGCGTTGGATCACTTTGATAGTCCGGACGCCGTATCGAATCGTTCTCGTATCGAGCTTGGTCGATGATTCATCTAGGAGAGACACCGAAACACTGTATAAATGCTGTGCGCCTTGCCCGTTAGGCCACCACAGCTTGGGTTCAGGTATGATGACTGTGGCGACACCCTTTTTCGAATCGTCCAAGGATATGTCGAGCTCCTTTGATACTTGTGAAGATACTTGATCGAGAATGTTGACTTTTACAAACTTGGCAGAAGGTCCAGTTGCTTGTACCGTTATCGTGAGCGTCGCCGTTGAGTGGTCTTCTGCCAGTTCCGTGGTGATGTAGACGTCGTCAAGCCTCGCAGAGTACGTCTCCAAATGGATCGGCATATACGGTCCCGCCGTCACCATTATAGGTCCCCAGTCCCAGCCCCAATGGTACTATATCATCATGAACAGAAGGGTCATACGACGAGATGTCAACACGTACCTGTGCCTTTCGAATATGGTTCCTCCGCTTATCTCGAATCATTTGCGTCCTGGCCCCGAATTTCGCTTCCAGTTCACTCCCTTTCTTCAACGCGCTCTCAAAGAGTATAGAAAGCTCATTTTCCTGTCCCTCGGGTTTGAGCTGACCCGTCACATCCACTCGATGCGGGATGAACATGTTGTCAGATTTGAGAATCTCGTTGCCGTTGAGGAAGACAGTGGCAAAGGTATCCAGTCCCTCAAACAGTAAATCAGCAATGCGAGAGTTGTCAAGGCCCTTGGGGGTTGGGAAAGAGCAGGAATACTCCCAGTCCATTTCGCCAACCCACTGGATCTGACGCTCATTTTCACCCACGTTGGGATCCGGGATGATCTTCTTAGCCAGGAGTTCCATTTGGATAACCGATGGGAAAGCAGTGACCGGTGCCCAAGACTTGAGGTCTGGAATGTCGTCTGCTTTCGATATGCCATTTGCATTGGCCAGACGCCATTTCCACCCCGTGGCCAGTTCATGTCGCTGCTTCACTGCCATTTCGAGGTCGTAATGAGATGGTTGGGAAGAAGATAGCCAGAGTGGCTAGTCTCAAAGTTATAGAGCAGCCTTGTTATCACGAGCTAGAATTAGACAGCCACTGTGTCAGGTGAATCGAGTCGAACTCAATCAGATGTCGTACCGTGTATGCATCCTTCCCCACTTTGCTTTCCATTCTGGGTCAGTGTTCTCACGGTTGGAGGACGTATTGCAGTGAATCTCTCGCGGGGTTGGACCTCTGAGCGCCTGCCGAGGGTGCAACAATAGTGTACTGACGGACGGGGAGACATGTGTGTATGCGGGCATATATACTCCCGGACTGTATCCGCACTTGGCGGCAGTACATATCTCCTCCAATCAACGAAAGATGGCATCGAGGTCTCGGCAACTGAAAGCCACGTCGAACCTTTGACGTCGATAACTCCTGTTTCGCAGTGTTGGGAGCTCCAGAATGTTTCAGGAGAGGTGGTATGAACCTTCTGAATCTCAGTCCACTCAAACAAACATCACCCAGAGATATGGCTCTTCTGAAACAGCAATTGGACGACAGCAGATCTCCAACGTGAGGGAAGTGTTTAGTTGTTTCGTGTGACGGCTTCCGGACGATGTATACAGGAGTTGAGTTGAACGGCTCGGTCGCCGCTTTACTTCCGCCCTCGGGCCTGTGTCACTATAACGGACTCACTCGGCTCCTCAAGGGATTTTCCATTTGGACGCCTCCCGTGTTTAGTGCAAGCTCTTACTCTGAACTAGGTCGTCCACTGCAATTGTGTCGGATGTGAGGTTTAGTACTGAAACTGTTCACCTGCGTTGGCGAAGAGCGGCGCCTGGCGGTTTGTTGAACAAGTGGCTGACGAATAGACGCAAAGCGGCAGCATGATTGAACACGCAATCGAAGCTGACACGAAGTACTGCATTCATGCCGAGTCCGTTGCTCTTCCCGAACGGCAAGATAGGAGCAATCATCCGCGAACTCCCGTATTCTCCATTTGCTGCCTGCTTAGGATAAGTGCTGGTGGACCTTTGGTCCTCGTGATGAGACTGTCCCATGCAAATGGCTCCTGGGAAATATAAAAAGCCGCCCGAGTTCATAACTGGCAGGAAGACGGTTGGATCACATCAAACAGATCCGAGAAAACAAATGCCAGTCTTTGGGTGAACGCGCCTCATGAGGACCTCCATGATGTGAGACTTGCGGACTTGAAAACCTGATCAGACTGGCCTTACGACAGGCTACCCGTGGTACCGTCACCTCCCCTCATGGGCCTGGCAGTACAGCCCCGTGTTCAGCCTGCAGTACGGCAAGGGTGTCCTCGAATTCGTACAGCCACCGCCTCAAGGATCAGGAAGAGGGTACCAGTTCAGCTGTTGATCTCCAAACGAAAGATCATAATCAAACCACTCCAGGAATGGACCCGGCGCGGTGACGTCCTGTCCGTCAAAATTCATCAAGTCCATTGCGGTCTCCGATCTTGCATTGGCCAGAAAATCTGCATATTGGTCGATGTCAGCTGCGTACTGAGAATCTTCGTTATTCCAAGATATCACGCCATCTCGCAATGCCTCGACAATGCTGCCATATCTGTCCGCTGGCCTCGTATGAGGAGCCATATCTTTGAATGCACGAATAGCACCGTCCAGACTCTGTTTCCAACCATTGACTGCGGCTTCGCCAAATATACTCAATTTCTTCGCCACAGCAATAGAAATCAGGGGAATCAGACAAGCTTGGAAAAGCGCAAAGGTCGAGTGCCAGACCGAAACCCTATCGTGATGAAGGCCAGAGCAGATCAGGTCGATAACCTCACTCGCAGAATTCTGGCAGAGTGATACAACCTTCCAGTCCTCGTCTGTGAATGCATTGTGCGCCATGGCGTCGTCTGCCAACCGCAGCAGATGTGGTCGAGACAACAGGACGCGTACCCCCAAAAATCGATACATCATGGTCTCCCGACTCAGCCAGAATCGTTTTGGACACGAATTCTCCGACAGGAACCGGAAGTGGTGGGATTTACTCCAAATTTCGAGTTCGTCGCTGAAGGCAAATATCTCCCGAGGTGTAATGTATGACAACTGGGCCATCCGATCTCCTATCCTTTGGGCGATTATGCAAAACTCGGCAGTCACGCGGAGAGCTATGCCATGCCAGTCTCTGTCCTCGGACTCATTGTGTCTCTGTCGTGCAACGCTCTCTAGCCGCGCAGAGGTCGAGGAGAGCTTCGTAGAAGGCCAAGCGGTGTCCATTGTGAGCGGATCCCATCTTCCAACCCTGGGGCGGTGCAACAACAGTCCTTGCCAGGCGTTGCCAGCGATCATACACCACCAAGTTCTTCGTCTGATTTCGGCTCGAGCCAGCGCCAAAGCTTCTTCCTCAGGTGTCTGGCCGAGTTTTGTCGCCTTTGCTGGTTCACGATGTAAGCCAATCGCAATAGCCATCCGGAATGCGGTTCCCATGACTAAGAATGCGGTGTTTGGCGAGTTGATGTAGTACAAGTACAGCGCGCTCAAGAGAACCAGCGCCTGTAGCATTTCCAGATTTCCCGAGGTAAACATGTTGTAACCAAGGAGATTCCGCGCTCGTTCGTGGTAAGCGAAGTGTGATTGATCGTCCCCTGCCGCAATGGAGCCTAATGCAAGGACCATGTTTGAGAGCGCCTTCCACCCGTCATCTGTGCGTTCCTGGCTCGAGAACTCATCCCGAAAGCGACTCTCGTCCACCATTGGGATCAGGGCGTGGATCTGCTCAAAATACGCGTCGATCGCCATCTGTTGTGCAGACGACAAGGATGGAAGTGTGGAGGATACAGGGGCGACATGATGCGCAGCCTGCGGGGGCTCTTTGCTCGAACTCCGAACGACAAGTTGCGTTGGTTTCTGAAATGCCGACTTTCCAAGATCCAAGAACGATTGTTTTGCAGAGGGGCAGACGCTGAAGAACACATGCAGAAAAGCACCCGTCGAGGAAACGCGCGGATATGAGCCCGGATGTTGGTGGATGATGATGCCGTTGACAGCGTCGCCAACTGGTGGCTCCGGACCTTCCTCGTCCTGAGCCTCATTCCATTCCTCATCTGCAGCGATATCATTGAGGGATTGCAAAGCTTCTGGAACCTCATTGGCGACAGCACCATCAGCAGCTGGCGAAGGTGTCTGGGTATCCACCTCATTACTGATCAATCGGATGACACTCTCTCGAGACAGGCCCGGCAGGCTGTCGAAGTCCACTGCCGGCAAAAGCTGCTTGATGATCTGGTTGCGAGCGGTCAGAGCGTCATTCAACTGGTCAATTGTTCTACACAGCCAGCAGTCAGATGGTATCGCAAAGTCACAAGAGACCACGACTCACTTCCAGGAGGGATTGGTTCTCCGCTGTCGTTTCCTGTAGCTACACCTCGATTCTAGAGAATGCTTTCGACAGTTTTGGCAGGGTAAAGTGCCATCGCACTTGATCTTCCTCCTCGTGCATTCCACGCAAGCACGATTGGTCCTTCGAGGCTCAGGGCCGCTGTGCTGCCTCTGCGGGTTCTGGGCCGTAGCGGAGAAGGTGAGATCGCTAGAGCCATCCATAATGCACTGCCTGAGGCTAGTTCTTTGCTGGCATTCAATGTCAACCGCCGAAATTCATCAGGTTGATTGGAAGGGGTTCCGACCGATGATGTGGCTGTGTAGTATGATGAGTCTGGGTGACCAAGTTGTCTCGACAAATTTTGTAGCGTAGCGTGCCCTTGCAACCCTACGGAGTACAAGCCAGTCGGTTTCTAGCCTGGACAAAAGCCTCCGAGGGAAATCAATGGATCTAAGGGAGGTCAGGTATACATTGCGCCGCAGCTGGGTGGGTGTACTGCACAGTGCAGGAGAAAGACGAGGGACGCCACAGGAAAGAACAAGTCAGGCCGGTCCGATAGAGACTAGGGTTTGTACGTAGTGTGCCGTAGGTGGTATAGGCTGCGCCCTTTGTGGTTTGTGGTGAGGGTTGGTGGGTGACAGTGTCCCGTGCTTGGCGCAGTCAATGCATATCTTGAGCATAGTAATCTACCAAGCCTGCAAGCCTAGGTAAGTAGGCAGGTGGGCTGCTGGTAGGTAAGCATTAAATCACTCTCCACAGGCACCCATTCCCGACAAATAATACACGGATAGTGCTTACCCGAGGTCAACATCTCACTAGGAGCGAGTTACTCCATCACAATGGTAAACCGGAGATCTCGATACTCCCTGACCTGGGGAGTTGTTAGCACAAGTTTCCAACGCCGAAGCTGTCCATTACAACGCCCAAGGCACACGACGATGATGCACTCCAACTACACTGGGGTTGGCGCTGGAAGAGATGGCAATAGAGTAGCAAGGGACGCTTGAGCTTCCTCCGGTTCATTGCGACTATGTGCACCAAAGCCGGCCAAAGCAGCACCGCCTTCTTCCACGCTGAGCTACAGACAGCCAATGCGTACTCGAGCTCTACCTCTATCAACGTGTAATGCGCCCAACCAGGCAATTCCTCTATACAAAGACTGCACATGGTCGGACTATGACCTTGTTTCAGACGCACTGACAAGCAATTCTGCAGCCTTCTCCCCAATGGCATACGCTGGCATCTGCGTGTGTCCCCCGTTCAGACTCGGCATGATGCTACAATCGGCAACCATCAATCCCTTGACGCCCCTGACACGCAGCTTCTCGTCCACTACAGCCATCGCATCGCCATCCTTCCCCATGCGACACGTGCCCGCCGGGTGGTGCGCCGTGGCGCTGTACTGACGCACATACGGCTCCCAGTCTTCCCTGGTAGTTTCGGGCCCCAAGGCGGCGTACTTTGGACCAGCCATCCACACGCCCGGGGCGATGATGTCCTTGGTTCCAGACCCGGTTGTGACGATTGAGTGTGCAAAGCGCACGCCTTCGGCCAACATCAGCAGATCGAGAGGATCGGATAGGTAGCGAGGGTCGATGATAGGCTTGTCGTGCGGGTTCGTGGAGCGCAGGGTGACAGTCCCGCGGCTCTGCTGGCTGAACAGCAGTGTCATCATCTCGAAGCCGTACTTTCCCTCCAAGGGAATGGGATATCCGTGAACGTGACCCGAATACAACTCGGTGTGCATGTATTCGACGTGCGCCTGCTCTGATGTGAGGTCAGCAGCATCTCTTGTTGACTCAGACGTCGCGGCGGATCTCTCGCGCCACAAAGCCGACGAGTTCAACCCGTCGTCGAGTCGCGCCAGCGCAAATATACCGAAGGGGAATGTGGAGAAGAAGCCCGATTGAGAGCTCTGGTAGGTTGCCAGTGAGTTTGCGAACCCGTTAGCGTGGTGGATGAATCGGTCGTTGGTGAGGTTCGGCTGCGTGACCTCGTAGGGGACAAAGACGACCTTGTGAGTATTAGAGAAAGACTTTCCTCGTTAAGGAATGAAAATGCAGCTTGCCAGATGGTCTTGGAAGTTTTTACCCACACTGGGAGAATCGACTATACAGTCGATGCCTAACTGTGCGAGCTCTTCTTTTGGGCCGATGCCAGATCGAAGCAGAATGGTCGGCGAGCAATACGCCCCTGCGGACAACATGAGAAAACCAGTACATGTGAGTGTTTGGCGCAATGCTTACCTGCTGACAATATGACTTGCTTACCAGCTTTCAACACCCTCCTCTTCCCAGAGTTATCCACAACCTCGACGCCCGTCGCCACAACATCCCCTTCGACGTGCTCAAGCATGACTCTGTCGACTACGGTGTTGACCACGATATCCACCCGACCCTCATGCCCTTTCAGGTAGTCGGTACTAAAGGTTCTCACGCCGCCATGCACCGTCCGGGGCACATGGCCGCAGGCATGTGCTGCCTGGCCCGTGGTGAACAGGTCATCTACCAGCGGCAAGCCTTTATCCTGCAAGGACTCTAGGACGTGATTGGAGATGGGCGCCAGATCATGCGGTTCGACATGCAAGGGACCATCTGTACCGTGGTACGCCTCTGCGGCCTTGAACCAGTCTTTGCCGTGGAACGTCTCTGCGCGTTTCATGTACCGGAACATGTCGTCGCCAGTCCAGCCCTCGAGGCCCCAGTCGTCGTAGTCGGTCTTGCACCCGCGGATGCACAGCGTCCCGTTGAACCCGCTGCTCCCGCCCAGGAACTTGCCGCGGTTGAGCTGCAGCACGCGGTTGTCCAGGTGTTCCTGCGGCACGGTCTCCAGGCCCCAGTCCAGCTCGCCGCCCATGGCTTGGAAGAGGCCGCCAACCATGGTGATGAGCGGGTGACCCGTCGAGTCCGGCCCAGCCTCGACCACCAAGATAGAGACATCTGATCTCTCGGAGAGCGCTTCGGCGAGTCTTCCCGCAATCACACAACCAGAAGTGCCGCCTCCGCTGGACGAGAGAGAAAAAAGATATTAGCTTGTGAGCGAGGGGTGTGCAAAAATAATGGCTGATCTGGAACATTTGGGCGGCTGATAAAGAGGGGTGGGTGGGTGTGGAGGGGTCGAAGCATCGAGGCATTATTGAGTACTCCTTACCAGATGATATAGCTGTATTCTTCCCCGACATCCTCAACGGTCCGAACTGGAGACATTGAACGTCTCTGTCAAATATACGTGGAATTATCTACTCGAAGTGAAGACCAGGGCGATAGATATATTTTGGCATTATCATCTATTATCTATGAAGAGTGGAACGACCGAGGTCGAAGTCGAGGTTCATGTCTAGAGACAGAGAGGGACAGTGCATAAGGCTAGGCCACGTTGAGAAAGGACAAGGACAAGGACAACGCATGAATGATACTTCGTTACTGTATTTTCCTACCTCTGTCCATGTATGAACCGTGATCTATCCGTCCTTCAATTGTGGTTCCGTTCATACCGACCTCGCCATCGATCAATCAGTCTCTCCGCTATTGAAACGCTGGGTTCTTTGCCGGGACACTGCCTAACTGGGCACCTGTGTGGAGGGCGAGTCGCCGAGAGTCACGTCTCGGCCCGCTCCGAGGTCTTCAGCTCAATGTCAAGAAATCAAGACAAGTGCTTGATTAAGCACCAACGCACATGGCACCCAATGGCACCCTCGTTGGAGGTTTCAGAGACCACCAGGTAACTCTTGAAAATCCAACATAGTGACGGGCATAGTGAGCATATCGAGCCACTAAGCGATATCATTCCACTCCAGGGCTTGGGCAAGTTTCTATGTTGGCAGCTGGAGATCTATTCCACACAGTATTGCTCACTCACGGTCGACTAGCGTGATCCACGCACAACTCATGGCTTCGCACACATCAGACGAAGCATTGCTCCCACTGACCTCCCGTCTTTGCGAATCCTAGACTACTCACAAATTTGCTCAGAGAGCAGCGTCCGAGGGCATCACCTCCACAAGAGGAGAGCGGCTGGACACGATCGTTCACAATCACACGAATCAGCTCCCCCGAATGCCCTTGACACTGCATTTTCTCGATATACGCTCTAGCAGCAAATGGAACGGTCCAAGCGGCACTGTAACCACCCGCTGCACTGGCCTCCACGACCGTCGTGTTCGGCAATGGTAGCGTGTTGTTATAAAGTCCTAGTGCCGAAAAGATGGCCGTCATATCGTTATCGTGGCTGAAATCCGCATACAGCTTCCGGCCCAAAGGGAACGTGGCGGGATCATCGTCCAGAGTATGGTTCGTAGATGTGTGGTCTTGAACAGAGGTGTTGGTCAGCCGCGCAATGAGCTCGTTGACGAAGCCCACCCCTTGTGTAGGCCCCAGAGGATTGCCATAAGAATACCCGTAGTATTTGCCCAGTGTCTGATAGTAGCCGTAACTGTGCCATTCGGCTTCGGTAAAGAGGGCACAGAATGGCGAAATGGTGCCGTCATCGTTGGCAACGGTGTTGAACGGGCAAAGGTCCATCATGTCCACTGTCTGGTCCATGCTGAGATTGGCGCCCGGCAGACCGGCGTTGAGGCGTGCTTGGATGGGAGGGATGAAGATCTTCGTCCAGGCCTCCTGAGCGTCGTTGCCAATCTCGCTGGCTGTGCCGTTCTCAAATTCCGTGCAAAGAGCATGGTTCAGCGTGTTGTTGAACCCATCACCTTCATACTGCAGGATCACCGGATATGGATAGCCAGAGTCGACATCCGCAGATTTGTCGGCCAGTTTCGAGGCGTGGAAGCCCTGTGTCCAATTGAGGGCCGACTCTACCACCCGATTCTCGCTCGAGGAACGGATGAAGGGTTCGAGGGACATTGCAAGCAAGCGATATCGATGATAGAATTTGGTACCCGAATTGACCATCTGCTCCTGGCCGAACGTCGTCAACTGGTCCGCGCCGAGTGTGTACGAATAATTGGCGAGAAACTCATACGGCCCTGTGAAGGTTTTCACATTGGCATGCACCTGTTTGATGGTGTTGTTGTAGGTCTTGGTCTTTGATGCTGTCGGGTCTCGAGCTCCATGGCGGGACAAGATCTGAACGAACGTGACTTCGCAGCCATCAGGAACGTCTGTCGAGATATCGGAGGGTACAGTAAAGTAGGGCGAGTACTGGCCCCAGTAGTGGGAAATGGTTGGTTGACATTGAAACCCTGTCGCGACAGTATCGCAAGAATCGGAAGGAGACGAGCTTCCTACCGAGACTCCACTATTTGTTATGAGATGAGCATGTGGAAAACAGTCGACTGCGTCTGAGTTATTGGAAGCTTACCTCCAGCCCAAGAACACAACCACGGTTGCCAACGGTGCCAGTATCATGATGGCGAAAATGAAACCTCGATGGACCCTCCGGGACGAGCGTCTCGGACCAAAGCTGCCATTGTGTCGGAGGACGGAGAAGTTATATTCCTCTTTCTCAGAGGCGATGCGAGGTAGATCTTCCATGGAGCTGCCAGATCTTGCCTAGGCGGTCTCGCCGTCTCATAGCTCTTTTACCGTGCTTATTGACCTGAAGGATTTAGATGGGTGATGATGGAACAGGCGGTGCACTGGAAGAATTGATCAGGCATGATATTTAGGGGCCACGTGTAGGAACGACGCGCCGAGAAGGTTTGGACATGTTCGTGTGCTAGTAGCGACTAACAAGGCACGGGAAGTCGACGCATCAGAAGAAAACACAGACTGAATATAGAAGCTTAGGATGAGCTGGAAGCAAGGGCGAAAACATCCATTGACAGCAAGAGAAAATGGTGAGGCTTTGGGTGACGATCAACGTGTTTTGAGGATCTTGGCTTGAGGTCGCAGGTCTGTTGGTGCAGTTGGTGCAGTTGGGCATGCGGTCAAGCGGTCCACGTACGTCGTTCATGGCCAAACTGCGCCCAGCCCAGTCCAGCCCAGCCCAGTCTCGTATCTCAACAATGAATTCAATATTGTTCCTATCATAAACCGCCTTGATCGTCTTGTCCTCTAATTTTCATCCATTCCTACAGTCTACCTTGATGCCTCTATCTAATCAAACACACGAAGAGGGTCCAAGCGCATCCCCTTGAACACACGCAGTTGCTGAGGGATCGCGTCATCTCATCTCACATGCCGCAATCGACCTGAGTCGATCAAATCCTACCATCAACCATCCTTGTCCTTTCTTCCCTTCCAATCTTACAAAGCTTTACTCGAATCTCTCCAAAGTACCGCCGAGGGTATTGTCGTGTCAATATCCATAGCCCAGTAGATGTGCTGCTGTTCACATTCACTGTCTCTTTCTGCTCAGTTGATTCCTCCCTTTAAGCCTCGACAAGTTGACCCCAGTCTTCGAGCGATACTGACGACTGACAGAAAAACTGACAGCTTACCATCATCCACAGCACACGCCTTCTCTATCCCTCCACGTGTTTTCGAAATGGCGCACGAGGGTTTGATTTTGCTGAACCGGCCTGATAACGTCTTAGAAGTCAAGACGTCGGATGGCCACGGCTACTGCGACAAAGCACTGATGGGTAAATGAGACGATGAAACTGCTGGTCACTGTGAAAACCACCAACAACTCCTCGTCTCTTTCTGCGGTACTCGTCGATGATGCCTCAACACTTGATCCTCCAGCTCCACCCAACCTTATACACCCGGGCGGCATACATCAGACAAGCGCCCACCACAGTAAGTACTCCCAGGCATATCTGTGCAACCAGATACCCGCCTCGCCCTCCCCCGTTTGTCGACAATAACGCCCCTCCAATGGGAGGTCCGGAAAGACCTGCAAAACTGAACAGCGAGAACGCCATGCCCATCCTCACACCATTCTTGCTCAAGTCGTTGTTCAAACTCGTCACTGTCGTTGGAAAAAGACACTGAAAGGCTCCCGCTGAGAACCCATAAAACGTTGCAAATACGTACATGCCTGCTTCCGACTTCACTGCGATCCAGCTAAATGCAAAAACCCCGTTGATGAAAAGGAGTGGAACCATCGCGTTCAACGGACCCATGAAACGATCCGCAATGAACCCCGTGACAAGTCGGACGGGTATCGCGGCCCCATTGAAGATGATGAGCAAGGTGAGTGAATCTTCATAGCTCATGTTCAGGACTGTCCGGCCAAAGGAAGCGATGTAATAGTAGGAGAAGAATAATCCTCCAAAGACGAGCGACATGCCCAGGAGGACACAGACATACGGCACTTCACAGAATGCCCTCCATTCGACGATCGGCCCAGATTTCCGCGGAGGCAGTCTTGGCCGCATGCATGCCAGTGCCAACGAAAGCAATCCCAGGTTCACGAAACCAAGCACGCGGACAGTCCATGCATATCCAATCTTTGGGAGGAGCTGGCGCACAAGCACCGGATATATGGCACCGCCCGCCGAGTTCCCAGCCGACACAATGGCGACAGCGAGTCCGCGGTTCTTCCTAAAATACGTCGTCACAAGTCCCATGGTGGGGCAGAAGAATATTCCACTGCCCAGACCGGTACAGAGGCCCTGAGCAAGCAAAAGCTGCCAGAAGTTCTTGCATAGACTCGTCATGAAGATTCCGATGATTTGGACGATTGAACCGATGAGCAAGCTCGGAACGAAGAACCCGGCATCCAGCGCCCGACCGGAGAAGGCGCTCACGAAGAAGACCACCCACAATTGAATGGAACCCACCCAGGAGATGGTCGACTGCGACTCGCCCAAGGTCTCGGTGTAATAGGTTTGAAAGACACCAAAGGAATTGATGTAACCCCTGAGAAAGACGTCAGCCATCTGTTCAGCGCAAGGTTTTGATATCCCCCCAAGGCGTTTCGAACTCCCACATACCAGGTACAAAAGCAGACGATCCACGCCATGGCGACTTGGATCCATGCTTTGAGCCCTCCATCTGGAGGTGGTCCGGGATCGACGATATCTCGAGTGCTGAGACGTGAGGTGATCCTGCTCAGGGCATTGCTGCTGACTTGTTTGAGTTCCGGGTACGATGTCTGTGCCAAATTCTTTTCAACGTCGGGATTGTTCTCTATGACGTCTTTATCGTCCTCCGATATATTCTGGCTCGACATGATTGAGATCTTGGTGTCACAAGCATTGGATCTGGTGGTCGCCCCTGGAAAACACTTTATTGTCGAAATTTCTTCCAGGAATCTTGGGAAGATAAGGGAGTCGACGAAAGTACAAGGGGATTACAGCGAGACATTGTTGGCTTGCAGACTGCATCCCCGAAGGGCGCCTGCATCACAAGTTTGTCGACTTTCTGTTGAAGCGGTGGGCTTTTGGGGTAACCCAATCCCTGACCAGTGCCGAATAGCCGACTCCATGGCCCAAAATATCCGTTATATGCGGCAAAAAATGATGTAATGCAGGGTATCGGCCGGCACTACAAAGCGCAAAGCTTGTTACAACATCACCATGTGGGCACCATAGATCTGCGTATCGCAGATGTAATGACGGAGACTATTCGCGCACAGAGCTCCGAGCTTGGCAGATCTTTTGTCTGAGAGAACTCCGAAATCTCGAGACGAGATCTCGAGCCGGTGTCGGCCTCGCGCGGGCAGCCAACCAGGGGCTCACGAGGCTTGTTGGTGCGCCGTCTGCATCACAAAAGGGCTGCACCACCAATCCTGTCAGCCCCAATTCCCCAAAGTGTCGGTCTGTAGAATATGCCGGCAACCAGATCTGTTGGTTTGGCTGGCTCGGGACGCAATGACCGTGGCTTTGGATCTCCATCACTTGGATGACAAGTGGCGTTGAGCCAGATGTCCAGCATCACGACGCGCAGAAAGGAACAAACAAGAGGCCATGATGTTGCCAACGCAATGCATCATTGGTATTAGCGGCGTCGCGGATGGGCGAGCCGCGATGTAAGACTTTAGTTTCTTGAGTCCGCCTTTCTCTTTTTATGACGACCAACCTTTGGACATCTGGACTGCCTTTTCCCACCTCTCGAACATCTCCTTGCTCTTGGCCTCATGCAGCTGTGGTTTGAAGACAGTGCTGCCCTCGACATTGATGTCTTTCAACTCTTCAATGCTGTCCCACACCCCGACAGCCAATCCGGCGGCGATGGCAGCTCCGAGGGCAGTGGTCTCCCGCATCTGCGGCCGCCGCACCGGGATCTGAATCAAATCCGCTTGCGTCTGGACAAATATTAGCACCCATTGACTCCCTCAAGATCTCGGCCGCAACCACGGTGACATACCTGCATGGTCAAATCTGAGTTACTCATGCCACCGTCGACGGCAAGCTCAGCAAGTTTCGCACCCGAGTCCTTCTCCATGGCGTCGAGGATGGCTTTTGTTTGGAAGCACGTTGCCTCGAGAGTGGCGCGTGCAATATGTCCACGCTGCGTGTAGGCTGTTATGCCGTCTGGAGACACAATGGGGATCAGCATTAGACACCAACGAGCAGAGACAGTGACACTTACAGATGGTTCCTCTCGCGTCATCAATCCAGTATGGAGCAAACAATCCGCTGAATGCGGTGACGAAGACACAGCCGCCATTGTCTTCGACAGTGGCAGCCAACTGACTTATCTTACTCGAGGACTCGACAAAGCCAAAATTATCGACCAAGAACTTGACACTGGATCCGGCGACGGCGATACTCCCCTCGAGCGCGTACATGCGCTTGCCCTCTCCAAAGTCGTAGGCCACGGTGCCGAGAAGGCCGTGGGTGGAGAAGACCGGCTTTTCACCGACGTTGTACAGGAGGAAACAGCCGGTCCCGTAGGTATTTTTGGCCAGCCCGGGAGTAAATCCCTTTTGACCGACCAGGGCGGCTGACTGATCGCCCAGACAGCCAGTGATAGGGGTGCCTTTGAGCACACTCAGCTCCAGACGCCCGTATGCCTCGGGATCTGACGACCGAGTGATCTTGGGGAGGTGAATCTTGGACTGGTCCAGCCGGAAGAAATCGATGAGCGACTCGTCGTAGTCCAGGGTCTTGAGGTTCATGAACATGGTCCGCGAGGCATTGGTCGGGTCCGACACAAAGACATTCTTCTTGGGCCCGCCGTTGAGCTTGTAGACCAACCAGGCGTCGATGGTGCCGAAGGCGAGGATGCCTTTGTCGTAGGCCTCTTTGACTTTGGGCTCGTTGTCGAGCAGCCAGAGGAGCTTGCCCACTGAGGGATACGTCGACAGGGGAAGACCACAGAGTTGTTGCAGCTGGTCTGATCCCAGCCGATGCTTGAGCTTACGGATGAGGGCCTGGGTACGGGTGTCGGTCCACACGATTGCATTGTACAGCGGCTCGCCCGTCTCGTGGTTCCATACGACCTAGATGCCGAGCGAGAAGCGAGTCAACCAATGTTTTCCCCTCTGTCTTTTCTTGGAGACCCAAAGTGCAAGCAAAGTAACGATTGGCTCGCAACCAACCGAAACTGTTGGATAGGATTGACTGGACGGAAGAGGCAGAAGAAGAGGGGTTCATTTTTCTTACCGTTGTCTCACGCTGGTTCGTGATCCCCACGGCTTTGATGCTGGCGCTTGCGTGGCCCTGGTTCTCGAGGTCCTTGACCGCCCCGTCGATGCATTGCTCCACCGACGAAATGATTTCCAGTGGATCGTGCTCGTGCCATCTATATTAATCATATCGGGAACGAGGGAGGGTTAGAAAGTGACTTTGATAAACGAATATACCAGCTTTGCTTTTATACATTCTTTTTTGCCTTTCTCACACACAAACACATATACACACACTCGCACACACCGTATTTTTCGTTCTCCGTGAAAATCCCAGACAGAGAGCAAATAAAACTGTGAAAAGAGAGAGAGAAAGGGAAGAAGAGCTAGAAAACGTACCCAGGATGCGGATAGATCTGCTTAAACTCGATCTGGTGCGATGCCACCACCTCGCCGTGCCGGTTGAAGACGAGGAACCGCGTGCTCGTGGTGCCCTGGTCGATGGAGCCGACAAAGACCTCGTGCGAGGCCGTCGAGGATGACGACTTTGCAGCAGTGTCGCCCATCTTGGATCGGAGGGTGGTGAGCATTCGATTACCGACTATTGATTAATCGACTACTGGGTACTGGGTACTGGGTACTGAGTAAAGATGTATAGATAGAATCAAGGTAGAACTGATAGTGGGATCGATAGGACCAGGAGGAGGAGGAGGCTAGTAGTGCTGCTGGATGGAGATTGTATGGTGACTGACTGGGTCGTTACCTCGTGAGATTTTTTTTTTTCTGTAGGGGGAAGAGAAGCTGTGTGACAGAGCTGTGTAGGTCGGAATGGCCTCTTCGTCTTCGTTCGCGGGGAGCTTGTAGTATGGAGAGTGATGAATTAGTCAAGGATCCGACTTTTTCCCTTTTCGTCGATCAGTTCTATCTCGCGAGAGAGAGAGAGAGGGGGGTAGAGAGGAAGCTGTCCTCGGTAGAGCTGTTGTTGCTGTTGCTGCTGCTATCACTGCCGCTATCTCTGATGACGATGACGATGGTGATGGTGTGAGCGAGATTTGAGTTTCCGAGACTCTCGAAAGCTCGGGCTCGGTGTGTCTAACCCCGAGATACATGCCCCTCGACCAAGTCTGTCCAAGTACAAAGATACAAAGTGAGGAGGCTGGGCATTCACCCACTCATCACTCACCTTACGGGGTTACTTGGGCCTGAGAGTGCGGAATCCGGGGAGACCGGCTATCATCAAACCACGCGGGTTTGGGGCGGTGATCAAGGTGTGATGTGTCAAGGATTTGTCCCTTTGTTCTCCAGACGGCCGGGGCCAAAACCATGCAATGCAGTCCACCGCCCTCTATTTCCTTTGATTCTCTACTGCCCTGGCTGCTCAACGTGCTCGACTCAATCAGCAACATGCCGATCCAGGTTCGAGATGCACGGTACAAGGGAGGACCCCTAGCGCTGTCTTGGGAGAAAAACGGCCATCACGGGAGAGGACAAAGGCGGGGGCCCCATCAAAAGGGCTTGCATGGCGGCGTCAATCCCGTCCACTAGAATACCAACTAACGCACGTCAGGCCAACCACCTACGCAGATACGAACGTGATGGAACATGAAGAGGGGGTGTTTTGGACAGGGAAGCTGGTCCCATCTCCTATTCCACCAAGCATCACGAGTGCAACATCAGCTTCGGTAGCGCAAATCAGGCCCAATGCCAATTCTCCGGAGAGCACGCTCACCACAAAAATTCTCATCCAGGCGGCAGCTCTCGGCAGCTGTGCGGAGGCTGAGCTGAGCAAGCAGGCAAACAGCAACATCAGAAAAAGCGTATAACTAGGGAATACGAAGCAATCGCGGTGCGGCTTGCGAGACACGGTGGCGTTTCTCGGCGCTGAAAGGCACAAATGAGGAGGCGCATCCACTCTCCATCCACCAGTATAACGAGTATTTTCTGCGGGGTAAAGAAATGAGTTGGTTGGTCAACATGCTGAAGAAGACAAGGACATGACAGCCACGAGGGCGCGCTCTCTGGCCGCCTCTTGCAGGTTTTCTCTCGGGAGATTTTGTATAGCCGACATCACGATCCAGTCCGTTTATGCACGGAGATGTTGCCACGTTCACACACGACGAGAGCCGGATAGTCTCCTGGCGTACATCCAACAAGACCAGGGCAAGGACAGAAGTGAAGAGATGCAGAGAGCGACCGTGGTGGTTGGTTTCTTAGTAGGGAAGATCTAGATCTACCGACCATAGTTAGCACCTGGGACCAAAGGAAACCCTACCCCGGTAGTGGCTTGTGCTCTAACTTCTATCCCAAACAGCCAGTGAAAAGGAGAAATGACGAGGGAAATATCTGGAGTAGGGTTCGGGAGATACGAGAGGTACCGAGTAGTGAGGACAGGGTGATTGGCCTGGGTTTTAATCTGCTGATGATGGTGATGATGGTGCTCTGAGTTGGCGATGATTAATCATAGGACAAGGCTATTGTACGGCATCCATTTGTACGAGTGATTTTAAGCAGTTCCCAAAGGAGAGTAAGAGAGGGGGCGCAGGCAGATGAAGACAGATGAAGAGAAGTGGATGAGGCGTTACAAGTGGACGAGTAAGAGAGACTGTGTCAGCCTCGGTCAGACTTGGCCCGAGCTACTCGTTGGTACTTTTCTTGCCTCATATCGAATCGTAGATGGCGTCATTTGATGCGTCAGTCATTGTGTCAGACACTCGGTCAGACAGTGTCATTTACTCAACTCTCTCCCTCGCTCCCTCATACCCAGCTCCCCTCTTCACCCTCTCTCTATCTGTCTGCGTACAGAGATACCCAGCACGGAAAGTATCTTACGAAATCTTACCACCCCTGGTTGCCACAGTCTCCAGCACCGGCAGTACGCAACCTATCGAGCCATCCAAGGCCCGTCAGGGACTTTGTGGTCTTGATGCATGATCGAAAACGGAAACAAAAACCTCGAGTCACACACCATCACACCTGACCCCCCTGCCTAGCCCTAAGCCGTCGTCGTCCTCCTCTTCTCGCCACGGTCATCCAAAACGCCCATCCACAAGGCTCCCCGGACTCTCCAGATTCCCACACAAGTTGCTGGCCTCCTCCCCTTCAGTCCAAGCTCGCCCTCGCCTTCGGGCTTCCTGGACCCGAGATCCATCACCTCACCTTTTCCATTCGTGCGTGATACATGCTTCTTGGTATTTGATCACCTCCACCTGGCTGGTTCCGCCCTGCATGCAACCTCGCCTCTCAACAGCAAACCAAAGGCCTCGTCATGACTGGTTGGTACCCGCCCTCCTCCGAGCTTCGACCTGGGTGCGGCGATGCACGATGCGGTTCCCACCCCCGGTTCGTGACCAACCCAATGGGGCCCCAAAGGCAAGGTCCAAAGGAAAAGTTGATAAGACTCTGGCCTGCCTCGCTCCTGGGGAGCTGACACTCAGATGGCTCCTCCTGACCACAGCCAGTCCCTGCCGCTTTCTCTTCCTGTGATCTCGCCCACAGCCAAGGACGCCGACACCATGGCCCTCGAGAAGGAATCCCTCTCATCTACCCCTCCTGCCACCCACAACGAGCATGGCATATTCCACCATCCCCATGAATACCGCCATACCACCGTCGACGGCCAGCCGGCCTACGCGGAACATGGTCCTCTCGTCGACCACAAAGTCCCCCAGGAGGATGTCGTCCAGTCCGAACCTGACCTAGTGTGGAGCCGGATTCGCCACTGGATGCGGGAACCGCTGTCCGAGTTCTTTGGCGTCTTTATCCTGATTCTCTTTGGCGACGGCGTCGTGGCTCAGGTCGTGCTCAGTGGCGGGACCAAGGGTGACTACCAGTCGATCTCCTGGGGCTGGGGGTGAGTCAAAATCCACATTGTCAGAGTCAACTTTCGCTGATTCTTGTACAGCTTGGGTGTCATGTTGGGAGTGTATACCGCGGGCATCTCAGGAGCACATTTAAATCCCGCCGTCACATTTGCAAACTGCGTATTTCGCAAGTTTCCCTGGCGAAAGTTTCCCATCTACATGATTGCTCAGACGTTAGGCGCCCTGTGTGCCTCGGGCGTGGTCTACGCCAATTACAAATCGGCTATCGACGTCTTCGAAGGCGGCCCCAATATTAGAACGGTCCCGGGCTATTCAGACACTGCATCGGCGGGGATCTTTTGCACCTACCCGGCGCCGTTCATGACCAAGACCGGACAGTTTTTCTCCGAGTTCATCGCAAGCGGCATCCTCATGTTCATGATCTACGCGCTTAAGGACGATGGTAATCTCGGGGCTGGGAATCTGACGCCGCTGGGCCTGTTCTTTGTCATCTTTGGGATCGGCGCTTGCTTGTAAGTTGTGCTGGACCGCGTGTGCACGGCAACCAAAACTAACTCTCCCTGCCAACAGTGGCTGGGAAACGGGCTATGCCATCAATCTGGCTCGAGACTTTGGCCCGAGATTGATGTCATACATGCTTGGGTACGGTCCAGAAGTGTGGCGAGCCGGCGATTATTATTTCTGGGTAAGACGGAACACTGCCACACTAACTGGATGCATTTGTTGACGGTCTCCATAGGTACCAATGGTCTCGCCTTTCTTCGGATGCACATTCGGTGGCTGGCTATACGACATGTTCCTGTTCACCGGCGAATCTCCCATCAACACGCCGGTTGTGGGATTGGCTAGATTTCTGAAGCCGAATCGGGCGACATGGTCCAACACGTATGTCCCGCAAGAGGGTTCGAAGGTCTAGACAATCTCCGACCGCAACTGACTGTCGACTTCGGTATTGACCATGGACTCCCACTCAAAACCCCTCCGAAACACAACAGAAGAGACTTTGGACGCGCACATGACAAGGCTTAAGAGATTCCCGGAAGACAACAAAAGCAAGAGGCGGGCAGACAAAAACGGGACCCATACTCCAGACAGATGTATTTCTAGGTGTTTTGATGACGTTTACGAAGGCTTTTGGAAACAAAATAATCAATGTGTGGTTGTATACTTTGTGATTTTCGTTGCTCTCCCAGACACGACAATTTCAGCCTCGGACTTTTGGCTGGGCGCGTCCTTCCTGCCACTTTGGGACTAGCGCTTAATTTCCAGCGAAACTTTATTTGAGCTCCAGCTTCTTCTCAATTTTGCGTCTTCCAAACAACCCATGTCACCACCCTGCTCCATCCTCCCTCTTGGGCGAAAAACATTCTCGCGCGATATGAGATTGCGCTGATGACACAGGCTGGTATACGAAGTGCCCGACCAAGTCCCGACCTGGCCCGAGATGCCTCGTGTTACACCTCGAGCAAGTCCCAAGCCAATTTGCCGGAGCCGGCACTGAAAAATAGCTCTCACTGGGGCATTTTACGTGTATTCTCGGTCTGGAGTGCTCTGGTGGGAGAGAAAAAAAGTCTGTGATAAGACATGGGTCAAGATGCGACGAGTGCTGCAACCCCGGCTATCGGTGACACGGCCGCCGCCCAAGATACTGAGGAAGAGAAGAGTGAGATTCTCGCCGAGCCACTTTACGAGTTAGTTGAGGGAATACGAGGCGGCTCGAGACACCCTGCCTCGACTCGAGCTGGTCTGCAGAATACAAGCGCGCTTTATCTCGAGCCCACCGATTGCGACGTTGCTTTGCCATTGGCCGAGCGACCTGCCATGCGAACCTAGCGCCATCGTGCTCTCGTGCTGATGCGAGTCTGGCCTCGCTTTATGACCTTAGCGTCGATCCCCCGGCCTCTCGCCAATCTTCAAGGTTTTGTGCCTGGCAGGTTTCCCAGCCTCCACGAGGCAACCCGCCAGGACGGGCCCCCAGGGCTGATCAGGACCAACAGCATCGTTGCCAGGACATCGACCTCTCCACTTCTATACCTGTTGTCTGCCCTTGTTGGTCAATCTGCTCTCCCTCGTCTTCCCGAACCCACATCTCTTAGGGCTGGTAAGGTCGACAAAAGCCTCCCCCAGCACGCCGATTTCTGCTCCTTACTCCATCCTTGCCTGCGCTTCGCCTTTCTTCCCCAGCCTCGCTCGTTATACCGCTCGTTTTGAAGATGGAAGCACCATTATATAACGGCGCTGTTTGTTTGGTTCAGTATGGCATTCCTCATTCCATTCTTCCAAGAAGACTTCACTCGATTTCGCGTTGCCCACACGAAATTGATCTTTCAAAATGCACGTTTCAGTCACTACCCTTGCCATTCTGGCATCAGCTGCTTCCGCGGCCTACGTTCTAGAAGATGATTATACCTCCTCGTCCTTTGCAAACATGTTTGATTTCTTTACGGTATGGTAACTTGGCTCCCTTTAGAGACCAGCAAAGTGCTAACCTTGGGCAAAGGGCAACGATCCGACGAACGGCTATGTTAACTACATATCCTACGATCAAGCACAGAGCTCTGGTCTCTACAAAATTGACAACGGGCGCGTCTACATGGGCGTCGATTCCACCAATGTGGCCTCCGGCCGTGGTCGCGACAGTATCCGAATAAGCACCAAGAAATCGTACAACCACGGCCTCGTTATCCTCGATCTTGCACATATGCCAGCGGGCGCATGTGGCACTTGGCCCGCGTTCTGGATGCTGGGTCCGGACTGGCCCAACAATGGAGAGGTTGATATCATCGAGGGAGTTAACAGCCAATCTTCCAACAACATGGCAATGCACACGGACGCAGGATGCACAATCACGAACACAGGAGCTTTCTCTGGAACACTGGAGACTGATGACTGTGATACTGCTGCTCCTGATCAGCCCAGCAATGCCGGTTGTTCGATGCGCAGCCAAGACACGAATAGCTACGGCAACGGGTTCAACTCCAACGGCGGCGGTGTCTATGCGACCGAATGGACAAGCGAGGCCATCAGCATCTGGTTCTTCCCCCGGAACGCCATCCCCTCTGATATCACAAGTGGAAACCCCGACCCATCAGGGTGGGGTCTCCCTCAAGGCCAGTTTACTGGTGGTTGTGACATTGACGACAAGGTAAAGAACCAACAGTTGGTCTTTGACGTCACCTTCTGCGGCGACTGGGCTGGCCAGGTGTGGTCGACCGACGCCGTCTGCTCGCCGAAAGCCGCCACTTGCCAGGACTACGTTCAAAACAACCCCTCAGCCTTCCAGGATACGTACTGGCTCATCGACAGTTTGCGAGTATATACCGACAATGGCTCTGGCGCACCAGCGCCAACATCCAGTTCAACCACCGTCTCAGCAAGCCTGTCGACCACTCCCACCGTACCCACCACAACGCTCCTTACTTCCACTTCCTCCAATGTACCAGCGACCTCGACACGAAGTGTGGAACCAACCTTCCCCTCGACTACTGCGGCTTTTACTCCTACAACTACTCCAAATACCACCCCTACGACTGCCCCGACTTCTCTGCCCACCTCTCTCGTCACCTCTGCCCCATCCGCGTCTTCTCCATGGCCCTCATCGGCAGCCTGGGATGGCACACCGTGGAATTCCGCAAACGGCGGATGGAACGGCGGCAACCGGGGCGGCGACGATGGCGGGTCAGACAACTGGGGTGGCTGGAGCGACGGAGGCAACGGCGGCGGTCGGGGAAACCGTCGCGGCAACCCCTGGAAGTCATGATCTGATCCACGACGCACGACTATTATTACGCAGCAATTTTTCACACCAACAATAGAGCGATACGCAGCAGCACCACGATTACGACGCAACGATTTACAGCATACGACAGTATCACATACGTGGGACAACGGCAACGGGAACGGGAACGGGAACGGCAATTGAAATGGGAATGGAATGGCAACTGGAAAGAAAAAAGAGGGGGGTGGGAATATGGAGAGCCAACAACGGCTGTTTATGACCAGGAATAGAAAGGATAAACAGGTTCCAAATCGGACAGGACAGGACAGCATCAAGATACCCCGTGGGCAAAAGGGACAGAAACGACATGGGAAAACGTTTTGGAGGGTCACTGACGGCGCCGGCGCACTGGGATAGACATACACATATGATACACATACCTCGACAGGATGAGGTGCCTTGTCGGGGTTGGGAACGGCTTTTGAGCGCATGATTGATATTGAGCATAGTTTTGCGAGGCTAGCCAGAAAGGCGATCTTAATGGAGACTAGACTCTATTATATTATATCATATCATACTATATTATACATTTATGTATATGTATATGCTCGTTATACGAAGACTTTAAGTCTCCTTCTGTCTACTTCTGTCTCCCTCTCCTCCTCCCTCCCTCCCTCTCGCACTCGCTCTTGAGGCATACACGTACTTACTTACTCTTGCTGACATGACTGCTCAAAGCTATCCACTGGGGTAGGTTTTTATTTAGGTGCTTTACTTGTTTTAAGTACGATATTTATCCTCCTCATCTTTCATCCTCTATTCTCGCATAGATACATAGGTCTAGAATATAATACAATGCACAATACACAGTCAAAGATCAAGGTTCAGCCTGTCGTGGTGGGAGAGATTTTTATGATCTGGATTCTTTCTTTGTCTTCTTCCGATCTTCACGGGTCTTGTCTATTCTTTTTTTGACGACTCACACACAACGACTTACGGGAAAGCCCCGCGTTGCATTACATACATACATACATACATACCGCCTGTCAGACAGCAGAAAATTGATTTGTGGGCAGAGTGAAAAGCCCCTCAAATCCGGACATAGCAGCTACATATACATCTCACCGTGATCATTAGGGGACGTCCCCTTCAGTTCATCACGGAATAACGGGGGCGTCGACCCCAAACCAGTTCCAGCCTTGATCCAGGTCCACTCCGCTCTGGCCGAATGGGAAAGTGCCGAATGAATACCCGGGATTCACCATCCCACCCAGACCACCTCCAGCAGCTGGAGCATTCAAGTCATTCTGTGGCGTCGTGTTCGAATTATACGGGCTCTGACTTTGTAGAGAGTGCGATGGTTGTGGGGTGAAGCCCGATCCGCCAGACGATATGCTGACACTCCCCGCCGAGGGGAGGTCTGTAGGCTGCTGAGGTGGAAATGCCATAAACGAGTCAAACGTGATAAATGGATCATCGGCTGTCTCAGGCCAGGCTTGATCCAGGCCCGGGGCAATGTAGTTCGTCGACTCATAAAGAGGAGCCCGTCGGGTCTGGGAAAATTGCGAATGCTGCTGATCGATCGTCGTCGACAAGGGTGACGGTTGGGTGCTGTTTGAAGCAGCTGATGGCGGAGTCGGCAAACCCGTGTTGGTGGGCACACCGGCCACTGGAGCGGACGTGTTCAAGGGCGCATCCCGTGTGCGTTGTGCATATGTGCCGGGTTTAATGGGGACAAAATGCTTGCCCATGCCGATGGAGATGTTGCCAAAGTAGGGGATCGAGACTTGACAGGTCTCCCCCCTGCATTCTTTGACACCTTCCATATCACAGCCCTGCCGTACACGAGCAAGCATTTCGAGGGCTTGGGCGCTTTGAGCCGCCACAACACCGCCCGGTTCTTTGGCCGCGTCTTTCAACAGAGCAATTGTTTGGTCGATGAGGTCCGAGTCGATCTGGTCTTGCTCGAGGTCCATCTGCCGAGCATTGCTGCCACGGTGTTGCTGGGAGTATCCACACAGGTTCAGCAGTAATAGCATGGACCCAGTAAAAGCTTGAAAATCAATCAATTTGCAAATGAACGGGCCCACGGCCTTGTTGGTCCGGAGTGCCTTGTAGACTCGGATCATTTCGCGTGAAGCGTCTAAGGCTGCGGTGTGAGAGTATTGGTATCTCTTGTCGGTCGATGACCGGAGCATGAATGGCAAATGCAGCATGACTTTGGCTTGGTGATGGAAGAAATGTGCTTGGAGTCGATCAAAATGGTCCTCGGCCGAATCACCAGGAACAAGCTCGGTCGACCACCAGCTAGGGTCTTGGGTGCTGTGCAGCTCCTCCAACTCTTGATCGAGTCTCAACGTTGCCGAGTATCCCATGGGCACTACACTCTGGTTCCGATCGATCATTTTGGTGATAATGGGCACCATCTTCCCCGTGTAGTACTCGCCGGCGTTCACCGATGACGGTTGAGGTCCAGATATCGGAATGTAGGGGGTGACAAAGCTATCGCTGACGGAATATGGCAGACCCAGTAGCAAGGATAGGTATCGGTCGCCCATAACAAGATGACACCAGATATTGACCGAACGCTGATAATCCAGCGAGATCTTGTCCGTGTGGGCTGCTAATCGGTGAATGCCCAATAACTGAGCAAAGGCGAGTGCTCGGTGGAATAACAGCCAGGCGCGTCGCGGCCGGCCCATATTGATGTGGTACTTAGCTTCAAGCATCATGCACTCGATGCCATCAAGCGTGGCTGCAATCTCATCGTCAGATGTAATCAACTTGTCGACTGTCGCAATATATCGTTCCATCAGATCAGTAGGCTCTTCTTTGATTTGAAGTCGCGACCAATCGAAATGTTCTGGTAGCTGGTGAATGCTGATTGCGATACATAACATGATCTTTGCCAATTCGGCCGGCTTCTGTGAACGCAATGAGTGCGAGACGGATTCTTTGATGGTCTCACATCGACTGTCGGTGATTTCGGGAAACATCCTCCTCCATATGGCCCACCATTCGTGGGATTGTTCTAGGATAACTTCCAGATCACTCGGTGCGGGGAGCAACTTGTTCAAGGCCGTCAGAAGCATCTTAGTTTTATTGTACTGGGCTCTTGACACGACGGGCTGGCTCTCTTTTCGTTCGAGGACGGCATTATCGAACAGGCTCAAAGCCGGGGCGTCATCTCGAAGTCCACCAGGAAGAAGAATCGACTCTTCGGTGCTGGGGTTTTCCTGTCGCAATGAGCTCTTCAGACTTTTCAACACTTCAGCAGCCTGAGCATCAAGTTGGCTTTTGTCGGAATCTGAACCAGAAGCGTCACCCTGGGCGCCGCCGTCCTTCTCCGGTAACCGGTGCAGCACCTGTTTAACTAGATCCTCAAGCTGTGACACTCTTTCCCTTAAACTGTACGACGACTGTTCTGAGGTGGCCTGGGTGTATGTGTGAATGTCCCCGTGCTCTTGATCAATGCAGGTCGAACCTCTGGCATAGCATTCGTTGCATACCGCAGGCCTCCCGGGTTCGAAAGTACATTTGATTTTTCTCCGCCGACACTCCAAACAACTTTTTGTTCCCTTCCGCATCTTCTTCCTCGGGGGGCCTTGACTATGGTCGAATCCGAGCCCGCCGCCATCAGTATTGTACGGTGACGTGGACATACTGCCAGTTCGACAAATTGGCTATCAGTGCAACAGAAGTCTGCTCGAAGTCCCGCGATTGTAAAGAGAACGAAGAAAACAGGCAATTGAAGGTGAGTGGCGAGAATCGGAGACTGCGGACTCTTATTTCCAGAGAGGCGCTGACTCAGGTGATCGGATTGAAGCCTCCAAGTCTAGACTTTGAGGGCTCGCAAATTGGGGCAGAGAGGTGAGGGAAAGATCTTGTAGAAGACTCAAGCAATGGGCCATGCTTCTAGAAACGCCATAAGTGCTTGTTGAAGGCTCCAGATCAGGAGTGTGTAATGAAAGATGCCTGTGAGCACATGAATTGTCAGCACCTGTGCTAGGTTGTCACTGATGATGGTATTCTCCAGCCACCTGAGATGCGTTTTGTCTGACGAATGCTGGTTTCGTTAATTCCTATATGATAACTGCTACAATACTGGAGATGACTGACTGTCATTTTGTCATTTGAAGCCTGGAAGGGTCTAGCTTCTCACGTGAGTGTTTCCTCCACTCTTTTTTTGCACACTTTGATCCTTTCTACTACTTCTTAGACACACAGACAATGACATACCACCTTTTGCCAGATTCAATGTCCTCTATGTAGCTTACCAATCCACACACATTCAGAACCCCATGGACCCCTACGAGCAGTCCTCCTCTTGGCAAGGAGGAGAGAGTCAGTCAAATTTCGTCCGCCCGATTTCGTCCGACCATCCAGAGTCACCACAGGAGGCCTAACGGGGACACCGCAGCTCCTCGCCAATCGGCGAACAACCGACAGCGGCTCCACTTCAATCTCTATCTGGAAGAAACCTTGCAATAAAGAGGAAGAAACTCGAGACACACTAAAGTGGTAATCCGGAGTAAGGCATTGTCTCGGTCTCGTATCTTGGGTTAGGACAACGCATGCCAAACATGATGACAATCGAAGGAACACCATGATATATAATACTGCCTGGGTCTCTCGGCTGTCCCTTTCCGGCAGCTTGAATGGTCCATCACCCCAAAAAACTCACACGATGTCACATTCAGTGGACCTACTATCGAATGTGGAACGCGAATTTTCGACTGTTTGACTGCTGCCTGATTACCGGCAAGTCTGTCAAAGTGTGCTTTCGCATTGTGGGTCGCTGCCGCTGGTACAGCCTCGTCCCTAGTTCGCGCTGGTTTACTACGACACATCCTCCTGTTATTGAGTCCCCCATTTTTTGGTTGGTTGTTAATTCCACGTGCTCTGCCTGTTGCTCATGCCGAAGGTCGAGAACGTGGATGGCTTCACTTGTTTCGTCAGCATTGTGCTTGTATCAATTCTCGTGCTATCTGATCCATGTGTCCCCCCGACGTTCGCACTTATTTTCTTTTACAACCAGAGGGGTGTGACTTGGATGTATATGGCATTGCAGGAGTAGACCTTATTCCGCTCTCTTAATGCAATCGGTTTTCACACCCTCCCGCAGTCATCCCGTTGAACCTGAACGCTTTCTGGATCTGGCTACAGAAAGAAACACAGGGGGAAAAGAAAAAGAAAGATTACAAAAGCGTACAGGCAGGAAATTTGTACTTTTCATCCCAATTCTACATACACGTACAAACAGCGTGTCAACCAACCTCAGACAAGAAACGGTACCATGCACCTCCCCACCCCTCAAGCATGTAGATCCAGCACATCCTCCTTGTCCGTGATGCAGCCATGGCTGGCATCGCTGACCAATTTCGCATACTTGGCCAAGACGCCTCTCCTGTACCGGGGCTCCGGCTTATTAGCATTCCACTCCTCCCGTCTCTTCTTCAACGTCGCCTCGTCCACAATCAGGTCGAGCGTCCTGCTCTCGGCGTCAATCACGATGTTATCACCGTCTCTCACCAAGCCGATGGGACCGCCTTCCATGGCCTCGGGGACGATGTGGCCGATCAAAAACCCGTGGGACCCTCCGCTGAATCTCCCGTCTGTGATCAGGGCGACGTCTTTGCCCAAACCAGCACCCATGATTGCGGAACTGGGCTTCAACATCTCAGGCATGCCCGGGCCACCTTTGGGTCCCTCGTACCGGATGACCACCACGGTTTTCTCGCCCTTTTTGATCTCGCCACGTTCGAGGGCTTGGATGAACAAGTCTTCGGCATCGTAGACCTTTGCTTTGCCCTCGAAGCGCAAGCCCTCCTTGCCTGTGATCTTGCCCACCGAGCCGCCCGGGGCGAGACTGCCTCGCAGGATCTGAATGTGTCCAGTCTTCTTGATCGGCTGAGAGAACGGCTTAATGATGACTTGATCGGACGGGAAATCGGCGGCGGACTCGACATTTTTGGCGAGCGTCTGGCCCGTGACTGTCGTATGTTTGCCCTTGACCACTCCTTCTTTTATCAGGAATTTCAACAGAGTGGGAATGCCACCCACAGTGTGTAGGTCATTGAAGACATATTTCCCGCTCGGCTTGAGGTCTGCGAGGAAGGGGGTCCTGTCACTGACCGCCTGGAAGTCGTCGATGGTGAGCTTGATGCCCACCGCATCAGCCATGGCAATCAGATGCAGCACCGCGTTCGTGGAACCGCCAGTGATCATCACCACTACCATAGCATCTTCAAAGGCTTCGCGAGTCATGATTTCGCGCGGCTTTAGGTCCAGTTTGAGCAAGTTCTTAATAGCCTCTCCAGCCGCCAGACACTCGAGTTGTTTCTCCTGAGAGACCGCCGGATTGGACGAGCTACCCGGCAGTGTCATGCCCAGTGTTTCAATGGCCGATGCCATGGTGTTGGCAGTGTACATACCACCACAAGCGCCACAAGCGGGAATGGCATTGCGGATGATGTCGAAGCGCTGCTCCTCATTAATGTCCCCTGCGATGAACTGACCGTAGGCCTGAAATGCTGAGACAACGTCGATATCCGCGTTATTCTGCGTCCGCGCACAGCCTGGAGCTATGGAGCCGCCGTACACCATGATCGACGGGCGATTTACTCTTCCCATCGCCATGACCACACCAGGCATGTTCTTGTCGCAGCCAGGAATGGAGATGTTTGCATCGTACCACTGGCCCTGCATGACTGTTTCTATCGAATCGGCAATGATTTCTCTTGACTGCAAGCTGTAGCGCATGCCGGTCGTTCCCATTGAGATGGCATCCGACACGCCGATCGTGTTGAACTGCATAGGCTGGAGTCCTGCGTCTGCGACACCCTTTTTCACCACGTTGGACAGGTCCAGTAGATGCATATTGCAGGGATTGCCGCTGTACCAGACAGACGAAATGCCCACTTCTGCCTTGTTCATATCTGCTTCGGTCATGCCGGTCGCGTAGAGCATGGCCTGCGAGGCACCCTGGGACTTGGGCTGCGTGACATGACGCGAGACTTTATTGAGACCTTCGGCGTCTGAGGAGGAGTTTGCGTGGCGCAGGGACGAGGAAGAGAATGGGCGACTGCTGGAGCGTTAGCTGTGCGAGACCAGGGCGGATTGCAATGAGCATACATGGCCTGTCTGCCGAGAGGAAATCTTGCTTGCCTGAGCCGCAGGCTTCTGAGGGCTGCTGAAGCTGTCATTGTGAGCTACCTGTATTTCGCAGAGCTGGAGGGGAGACTCTGGACCAGGCGCATCGAGTTCTTGGTGAGACCAACGAAGATTAAAAGGAGGGGAGAGACAAAGCCAGTCTTATTTCCCACCGACAGGGCACCCAGCTTCACCTCAAGTGCTAAAGAGTCACCTACTCCAAGTTGCTCATGACCTTGTACCACAAATTGCAGTTTTCCCCAGAAAAGACGAAAAGTCCGTAAGCGGAGAGGCTGGAAGTTAGCAAGTGCAGGGGCCCGGAGCCAATCGGAGTGCAGGGAATTCAAGCAGCGCCGGGGAGTCTCGTTGATCTCCGGGGCGCAGTCAACTGCAGCCTTGCTCAGCCTTGCCTCTTGCGCTGGTCACCAACACCACACGCACTCGTCTACGAGGGATCAACCACAAGGAAGCGTTGCCAGCCAGCATTGTGCTGCCAGAGCAGCTCTACAAAGTCAAGAAACAATGCCACGACTGTCGCCTCCTCGAGCATACTACCACAGTCTATCAATTCTCTGCTCTTTTCCGATAAACTCGAAGCTGATTATTCAATGCACAGGTCAAAAACCCCCTTTCCCTAGATCTCCTCTGTTGCGCTATTGCCTGACGTCGCATACCTGCCTCGGTTCCAGCGAATTATCTGTGAGATTGGTTCTGCTTGTACAAAATGCGTCGATTGTCTGAAATGGACTTACCGAGGCCAGGCCTGAAAGGGATACCCCTCATATTAATGCACAGACTGCCCATGCAGCCATGCCAGCGTCCAACTCCAATAATATCGTCACATAAGCTGCTTGCTGGTGGATGGAAAACTTTACCCAGAGCTACCACGACCAGGGCTTATCGTCATCAATCCTGTCCCGCGGGAATAAAGTGAAAAATATCGGGTCATCTCTTATGACATACAAGGGCCCGTCATCCTCTGCGGGGCAGTGAGCTCCTCACGAGCTAATTAGCTCTGTCCTTACCAACCGGCTATCCCCTCAAAATGGATTGAAGACCCAGAACGCCTAAAGGTTCCCGGTCGGTATACCTCGGGACATACCGCGGGACTTCCTGTTTGTTTTTTCCCCAGCAACAGAGGAATCAAGGTGATAAGTAGACTCTACGAGATCCTCAGAGAACAAAACATGACGGACGCATTCTCCCAAGCAAGCAGGCGGTTGAGTCAGATCAAGGATTCCATCATGGGTAAAGTGGCCACCACCATTCCCTTCGACCCGGAGTCGACCTCGTTCCCAACCCGCAAGAACCTCCCCAAGATCGTGGGCGCGCCCGACGAGGCCGCCTGGGTTTGGGGCAAGGACGACTACGTCGGGCGGCTGAATTTGTTGACGCCCACGCGGGTCAAAGCCGCCGCCTCGCAGGAGATCCGCACGGGGGAAATGGCACGACTGGATCTGCCCCTGGACGTGCCGCTGCAGCCAGCGTTTGGGCGGCAAAAGTTTGAGCACAAGATCGTGGCCATCGCCGAGGGCATCTCGTACGACGACATCTACCACATGAACACGCAGTCCGGCACGCAGTGGGACGGGTTCCGGCACTTTGCCCACATCGCCACCCAGACCTTCTACAACAACACGCACAAGGACGACATCATGGGCCCGACGGCCAACGACCACAAGTGCAGCATCCACCACTGGTCCGAGCACGGCTTTTCCGGGCGTGGCGTCCTGCTCGACTACCGCTCGTACGCCGACAGCGTGGGCATCAAGTACGACACGGCGACGTCGCACGCCATCAGCTACGACGACCTGGTCGCGTGCGGCAAGCACCAGGGGCTGGACATCCGCCCCCAGGCCCAGGGCGGCGACCTCAAGATCGGCGACATCCTGCTGATCCGCTCCGGCTGGGTCGAGGACTACTACAAGCGGGCGCCCGAGGACCGCGACCGGCTCGCCCTGCGCCACGGCCCGGACGCCCAGTGGTGCGGCGTCAAGCAGGAGGAAGCCGTCAAGGACTGGCTGCACGACTGCTACTTTGCCGCCGTGGGCGGCGACGCCCCGGCCTTTGAGCGCTGGCCCACCCCGGAGAGCTACTACCTGCACGAGTTCATCATCGCCCTGTGGGGGATGCCGCTCGGCGAGATGCTCGACCTCGAGAAGCTGAGCCAGCTGTGCAAGAAGAACAAGCGCTGGACCTTCTTCTTCAGCAGCGCCCCCTTCAACTGCCACGGCGGCGTGAGCAGCCACGTCAACGCCACTGCGATTTTCTGATCCGAGGGGCCACACAACAACTCGGCCGAGCGGGCCATGAGAGAGTGGGCAAGGGAGAAGGGGCTTGACAGGAGATTTTAGGGAGTATGTATGTAGGTTGACGACTGCGAGGCGAGGCGAGGCGAGACGAGTCGACTCTAGCCTAGCATGAAGCAGAAAAACGCATACGTTGCCGCCAAATCTTTCGTGAATGGTTCGATGCGGGTGAATGAACGAACGAATGAATCTAATGATGGACGGGCTGTCTGCTGGTCCAACTGAAGGTCCAACTGAAGGGCACGAGGGAATGAGAACTTCAACCACTGATGGGTGACAATGCTGCATGCATACATGCACGCCTGCATGCCATCCTGGACCAACTTTTTGGGACGGTTCGAATCGAGATCAAACATCAATAACCATCCTGCCCTGCCCTGCCCTGCCCTGCCCTGCCCCGCCCTGCCCTGGTCAAGATATAGTAATATACTTCATTCCACAAAGCCCAACCACCACCTGCACTTCCACGGACAACTATCCTGTTCCACTACCGAGTCAAAGCCTAGTCTGAGTGTCTGATCCGAGTGTGGTCTTATCTATATGTGTTTTTGTGTTTGTGTGTGTACTAGCTCCACCTCTTTGGCTTATACCTCGTAGTTATAGCTAGCTATGTCTTGGAGTCTTCCTGCTTCTCTGTGCCTTCAGCTTTCTTCTCTCCGTTCTGCTGCGCGGAGTCCTGCTTCTGTTCTCCATCACCTCCTGTGGCGGGGGGTTCGGATGGTGGAGTTGATGATGGCGGCGCTGTTGTTGTTGTTGTTGTTGCTGCTGCAGCACTGCTAACCACTGCCTTTGCCTGGACGACTTTCATGATATGCTCGCCTAGATCACCCGAGCCGTCAATCTTGCTGATTCGCGCATTGAAGAATGATGCGTCCGCGAGTAACCTAGATCGACACTGTCAGTATTATGGTCTGCCTGGCCGCGATACAACTTCTATGGCGAGAGAGCCTACCTTTCCTTGGCCTTGAGGGACTTGATGGTGACATCTCGGTACGCATTCGTCCACTGCTCTCGGTAACTTGCAAACACGGGCATCATGATCCCCGCCATCACAGGCTCTGGTAGGTGTTTGGCCAGGACTTTCTGCAGGGTGGCCGTTTCTTTCGCCAACGTCTCCATGTACGGCGACACATTGACGGTCGTGTTCTTGGCCGCTTCTTCCCAGTCAATATTCTTCATGGCCTTGACGTGCATCGAGGCTCTTCCGGACATGATGTCGACAAGCTTCTCGTGTATGCCATGTTGATGTTCCTGGAAGAGACGCTTGACCTTGTCGAATTCGGTCATAACTTGCCCAGCTGTCGATGAAGGGAGATGGCGGCGGAAGAATTCTCTCACATACGGTATGAGGGCGACGATGAAGCTCAGCCCTTGAGACGACAGTGCCAGGTGCTTAGTCGTGATATTCTTCAGCCCTGCACTCCTAGTAGCGCCGGCTCCTAAGATTAGCTGGGAGCTTCGGGAATTAAACAATTTGAGGCTTTCCAGCAATGACATGGCCACTTCATTGCTCATACTCGGGATGCCGGCCGCTAGGTGCTGGAAAGTTTCCATGGATCGTAACATGGCAATGGCAGATTCTGGAAGTATATACTTTTGCTCGTCGATCACTGCGCTGCGCACCTTTGTCCCTGCAGCTGTTGTGCCGTTGGTTGCCGCTCCGTTGCTGGTCTCTGCGCCGTTGGTCGAAGTTTGCCAGATCATTGTGCTCTCGATCCAAGGAAGAGCATCGTTAGTACTACCTTCCATCACTCGAGCAAGAATCTCATTCTCACGCTCGCCGAAATCACGAGCGTCCCACTTATCCGCATCCATCACCTTGATCACTTCGTGCTTCTGGGCGTCTGCAAATCGCGCAACGAAATCCTTGATTTGGGTGTCGAGGACGCTCTTGAGTCCCGCGCCGCTGCGGCCAGATATCGCTTCACACTCATCCGCAAATAGTCTGTTGAGCGTAAAGTACCTCAAGAAATCAGACAATGGCAGCTCCGAATTCTGCTGTGACCGAACCCTAACTACTTTCGTGATCTGTGCCTGCGCAAGATCGACGCCTTCCCCTAAAAGACTGGAGAGATCTAGAACTTGCTGCATTTCTGCCTGCACAGAACTGGTAGCTCGGGCTCGGCCTGTCGGAGGACTCATAACTCTGTCGATACTTGCAGGGTCTGGAGTTCTCGGAGGGGATTTGATCATATGGTCTGGTAAATGACTTGTGATGTCCAACAAAATTTTGACCTGCACGCTGAGTCGGCGCAGACCCTCACTAATGTTTGTATAGATGGTTGCAAGCATCTGATACCAATCTTGTGCGTCCAGAGATCTCAGATTTCTCGCCAGAATTGACGATTTCTCCTGTTGGCTCATATTTCTTCCACCGACTGTTGAGGCGGAAACGGTAGAAACGTTGTCATCGTCGTTGGAGCTCGGGAGCTGCTTTCGGATCATGCTCTTCATCTCCCGCAAGACGATTGCCCGAAAACTAGTCGCTGCAGGAGTCGTATACCTGGCCCTCGAGAGGCCTCGCATCTCAGCTTCAAGTTCGTCTCGTAGCTCAGATCCAATATTCATATATCCAGGGAACGCTGAAGGTGCTCTCCTTTGGCCCGGTTTGGGCCTTGTATAGGCAATCCCCCACCTTTGAAGGGTCATGCTGGTCTCGGTGTGTTCCACATGTCGTCTGATATCACTGAGCAGGCTGTTGTGGAATCGGGCCTCGTACCCCCTACCGGCGCGCTGGCGTAACTGGTTCAGATCATCCAAGGCGCCCTCGAGGGCTTTGATTCTTCGTAGATCACGCCTCTGATAACGGAGTTGTTGGTCCACTTGAGAGGACTTACTCTCCCTGCCGGCCATCAAGGCTTCCACGTCATCTAATCGATCCAAAGCTTGATCAATCTCGCCCTTTTCAACCATGTCTTCGCATGTTTGAACAGACTTGACAATGTCTTCGAGCTGCATGATTGCCTGCGCCAATTGACGGACATTGTCGCGACGCTGCTTCAAATTGACCACTTTCAACCCGTCGATAGCCATCTCTTTGTCAAGTCTCGCCAACTCCCTCCGGAGTCTTTGAATCCGGTCTACTGAATCAGCAGCCTCATTGTGTAGCTCCCTGAGAGATCCGAGGGCGGAAAAGAACGACTTCGAGGCCGTTGATATGGAGTTGATCAGGTGGACCTCGACAGTATCCATGTACCATGACAACTTCTCTTGCAGAATTGCATTTGTAGCCAGGGACTTCCGTCCAGAAGGAGTACCACTGGGGTCGCGGACAATCTCCGAATTTTCAGAGACGATGTCAAACGTCCTGGGGTTCTCGAGGTGGAAATCTTCTTCCGAATAGACAGCCGGGATTGTGGACAACGGGGTGACGGCCTGACGTCGTTGGCCACTCTGTCTCCTTTTCGGCTGAGGCGACTCTGACGGGATCGATATTGTCGAGCTCACTGAGCTCGCCCGTGAATGCCCCGGCCGTTGCAGGCGCTTGCTGAGGATGGCCTCCCACTCTTCATTTTTTGTATCTTTCTTATCCCGGTGGAACAAGGATGTTTCGCCTTCACCCTCATTCTTTGCCCTTTGGAACGCTTCGTACAGCGAACCAACCTGCGACAGGTAAGGATGGAACGCTTTGGCTTCGACGTGAGGGATGTTTGTGAGGGCAACGGGAGGAATATCGCGTGGCGTAGGAGCCTTGTATCCAGAGCTGGCAGGGACCGTGGTTGCTCTTAGGCCCGTGTGGATTATCGGGTGTTGCAGCAATGTCGAGATCGCATTCTGGCTGGTTTCTGTTATTGTAGCATTGTTTAGTGAAACCGTGTCGAGGGTGCTGGCAATTGAGCTCGACGTCGATCCACGACGCAAGCCACCTTTTGGGCCTCCATGTTGTCGCTGCGGAATGCTAGGGAATGGGTATTCCGTTGCGGGTGAGGTGGCTATCGGTGAGGCATAGGTTCCCTGGGATCCAGGTCGGATTGGAGACGCCATCTCATCTTCTTCCCTGACATGCGCAAGGTTCCGAGGGCATCAAATGTGACATGCCGTGTCATAGGGAAATCAAATATTCAATAAGGCTAACTGAAAACATTGTGCATGTTGCACGAGGGTACGGCATCTGCGAACCAATTGCTGATGAGGCCTGAAGGCGAGTCTAGACGACACGAAGGCCGCAGGTGAGTGAGATTGGAGAAACAGCCAAGACATGTAATGACGTGGGGCTAGTCAGTCCCTCCCGACCATGAGCCTCACGAGCTTCGTACCAAGATGATCGTTTCCTGACGGTATCACTACTTCTTGGACGTATCGCAGTATCTAACAACCAATTCGTCCACATCATAGATGCCTGAAATGGAGCGCTAGAAAGCCCTCCGCTGACTGACTCCAGACCGTACCTCAGCGAGTTGTGCTGTGGCTTGACGGACTCATCGCTTTCTAAGAAGGCGAGGAAAGCTTACTTCAGAATGGACAATACTCGAGACGAAGGCCTCCAGGCTGAAGGACCTTTTTTGCTGTGGCCCTGGGTGAGAATTTAGCTGTTTCATTCCGGATGGTCTAGGCATACCCGTTTCACAGCCTCTCTGGTTAGGGGCTGTCGAAAAATCGCTTGTGTTGCTACGAAAAGGATGGAAGGAGCAAAAACTACGAGAGGCAGTCGAGCATATCGGACGACAGATTAGCTTCTTTTGCGGTACCAAGCCTGAGCAGTGGCGGATCATCACAGCGTCGCCACCTCCCTTCCCATATCGGCTCAGCTGTGCTTTACTTTCTGTGCATATCGCCAGTGTTGGGGTGCAGACGTTCATCCTTGCGGACTGCTCTAGGCCATGTCAGGTTGGGCTTCAATGGAGAAGATCAGCTTCGCGCCATGCCTCCGGAGGTCCGCCACCACCTACCCATCCATGACATGGCCGCGGCACCCCAGCTCTCTTAACCAGAGGTGAGCAAAGCTCTGGCTCGGCTAGGGAAGCACTGAGTCATGTGCGAGGTCTAACTGGTTGTGAACGTGTCAAGTGAAATTTTTCCTGGCTTGACTGATCGAGAGGCATGCAATTGCGGAATTTGGAAACTCGAGTTAGTGGCGTGAGGTATGTATTCCAGAACAGTGCAAGGACCATTCCTTCTTTGCACCGAAGATTATAGTCGAGACCGCCTGCACAATTGGCCCAATACTCTACCTGGATTCTTGACAGTGCAGCGCTTGCCAAAGGGAAACTAATCTTCCGAGTTAGCCGATTGGCCGTACTGGGGCGCGATTTGACCCGGCGACGCTGGGAAACGAACGTCTCTGGAATCGAACCGGGCTTCTGACACTATCTATTTGTAGGGTCAGTCAAGGGACCGAGGACACGTAACCTTCCATTTTTCCCTCCTATAATGATATAGAGTTCTTGGTCAGACCACTCCCCATTCTCGTCTGCCAAACGTAAATATGAGAATTGTCGAAATATTGGCTCAGCCCCCCAGATTGGGAAGTTTCAGATAAGCGAGACCCACCATTTTTGTGGAATACCGACTAGATAGCCACTAGTATTACGCACTGTTGAACATAGCCTTTGGGCTCCAATTATGGGGTACCCGAAACACAGGATCTTGCTAGAGAGGGTATACTCGCTTGCGAGTGACTTAGTAGATGTACAAGTAAATGAGGATTCAACCACTTGGGTGATGGCGACCTGCGCAAGACGACTCTAGTTCCCTTTTCGTTACGTTTTACGTATGTGGTGCGTTTTGTGAGAGATGTTTTACTGGAATTCCGTTGGGCGAAAGGCCGCCACTACAAGATTCAGCATTATTTCCAGTATAGATTTGGCCTGCTTGGGCCTCCGGAAAGCCTCGATTGAATAGACCCAGCCCTAGTGATCTTGGCTGGGCCTAGACTCTAGTATATACCTGTCAGAGAGTAACTACTGTATATTCGAACGCTAGATGAACCGCTAGAGCATAGCCCGAGGAGGAGAGGGTGATCACATGAATACAGATGGTCGCCAACAGTACCTGAAAAGAGCGAACCTACCTATAGGATGAAGGTTGTGGTCGGCTCTTTATCGTCTGAGCCCAGCAACTATAAAGGTACAAGTCCCGTTGCCCTTGAGTGGCACCTTATCAGGGAGATCCAGTTCGCTTTCGGTTTTGACAACTAAAGAGCATCATGAAGCCGATTTCAGTCATACATCTCTTCTTTTCAAGCGCTTTCGCCTGCTCACGTGTGGCGTATAATGCAGGAGCTCAGGATGGCAATCGCATCGTGGTAGCACGATCTATGGACTGGTTAACGCCCACGAATTCGACCATCTATGTGTTCCCCGCGGGCCTTAATCGAACAGGCAAAGCAGGAGAAAATTCGGCAAACTGGACGAGCAAATACGGCTCTGTGATCCTGACGGCCTACGACATTTCTACCGTGGACGGCATGAACAGCCAAGGCTTGGTCGCAAATCTCCTGTACCATGCGTCCGCCGACTACGGTCCAAGGAATTTATCAATGCCCGCAATGTCAATTGCCATATGGCCGCAATACTTCCTGGATCGGTATAGCAACGTCAGTCAAGCTGCCGATGATATGTTCGACAAGGACGGCCTGCCCAAATTCCAAGTCAGGACAAAAGAGGTCGTCCCAGGAGTGAAGACCGAACTGCATCTCAGCCTCACCGATGCGACAGGCGACAATCTGATTCTCGAATGGATCGGCGGAGACCTGGTCGTCCACCATGGGAAACAATACAACGTCATGACCAATGAACCCAATTTTGATTCACAGCTCGCCATCAATGAGTACTGGGCAGACATTGCCAATGTCTCTCTGCCTGGGACAGATCGACCGGCGGATCGATTCGCGCGTCTTTCACATTACGTCAACGTCGCCCCAGGTTCAACCGATCAGACATCAGCTATATCGACGGCAGCTGGCATGATCCGTGCAGTCAGCGTGCCAATGGAGCCCATTAATATTAAGACGCCTAACATCACCCCAACTTTGTGGAGGACCTATGCAGACACCAAAGCGAAGATGTATTTCTATGAAAGCGCCTCGGATGGCAAGTTCTTTTGGGTTGATTACTCGGACATAAACTTGGGAAAGACTGGTCAAATCATGAAACTACCTCTGATAGGCGTCAACTGGACCGACAGGGTTGGTGACATGACGAATGAACTGGTGGAGTCTGCTTCCTTCCAGTTCTTAGAAATCGATACTTAATCTGGGTGTTACGGGCTGGCATTCATGCAACCATGGCCATGTAAGGAGAGCCTCGTTGGCTAGGCGGAAACAATCACTTTTCATGCAAATGACATGATTTGGTTATGTTCCCGCAGGTCAGCGCTTGGGGGAGTGTTTAGCCAACTCAAATTTAATCGCATCCATCCATTTCACAGAGAAGTGAACTTTCGGCTGTTGTTACAGGACTTGAAGTGCGGAACGCCACGGGCTCAGGGAGAACATGATGACAAAGGACAATCCGTTTCGGACGAAGACGACGGCGACAAGCCCATCCCCAACGATCTGCCGTCTCAGTGAGTAACAATGAACGTGCTTGCGAAGTCAGGGGGGTTGCAAACTCACATCCTGGTAGCAGTCGGTCACATACGCCAAAGCGGGCGTCCCCAATGATGACAATTGTCTCAGCATCAGACCCTAGTCGGCTTGGCGGCACTACGTACTTAGCGTATCCGCTAATCTTAGCCCCCAGGTAAGACGCCTTCGCTAGAAGGGGTCTGAGGGCTAATACGTGTTTTAGTCGTAGAATAACGTTCGCGTGTATGGGAACACCGCGTTTTGATTTTCTTTCGCATTCCAACCACGATTCCTCATTGTCTTCTGGATCTGTTTGACTTGGTTTAGTTCTCCCGTCACTCTTGACCTTTGATATTCATCATACCTATCGTAGACGTCGAACAATTCTCCACAGCGACAATTGGTCCATTCTCCAGCAATGAATGATTCGTTGTCCAGTAGGGACGGATCTTTGAACTGCAAATCGGTCAGCAAGACTGCATTGCTTACATATTGCAAGGGTCCACCAGTACTTACTGTACAGGGAATCTTCTTCAGCAAAATGTCGGCCATGGCAATAATCGTACAACTAGTATCTGAACCAAGAACTCGGTGACCTGAACCATTCAGTATCCAGAGTGCTTCCATAAAAGGATTCTTGAGTCCGACCTTTCGAGGACTGAAGGAGTCGGCAGTCCTGCCGTTCCAAGACCCTGGAGCCATTCGATCGCCGAAAATCGGGGACCGGGGGGCCAGGGGCTTTGAAGCCATGCCGAGCTGCCGCGGAGGAACTCTACGATGTTGAGGAGCACCAGTTGAAGGATTCTCGTGCGAGTCGAGCATCCAATATTCAGCCAGGGAGGACTAAGACTGGATTGTTGTTGACTTGATTGTCACACCGCAGCAGATCGGCCGACATCAACAGCAGCTTGGTCTTTTGGCCACTCAAGTATGGTCTGGAAGAGGAGACTGGAATCCCTGAATGTGTGACCACAGCATATCGACAAGATTCGAAAAGGCCACAGATCTGCGTGCTCGTCCGAGAAACTCGTCATCATGGCGAATGGCCAGCGAGGAGATCAGGGCAAAGGAGTTGCACGCGCCTGTGAATTCTGCCGGTGGAGGAAGATTCGCTGTGATAACCCTCGACCGTCGTGTGGATCGTGTCTGACGCATCGAAGAGACTGTGTGTACCGGTTTCACACCCGCAAAGAGCGGTGCGCAAATTCATCTGATTTTGGACCGGAGCGAGTGAAACACCTGACAATGTGCCTAGGGCAACGAACGTCGCGTTGAATGCGCTTCGAGCAGAGAACCAGCAACTTGTGAACATCATCCGACGGCTGAAAACCGCAGCGCCTGATCAGACTGTGGCTCTTCTCGAGTCCATCGCCATCAGCCGCGACGACAAGGTCGAGCAGACCAGCAAAACGTGTCACCAAGACAGCACCGGCCGTGATCCAGAATCTGCTGGACAGCGATAACGAAAGCACCCAGGTGTCATCCGACAATGAGCTCGATGTCTCGACCTTCTTTTCCGTCGACGAGCAGGGCGAATTCAGCACGTTCGGGCCCTCGTCCGCGCTGCAGTTGAGCCATCGCCACCACGAACCCGTCAGCCCGCTGAGTGTGGAGCATCTCCGGAATGCCCTCATCACCAACGCAGCTCTGTCAGCAACAGCGCGAGTACGAGATCTATCAAATGGCCGACCTGGACGGGGTGCCGATCGCTCTCGCGACGCATCTGCTCGATCTGCATTGGAACCAGCAGCATCACACGTTCCTGCTGACGCACCGACCGGTGGTGATGCGAGATATCTTATAAGAGCGACCGTATATATCCAAGTTCCTCCTGAATGCAATCTTTGCCATGTGCCAGCAAGTTCTCCCAGCGTCTCGAGGTGCGAGATGACCCCGCGGATCATGCCACCTGCGGGAGGGCGTTTCTTTCGACGGTGCGACGACCTCCTGATGCAAGATTCGCTGTTGAACAAGCCCAGTATCCCAACCATCGTCGGGCTTCCTTTGCTCGGGTCGACCTTTAATGCCAAAGGACAGACGTCCAGAGGACGGCTGTATACGGGATATGCTCTTCGAATGGTCTACGACGTCGGACTGCACGTAGACCGCACTCGGACCCCCCAGAACGCCGAGGAGATCGAGCTCCGACGACGAGTGTTCTGGGGAGCATTTGTCTGCGACAAGTTTCAGAGTCTCTATATTGTTCCCTTTTCCGAGTAACTATATCCTTTAATTGAGTTATAATAAAGCTCACTCTTAATTTCATAAATCATCATCTTTATACATGTCCCAATTCTAATGTCTGTCTCCTATCCTACTGCTCTCTTCGCTTGGCTCACCTTCCTAGTTGCTCTCCTCTGGTGTGGTCGCATATAGGCCATGTCGTAACACCAGACTTGTGGCCGGGTTCGTAACAGCACCTTTTCAGGTCGTGTTGGCTTCACTCGTCTATCGTGACAATCGCTTTCCCGGTGTTCTCGCCTTTCATAAGCGCGGTGAGGGCACCAGGGAGAGACTCGAGGCCTTTGCTCTCCGTTTCGATAGCGACGAGCTCGCCAGACTCAACCCATTTGCGAAGTTGCTCGAAGGCCTCCGGCCACTTTTCATGGAACAACATAGGTTGAAACCCTTCGAGACGTAAACCGTTCATATGTATTGGCGAGATATTCACCACCCAAGCATAGTTATTATCGTCATAGGTCGCGATCTGGCCACACTCGACCACCCGGGCAGGACGCTTCATCTGCTTCATGATGATCTGAGAAAGTTGACCTCCCACACTGTCGAAGTATAGATCGATTTTACCCGAGGTCGCAGCTCGAAGCTGTTCGGCAAAGTCATCTGCGCGGAAGTTAAGGGCCACATCGAGACCCAGCTTCTAGGTGAGCATATCTTGCTTCGCTCGCGTGCTGGTCAGGCCGATGACCTTTGCACCCCTGATCTTCGCGATCTTCCCAGCGACGGAGCCGACGGCCCCTGCGGCGCTAGAAACCACTACCGTCTCACCCGGTTGAACTTGTCCAACCTCGATCATGCCAAAGTACGCGGGGAGGCCGGTGATGCCGCTAATACTCAGTGCGTTAGACACCTTGGGGATCTTCGGGTCCACGGCTTGTGTGAAGATATCGGTTTTCCCATCCCAGACTACATAGTCTGACCAGTCGAAACGCCCTTGGATCAAAGCCCCAACCTTGACATCGTCACGGCGCGAGGCTACCACGCGAGCAACGGCGAAGTTGACGATTGGCTTCCCAGGGACATACGATGGCATCATCGCCTCTCTTGCACCTGCCAGGAGAGTTCGTTGCACAGGGTCGACAGAAAACGCAATTGGTCGAAGAAGTACCTGGCCGTCCGCAAGTTCCGGAATAACAGACTCTTGAATGCTGAATGCATCTGGGGGTACAGGTTGGCCACTTGGGATTGTCTCATTCAAGATGACTGATCGATTGGTCTTCGACATGGTGAATTTGTTCTGCTCAAGAAGCGATCGGTCAATTTGTGCAGAAGTGTTTCAGGTAGTCAGAAGGGATTCGATCCGGATGTAGAAGAGGGGAATGAAAGCATAGATGCCTCGTACGAAACAACAACTAGGGTGTCCACTTCAGGTCCAAGATACTCGGTAAAACGAAGGTTGTCCCACGATGCAAAGAAGTAGACGGCAGCCGGGGGATAAGTTAGGTGGGTCGCGTATACCTCGTACTGTCAGCGACTTGCTTAAGGTTCGCCAGGCCATGGATACTTTGGGAGGAACGGGTTCATTCGATCCGAGTGGCCAGCGACCGAGGACTTCCTAGTGGATGGGACAATCCACCTCAGGTCAGCCCAATCAGGGCGGGCTCCACGCAAGATGGCAGCGACCAGCGAATTATCATAGCCTAACAGTATGTAAAGAGATCCATCCTGGTTGCAACTATTCATTGGACAATGTGTGTCACGTATAGTACGAGCAATAGAATACGGTGGGGCCGGTCCTGCATGGTATTGTGTAACTGCCCAAAGTCATGACAGTCACAACGATTTTCGGAGGATCTTTTACTGTCTCTATCGACGCTAGACTTCGAGCACCGGGCAGCAGGTTCTCCTCCTTCTAAATCGCTCGGCAGTATTGTTTTGACATGAACTCCTCACATCCGCAGCCAATTAATACTCACCACTCATCATTCAATCCGCAACTTTTGCAACTTCAACCCCATCTGCCTCAATTGCTTCACCAAGTCGACATTAATGCTCTTTTTGATTACAGGCAGCTCCCGCGGCTTAGGCCGGGCCATTGCGGAGGATGCTCTGGAAAGAGGTGATTTAGTTATTGCAACGGCGCGCAACACATCTGCGTTAAGCCCATTGCTTGAGATATTTACACCGAGTCAGTGGCATAATCTCTCTGTCAGGTCCTTGCTGGAATGAAATAGTCGTTCTCTTTCAACACCTCCCACCCTCTAACCCCCTTTTCAGAGACATCGCCATCCCACTCGTTGCCTTCGCCTTCCCATCTCCACCACTGCACAGCAATACCCTTGAGTGGTATCGGCTGGCCTTTTCTGATCCCGAGGGCTGGCTCATCTTCCTTGTTGACAATTTCGATGTCCATTTCCCATGTAACGAATTCCGGTGTGTTGCCTGACGTCGTTGACTTTACAACTCGAAGGGACGTCATGTGGCTGAAATTTTCTGTGCACATGGCTTCTAAAGCGGCATAATCCATATCGAATTTTCCAAGAGCTGTGAAATGATTAGTAGATGTCCGACGGGCTGGGGGAGTCTACGACCATTTGAGACGCGGAAACTATCTATAGGGTCCAGGCAGGAGGAAGGGAGCTTGGAAAATCCTCACACACATCATCGAAGCGGATACCCTTAGATTGCCAGGCCATGACTTGATCAACGTCGACTGCCTCGAAGGCTTTTTCAAGAAGTGTAGTGCGTGCTTCAAGGAGCTTCTGGAGATTTTCTTGTCCTATTTTACTAGCCATTTTTATGACCTAGTCTTATTTCGTAGATGTTGTGGTTGAAGATTGGCGTACTGAGGGAACGAGAGGGGTGGTGAAGCCTGAGTGTGATAATTAAAGTCTTCAGACTACGGGTACATGCTCGACAGCCTGCGACGCTTTTCTACCCTTTTAGGTGGTTCCCATACATTGGATGAAAGGAGACTATGCCGAGTTTAGAAGCGGGTCTTGCAATCTCTTGGCAAAAAAGAGTTTTAGGTCGTTTGCGCTTTACGTGTGCCACTTTTTTTGTCACCTGGCTTTTAGTGGGTTCTGAAAAAAAATTAAGTACCTTCGAATGCCCCCCCATTTCTCTAATGTTGTTACCCTGAACTACACGATTTCCATATCATACGTAAACAAACTTGAGATATACTTGTCAGTACTCTAAGTCCGCATTTCCCGGAGGCAGATGAACGTGTTATAACTTATAGTGGTGAAAATGCCTTGGCCTGTCTGTGTCACACGTATAATAGTAGCTTTACTCCCGACGACGATAGCTCAACCCGTCTCCGAATCGAAACACAGGATTCTTGGTGGCGTATGGCACATCTTCATCACTCTCCACCACCGCGGCCATTGATCGGGGCAAATCAAAGGGCAACTTCCCCTCGGGCTCGACTCCGTCAAACCCAAAGATCACATCTATAAACGCCTCGACGCTGCTCCCGTAGTTGACGAGCATTCCTGAAACTTGCTCGGCGATCTCGGTCACCACGGCCGGCCGGTCGAGATAGATGTCCACAACGCTGAGTGGGGAGACAGCGTAGACGTGATGCTGTCGCCGGCGTTCTTCGGGCGTGAATTCCAGCGACCCGGCGTGGAAGTGGGCCTCGAATCCTCCGGGTCGAGGCTCGAAGGGGGCGCGGAGACGCAGGAGCGCAATGTCCGCCTGCTCGGGCATCGCGACGATGGTTATGTCCCTGCCGCATTTCGTCCGCAGAATGTCCGGGTCGACGTTCTCGAGATAGAATTTCTTGCCCTGAACGGTGCCGAGATCGAGTGGCAGCACGTCCTTCCCGTTGACCAGGAGCGTGTAGCTACGCCGCTGGGCCAGGTTGGCCTCAGCCACGAAGCTCGGATGGCCGACGATCGTGGCCGCGGCCTCGACGTTGACGAACGGCCGGTCGAACAAGCCAAGCGCGAACTTCTCGACCAACAGGCGCCGGACCGAGAGGTCGAGGCGCGACTCCGACACCAGCCCCTGCTCGACCGCCTCGACCACAAGCTCCGGCCGCGCCTCGCCACCGAACTGGTCGCACCCGGCCTCGAGGATCTTGACCACCCGCTCCCGCTCGCTGAGGTCCTCGCAGCCCCATGCTCGCGCCGGCATGTCTTGACCCAAGATGCTGACGTCCGTGATGAGACCCCAGTCTGTACAGACGATGCCATCGAAGCCGAGCTGCTGCCGCAATAGCTTCGTGATAACGCCATGGTGAAAAGCGAAGCCCACCTGTTCCGCGAAATCCCCTTGGAGCCCGATCGGTTTACCGTAGTAAGGCATCATCTGCCGCGTGCCCGATTCGATAGCCTTGATGAACGGGGCTAGATGATAATCGAACCGCCCGCCGGGGTAGACCTGGTCCTTGCCGTAGACGAAGTGGGCATCCTCGCCGTCCTTCTGTGGCCCTGCCCCAGGGAAATGCTTCGTGATGCAGCTGACGCTCTCCCCCGTGATCTTGTCACCCTGAAAGCCTCGAATATAGGCCTGTACCAGCTTTCCCGACAACTCTGAGTCCTCGCCAAAGGTGCCGTTAATACGAGCCCATCGGTATTCTGTGGCCAGATCGACTTGTGGTGAAAGGGCACACCGCAAGCCCAGCGCGACGTACTCGCGTCTCGCAATGTCAGCGAACCGCTCAACCAGAGCCTCGTCACGTAGTGCCGCAAGTCCCAATGTCTCGGGCCACTGGGAGAGTTTCCCAGCCAGGAAACTCGTGCCCACGTTCTCGGTGAAGTGGTTTCTTGGATCCGTCGACAAGGTTACAGGTATTCCGAGTCTCGTATCCTCCACCGCGAGTTTCTGCAGATTGTTATACCATCTAGCGGTTTCGCGAGCATCCGTCACGGCGCCCACGAGGTTGAAATGATTCATGTGGAGCTGTTTCACGTTGGTTTCGCTCTGAGGAGTCAGTCCCATTGAGGATGTTGTTCCTATGACACGATCAGGCATGGCGATCTTGCTGTGGAACATCAGTCCGGCCCTCTCGGCTAGTGTCATCCGTGACAGGAGGTCTTCCACCCGCTCTGCGATGGGCAGCTCGCTCCTTTTGTACTGGGGTATTGACACTGTGGCCGTGGCCGTGGCCGACACTGAACCTATGTCGTCAACGTTGGGAGAAATGTCGATCCCGTTACCACGATCTGCGCACATCTTTGCCACACCACACATACTGGACAATCGCCCAAACACTCTTCCTTTCTTCGTGCTTGAGAAAACTTTTGAACCCGGTAGTTGTTTGAAATTCTTTAGTTTTGAAAACCACCACGAGTTCAACCTTTGTCGTAATCTCCCGTTTCTCAAACAAGTCTTCGAACCCCAGAATTGCTTGCGTTTCTTACTCCACTACCCAACTCTTCTACCTTGTGATAGCTGGTGTTATGTTAACCTTTCAAATCGAGATATCCAGACGAGTGGAGGTTGATGGTGTGGTAGCCAGAGCTTGAAAAATCGCGGCTCCGGGTAGCGAAGCAATAGGGAAAAAAAGAAATAAGCGCAGAGGAGTGCAAAATCGCACAGAAGTCTACTTCAAGCCGAGAACAGCAGGAAACAGTCAGCAGCGGAATTCTGATTGTTTTTTTTTGTTTTTGTTTTTTTTGCTTCTGTGTCAAGAAGCGAAAGACGGGAATAAATACTAATAAATGAACTGCCGTGCACTCGTAGCTGCTCGGATGGGGACGCGGATGATATGAAAGGACCCACAAAAGGGTGGGTTCCTGGAGACTTCACCCGATTCGTGCCTGGATTAAGTACTATAGCTAGCTTTTTAAGTCTCTTTCTGCCTCAGCATTTCATCGTTGATGGCCTTGTTCGAAGTTCTTCCCCGCCACATCCAGGAACCCCAAAAGACCAGAGACGAAAAAGTCCCCGCAGAACAGGCGTTGAGTTGTTTTCAGAATTTTCCTTTGGACTACGAGGCCTCCAATCGCCACGACTGAAGGGGGCTGGGCCATAGGAGAAGACTGCTCACCCCAGGCAGAGCCCCCGAGAGGCCCTTAATTTTACAGTAAGTAAGCCTTAGTGGTGCCCCGAGAAGCCACTATCTATCCGCGAAGGTCTCGTGGTCAAGGCACTGGCCCGTGAATCCAGACCGTCTCACCTCAAGCCTGCTGAAGCTTCTCTACGTGAGTCGTCGTCAGTCCGGTCTTGTCCACCCCCGTGGCTTCGGCGACTTTGCGTGCCGTATCGGTCACTTCTGGGACCTCGGCCTGCTCGCCGTCGAAGATGACTGCCATTTCCTCCAGAGTGTAGCCTTTGGTTTCCGGGTAAGCGAACCACGCCGTCAGAGTGATGACGATCAAAAGAGCGACGAAGACAATGTAGTATTTCCACCCAATGTTGCCGAGCGCGATGGGGTTGACGAAGATATTGAAGAAGAGCGCCAGCATGGTCGAGATGGAGCAGACGGTCAAGCCTCGGGCACGAAGGCGATAGGGCCAGATCTCGCAGGTGTATGAGATGACAAGAGGAGTGCTACAGGAGTGATTGTTAGCATGGATCAATAGTCACGTCGAGGCGGGGAAGCCAGAAAGGAAGCCAGAAGAGAAAAACACTTACAAGGCAATGTCGTAACTGCCATAGTAAAGGAAGAGGAAAGGGATCACAGCGATTCCAGTGGCTCCCTTGCCGGTGTTTGCGAAAGAACCCGACAACCCTGTAATGATAACATAGCTGACCAGCATCCCAATGCAGGAGGTCATAAAGAGCATCCGCCGGCCGAGCTTTTCGACGCTGAACGCTGCCGCCACAGCGATGATCAAGTTCCAGATTTGCAGACACCCCGAGATCAGGGTCTGGTCGGTGACGGATGTGATGCCGACAGTTTGCAGGACCAGAGCCAGGTAATACGACACAACTCCCACTCCGTTCCACTGTGCGAAGAAGCCCAGAGTGACGGAGATGAAGAGTCGGTGACGGTTGCCAGGCGTCTTCACCATATCCAGATAGCTGGTGGTCCTGTGAGCCTCCTTTTCCATCTGAATGGTCGCCTGGATCTCGGCCATTTCAAACTCGATAATCGGCGAGTGCGCGTCTCCGCCGGCGTGATGTTTCACGAGAAGATTGCGAGCTTCTTCATGGCGGTCTCTCGAGACCAGATATCTCGGTGATTCCGGGGCGAAGAGCAGTCCCAGGAAAGCGACGGCGGGGATCGCGGCCTGGAGGACCGATGGGATCCTCCAAGCCCAGGAAGAAGCGTAATTCCGAGTGCCTGAACATCCAAAAGAAAATGTTTAGCCGCGATATAAATCACAGGGCATTAAACGATAGGACGGAATGGTTCCCGACTTACCAAATGTCGCCCATGCCGCGACCAAACTGCCCACGTACCAACCACATTGATACAAAGCAGTGAGAGGAGCTCGATGTCGAGGATGAGCCGTCTCAGTGATCAGCAACGGCGCCGAAATCCCCCAGAAGGAGGTCACCACGCCCATGAAGAATCGACCGAGGATAAATGTGGCAATATTCTGAGCAGCGGTCTGCAGCGTCACTCCGAGAATCAGCATAATGAAGCCGAGCCACATTCCCAACTTGCGACCATATCGTTGAGCCAGAACCGGGCTCACGACGTAGGTGACGATGGAGCCCAGACTTTGCGCAGCGTTGATGAAACCGAGCCATGCACCTGTGGGGTGGCCGGCAAAGTCTTGCCACTGCGGCAGGGCTTGCAGACCGTTCATCATGGAGCCATCGTACCCGTTGGCGGAGGAGAACAGAACGAGACAGCCTATGCAAAAATTGAGTCGCAAAAGGTGGCATTGGGTGAACCATGGCTTGCCGTCTTTGTCAGCCACGACGGCCGCCATGTCGTCGGTGATGGCGTCGGTGGGCTCTGCTTTCGTTTTCGTCATGTTGGGAGGGGACCCACAGATTGGGCGGTCAACGGGGATAATTGAGGAGATGGAGATCACAACCAAATGGGCAAACCTGCAAAGACTGGATGACTGAGGGGTTGTGATTGAGGTTGTGAAAGAAGTCCATCACCAAGGTATATTATATAGAAGAGAAGCAAGGTCTGCTGTGTATGTAGCTGTACCGCGCTAGCCCCTCGTCTCCACAGCATCCCTCCAGAACCCACGTTGTTCCCCAAAACGAGACTGGTGGTAATACTCTGGGGCACCCACACAAGAGGTCTGGGCGTGTGGCTGGACACCCAGAGCCGGGGGGCCTTGGTGGAAACGTCAAAAAGTCTATTTGAAGAAAATGGTGGGTTCCGGGGACTGTCGGCAAGAGGCCTGATTGGTGGAATCTTCCCTTCACTCTGCAATGAAATCGTCGAAGCCTTGTGTGGCGTGCCGCTAAATACGACGGTTGCGGCAATGGTCACGATGATAATCCCCCAGGACCGTCAGGGTAACGGTGTTCGCGACCCGGTTGTTGTAAGTGCAGACCTTCCTGAAACGAAGGTAGTGGCATGATTCAGGAGATTACAAGCTCTTGACCATCAGTCGTTCGTTGTTGAATTATCATTCCTCTCTCCATAGTCGACCATTGACCCTGTAGCCACGTTGACACTGTTGATATTGTACACTCGTCTTGAGCCAGTGACCGTTGATCTTGACTCTTTATACCATCTCGATGGCACCGTCCGCAGTGTCAACATCAAATTCGGAGCCGCCACTCAGATGGGGAATCCTGGCCACAGGTTGGATATCCGACAAATTCGTCCGCGATCTCCTTCTTGCTCGAAAGTCAGCCAAGGCATCTCATCAGCTCATCTGTGTGGGTTCCTCCTCGACTGAGAAAGCCGGCGCCTTTGTCGACAAGATATGGTCGGAGATCGGCAGTTCTGCGACCAAACCCACAGCCCTGGGTGACTATGAGTCGGTCTTCTCGCATCCGGAGGTAGACATCGTCTATATTGGGACACCACATGCATTGCACAGGCAGAACAGCCTCGACGCCATTGCCGCCGGCAAACATGTTCTTTGCGAGAAACCATTCACCATCAACGAGAGGGAGGCGCAAGAAGTCTTCGCAGCAGCCAAAGCCAGGGGTGTTTTTGTGATGGAAGGCGTGTGGACTCGTTTCCTTCCGATCATGGCTTCGCTGAGAAAGATGTTGTATGAGGAGGAGGTGATTGGCCACGTTCACCGATTGTTCTGTGACTTTGGACTATTCATGCCTCTGAGCTCACTGCCGGCGGATAGCCGACTCAAAGATCCAAACCTGGGGGCGGGAGCTTTATTGGACATCGGTATCTATCCGCTGACTCTGGCATCAATGATCCTCGGCGAGTTTCGAGTTGGTGACGACCATCCGCCGTTTGAAGTAGTCAGCTCTCTGGCCGTTGAATCCGCCATTGACTATCAAGACGCGGTCATTCTCAAATACCTCGACACCAACCGGATGGCAATCTGCACATCCAGCCTTCTTCACAAGACGTCCAATGACTTTTGCAGGATTGAAGGATCCGAGGGGCATATCACTCTCTTCGGACCTGCCGCGAGTGTACCGACTGGCCTGAGGGTCAAGACAAAGTCGACTGACGCAGAAAAAGTTGTCGAATTTGACCGGGAGGGAGGTATGGGGCTCTTCTATGAAGCAGATGCTATTGCTCTTGACATCAAAGGAGGCAGAAAAGGAAATGATACGATGCCTTGGGCAGAGACATTGCGGATGATGCGCCTCCTGGATGGCATCAGGCAAGCCGGGGGTGTACGGTATCCCCATGACGAGTAAGAAAAGTGGTTCATATATAGAAATAGATATACATATAGAAGTATCGTTCTCACCATCGGGCTATACAAGAAGCTCGGATATCGACTCATAGTGCGTTATAGAGGTCTTGAATGACGAGCCTAGCTTTGGCAATATCGGGACTTTCGTTCTCCCAGTATCGGAGAATCCGCAAAGTATGAGATATCGCTGCCTCCCAGGCATCAGGCATCTGGATTCGTCCGCTCTTCTTCGCTCCAACCAGAATTAAGGCCATAGCGGCTCGATGTCTGCACACGTACCAAGTGCCATGATGCCTGTGCATATAGCCCTCGCGGAGACTCGAGTCAATCAAATGGTGCATGGCACGGTCGAGCCAAGGTTGCAGGAGTATTAGGTCTTCTGCACTTGTGTCCGGGCCGTGGTGGATCATGAAATAAATAAAAGGTTGATATAGCTGTGAGTATACGGCGGTGAATCGTCCTCTGACCATGTTTCTCAACTCCTGAAGAGACTGATTGGCATAGTCTCCGTGGAAAGATATGGGGCCTGGCATCCAATTCCCGACTTCTGTGATCTGGTGGTCAAACCGCTCGGCAATTCGGACAGCATCCGATACCGTCATATTCGCCCACGCGCTGTGACCGTGCTGATAGAATGCCGTGAGAATACGGTTTCCTATTCGCGTCAAAGTGATCTCCGTCAAGTAGTAGAACCAGGACTGTTGTTCGGAGAATTCGAACGACGAGGGGAAGGCTCTGGCGGATGGCGGAGAGGCTTGTGTTGGCGAAGCACCCTGGGTAACTGGTTCCTGCGCTGCAGGGCTACCTGCCGACGGTGGTGAGGGAAACATGTAAGGATACCGCAAGTTTGACAGCCCAGATTCTGGGATATGTATCTCTTGTCGAATCTCGCTGAACAATCCGTCAGTAAACTTCCACGCCTGGGAGGACAAGCTAACCATTCAGATTTGAAGCACGTCCAGTATAGTCTCTGTTCGACTCGTCGAGTGTCGCTATTTTGCGGGCTGCTGATATCAAGAGGCAGGTTTTTCTGGCGACGCAGGTACATGTCATAATTCACAGAGGCCTGAAGAAACTCGTTCCAAGCTCTCAGTGGCTGCAATGAATACATAAGGTAGATGCCGGACAGAAGGTAGCATTGAGAGGCAATCACTGTCTGCTTCAGACACCCAATACGCCTGCGCGCTAATTCGTAGAACCTTGAAGATATTTGTCGAGCGTCTTGTTCATAGTCTGTGGAATATTGTACGTCAACTGGGTCTGATTCCCGAGCCAACGCTGTTTCATACGGTTGTCCGAGGGCACCTAAGGCACAGGCCAGCAGCTGCGATAACTCACCTGTCAGTAATTCATTTTCTCATCGTGCCTCGATGCAGGGAAAGAGGAGGACCAAGGCGCACCAAGCAGTTGCAGTCCAGGTGCACCACTTAGTTGGGCAAGACAACACGAAAGGGCAAATACTCACGACCAGACATGAGGAGGCATCCCATCCAGGCCCTTCCTCGGCTATCCGCCTTGCGGAAGCTCGGATTTCGGGGACGTCTAGAATTGGATTCTTCGTATGGACAAAGGCCAAAAATCGATCCACCAAAGCTGGGGCATCCTCAAAATTCACTGCTCGGTTCTGCGACCGTTCTTGGGGTCCAGTGGCATTCTCAAACACACCCTCGTCAGGGATGAAAAGTGCAGAGATCAGGAAGTCGGCCTGGAACAAGTTTCCAAAGATAGGCCACGTCAACACCGTGTCAACCGCCATACAGGCTGGTGGGACTTTGCGGTAACCGTATTCTGCCAGACCATCATTGCTCACATGCTCTTCCTGATCTAATTGCAGGGCCCTGGGGGCAGTCTCGCGCGATGGTGACGGAGAGGTGCGCTCGAGGTTCCCCTGTATGGATGGGCTCCAGGTTGTGTCAGGCTCATGGCTTCCCAGCTGGATGTTGGCGGTAAGACTGGAGTCAAGGCGGTCGATGATCTCGTTCAACTTCTGCAAAATCAGCAGACTTGCTGGGTCGAATCTGCATGCGTTCAGCCGTGGCGTAATCTCCAAGTCAACTTGGCCAAGATTGATGGGGTACATACGAAGAATGGTCGATCCGGTCATTGTAAACACACGGGGTGCCCAAAGTGGCACACTTTGAACAGGTGGGACGCTCGTTGCTGCATTTCGACTTCCGTGCCCTGCAGTTCTGGCAAGCGGTAATAGCCCGACGTCGCCCTTGAGTCATGAGGTATCGGGTTGACTGGAGTCTCGCGCGTTTACGATTCTTCTCTGACGCCTCGGAGGCCGGGTTGTCTTCCTCCACACCCCCCGGGCCTTGTTGGACGAGTTCCTGCATCCGCACCCACACCCCTACAAAGGGCCAGATGGGCTCCCGAAAGCTGGGGCCAGGCACGCGGCAGTTGATATCGGAGCTGCTATTGCGCGTGGGGCCTGTGGAGGCTTGTCAATGTCGAGAAATTGTAGACACTGCAAAGAGACACAACTAACTCAGGAACTGTGTGCATTGAAGTGTGTCGTGCGGCCTGGTGGGCAGCAACAGTTTCTCCCGGGGAGTAGCGGGAAAATATAGTTGGTCACGTGGGCTGAGGTCAAGGGCCAGCCAGGCCAGCGTGAAAAAATGGCCGCGGGGAGTACCGGCAAATGACCACTCTATCTCACCCACCAATGAGCTTTAATGCCTTCGATGTCCTGTCCCGTGCCTCAGCAGTCCGCATCTTGCGGCTCATCCTTGACGCGCAACTTTGGAGTCGATCTTCGCTCCACTTTACGAAAAGATGAAGAAGAAGGGTCAGGGAGATCCGATATGTTGGTGCCAGCGGGCATGCTGAGCTGCTATATTTGCTGAGGTTGGTTCGTGCGCTTCCAGTCCATCAGATGCCTTTTCCCCCCATACTTGGCTAAATTGGACGCTTCAGCAGCATTCCTTTTCTTTTATCCTTTCTTCATCTCACTCGCCGAGCAAGATGATAGCATCACCGCCACGCATCGTCAATGTAGGAATTATTGGCTGTGGAGAGGTCACCCAAGTGGTTCACATCCCGACGCTCAGTCTTTTGTCGGATTTCTTTAAAATCACCTATCTTTGCGATATCTCGCAAGATGCGTTGAACCATTGCTCACAGAAAATCGACGCCCACATCCCGAAGACCACCAAAGATCCTGTCGAGCTGTGTGCATCCTCCGCTGTCGATGTCGTGTTCGTTGTGAACTCGGACGAATACCATGTCTCTCATGCCACACTTGCACTCGAATCGGGCAAACATGTGTTTGTCGAGAAGCCATTGGCCTTGACTGTGCGAGATGTCGACACCCTCAGAAAAGCGGAAGAGAAAGCACCGGGAAAATTGATGGTAGGATACATGAGGAGGTATGCAGCGGCGTTCATCGACGCTTTGAAGGAGATTGGTGGAATGGAAAAGATTACATATGCCCGGGTCCGCGGTGAGTTCAAGAATTTTGCTGCTGGGCAAAATATAGCTCTCTGACAACGTGGCTCAGATATCATCGGACCGAATAGCACCTTTGTGTCACAATCGGGGACGTTTCCCAAGAGGTTTGACGACTACGCTCCTGAGGACTCTCAAGATAAAACCGCGAGAGCTGCGGAGCTGGTCGAACAAGCTCTCAGCCGAGAATGTGGGGTACCAGTGACGCCGGCTAGCACTCGAATGTGGCGAGTGTTGGGAGGATTGGGCTCACACGATCTATCACTGATGCGAGAGGCGCTGGGGATGCCGACCAAAGTCATCGGGGCGCATCTTGGATTCCCTTTTTGGAGGTAAGTCTATTCCCCACCGATCAGGGCGGAATGAGGAAGACGTTGCTGATACCGGCTACCTACTCACAGTGTCTTGTTCCAATACCCTGGCTTTGCAGCCGTGTATGAATCCGGTTTGGATGCGATTCTGCGCTTTGACGCGCACATCGAGATATATTCCAGCAACAAGGTAGTTCGTGTCCAGTACGACACTCCATATGTCAAGGGTCTCCCGATCACGATGCACATTTCAGAAAATGTGGACGGCACCTATCAGGAGAGAACCGTGCGGAAGACGTATGAAGATCCTTACACGCTGGAGATGAAAGAACTCTATGCCATGATTGTGGACGGTAAGCCGGTTAAGACGACGTCGGCGGATGCCGCAGAAGATCTTCAGATTTTCAAGATGATCGTGCGCTCTGGCTTTGGGGCGGGGGCAGAAGAGACAAAAGTCACCGGAACTTGAAGGGTTTGAAAGGGAAGGGGGTTCTGTGGCCGACGATAGCTACCAGAACCTTTCGCCTAATGGCCGCAGCGGGATGACTCGTGTGTATTATCGCTTCTATCCCTAAATCCGCCCTTCGTGCGGGGACAATCGCCTACGAGGTTATTACGCAAGTTAAGCTTTGTCGGCTCCCGCCCGTGCATTGACTCGTGTATCCCGTCTGTGCATCCGTTCCTGCATCCGCTCCTGCAGCACCCCCACACTTAAACATACCACCGCTGATGTCTTCTGATGATGGCCTCTCAAATCATTTCAAAGGAAAACAAGGGTGCGGGATCGATGCCTGCTAAGTCACATTTCCAGTTTGTCGACTTGTGAAACTACATCGGAACCCTGCCATGTGGTCTGGAAGACTTTGTTTGACTCTTCTTAGACCGGGAAAACTTAACTGCAGAAGACACCGCACTCGTTCAGATCATCGAATGGTCCCATCCGGTCAAACGGATGCATTTGTACCACCTTCCTGATTACCCGAAAAGGAGTTGGACTTTCGTTGGCGGATATCTCAGTTTATCGGACATCTGCTTGGCTCCGACAACGGTTCCTGACCCGGTATATATGTTTGATCAGTTCTTTGCAAGAATATTGACTGATATATACTGCCTACCAACCTAAGGCTTTCTTCCTTATTTCTCATATGCTTTGGATATGGTGGAACACTAGATATCCGATACAATCTACCCTCCTTTTGCCCTGGCACATCACGCGAGGGCTCACTTTCCGTCTTCTCAGTCTCCACATAGCAAACTCGTCAAAAAGATCCTGGAAAGATTGCCTTTACGTGGACATATGGGTACCGGCAAAATCTACTGCAGATGAAAAGCTACCTGTTTTGGTCGAAATTCCAGGAGGCGGATACGTGGAAACGTCGTTTGCCGCAGGAGCAGATGTGGTTTCTCTTACTGAGGCTGTGGTATACGTCTTCATCCATTACCGCGTGAATATCTTTGGATTCTTATCGACGACGGGACTTTCCCAGGAAACATCCCCATATCTTTCAAGCGGTAACTACGGACTGGCTGATTGGACACTGGGTTTACAATGGGTTCACGACAATATTGATCTATTCGGCGGAGATCCCAACCGGGTGACCGTCCACGGCTCCAGCGCCGGAGCATGGGCAATGAGCCTAGTACAGGTCACCCCCAAAACGAAAGGCTTGTTCCAACAAATTATGGTGGAAAGTGGCGGAAGTGACCAATCCATTACAGTGAGCAGCTTGGAGAAAAAGGAGGCGCTAGGCCAGACACTGACATCCGCGGCTGGCTGTCCATGGAACGAAACATCGGACCCGGACTACGCACTGCAGAACGCTTGCCTAAGGAACGCCAGTGTTATCGATCTTATGGAGGCGTTCATTTCCCAGGACACCTTCCTGTGGTATGACGAACATGCACTGTTTCCAGCACCGGATGGTTGGTGGCTACCGGACTATCCGCAGACACTCTATGACAGTGGCGCTTTTCATCAAGTTCCCATCCTGGCTGGCTCAGCTATGGACGAAATGAACCTCATTCAGTTTCTGCCGTATTTGAATGTTTCCGGCCAATGGTTGTATAATGCAACAGCATGGGAGGATGTCGCTGGGTGGTGCAAAAACTTCACTTCCAAGGGCGGTGTCAATGTTTCTGCCACCGGCGCTCTCAACGATTACTATCTCGATCCAAATCGCACGTTCGACGTGCGAGTGAACCGCAACTCCACTGACGGTGTGGGCACCAACATGGGTCCTTATGCTGCTATGGTGGAAATTAGCAGCGGGGTTATTTTTCAATGCCCTCTGCGGCGTAATCTGCGCCATCAAGCTTCAGCTGGCCAACCTGCTTTCGGATATACCTTTGGATATCGGTCCCCTAACGCTGCTGGTGGTGTGGCCGCTTTTGCCGAACACGGTTCGCAGTTAGGTCTGGGGTTCGACCCCCTTGCTCCTTACCTGACCAACACAAAAGACGAGTTCATAGCTCATACCATGCAACAGTACTGGGCTTCGTTCGTCATCAACGGGGATGAGAACAATTTCACGGGTATTGATTTCTCCTTCGGGGTCAATCAAACACTTCCTCGCTGGCCGAGTCAGACAGAGGCAGGTGACACTGTGCTCCGTATCGGCAACCACGACGTCATGCGAGATTCTACTATCGACAAGGTGACAGGAGCGTACGCCTACTGCGACCTTCAGGATGCAGTCATTCCCTCCTATACCTACAGACCGAATTGTGCCCCCGGCTATTCACTCACAAAGGACTTCAAGGGCTGCGCGTAATAGTATCTCTTTGCTGCTCTGCACAATAACGCAAAGGCTCCGTATCTGGGAAAAGCCCGGGGCTGAAACAGAGCCAGTACGGCACGGCAGTGGACCTGTCTGGCTCTGAGGGATCAACCAGAGATCAAGGAGCCCAGCAGAGGCAATGACGCTATATACTTATAGAGGTCACTCTACCCACTTTTGTAGACCTCACAGTCAACTTCGTCCCCAAATCTAACCACTACTGCTGATGTTGGCTTAGATCCAGTAAGCCTGCCTTTGAGTTGAACAGTGTCCCTGCTTTTATCCCACTTATCACGAACTGATATGTCCAATGCTCCTCCGTATCAATTCTTGAACACATACCCGGTATTCGTCACGGTTGAGCGCACATTAACCTCGATGAGATGAATAAATTAAGTGCCATCAAAATAGTAGTACTTGTAATCCACAAAGAGCATGAGCGGTCATCGCTTGACTTCCTTACCACAGAAAGTGCAGAACTCTGGATCCTTCCCAGATGGAGAATGGTCAATATCGACACAATCGAGACTCCAGTTATCGAATTAATCTGAGTAATTATAATTATTGCAAGTAACGGGCCATTCGATGTTCCGTCCACCATTTTTGACGTTTGGACTCTGTAGGGGCTTTGGCTGATCTCCCAACCACCTGTGCAGACCTCTCTTCGTTCCAGTACTCATATGAGCGGGCCTATTCGCTGCAAACGGTATCGGTTGACTCTAGGCTGTGTGCTCAGCTGTTCGGAGTCCGCGTTGTTGGCGACCTTTCTCGGACCAGGGGAAGTGTGCCACCGGAATGATAACAAAGCTATTGGATGTGTCTGCGAGGCCGGCAAGAGCATTGTACCAAGCCAGGAAGGCAGCTGCGAGACCAAATGCCCCTCCAGCACGAGTAAGATGAACGTTGGTGCTTCCAGTTGTCAAGTAGGAACACGCTAACATCAAAAACGCCAGATCCAAGGTCAGGAAAAGGAGAAAGAATGCGAGAGTAGACTTCAAGGTGCACACGAGGAGAATGGTGGTAAAGATGAACCACCCCTATTACCGTAGTTAGCCATCTTGGGGGGCAAGACAACCTGGCATTGTCACTTACAAACAGGAAAAATGCGAAAGAATTTGCAAATGTCTGCGCACCACCAGCCTCTTCGATGGAGGAGACGATTTGGAAACCGCCCGGAGTGAGGACTATAGCGAATGCTATCCAAAAGCCACCGTAGGATGATAGAGCCGTAGCACCGAAGGTATTCCCAATGGCCATCTCCCTGTACACGAGTCAGATGACTTTCTAACAACAAAAAGCAAGCCCGGAGACGCATAACCAAGACTTACCACATGCCCGCAAGTAATTGTACAAGCCCGCCATAGCCGACCGCGAGAGCGACCACAATATTGGGTACGTCTACCCCACGAGCACCGCAATTGATCAAGCTGAGGACAAAGGTCGTCAATGCGAAGGCGTATAGGCCGAGAGGAGCAGGATTCGCAAACTTCCGACTTGCAACCCCTTTGTAGAGACCGGGTTGGAATTCGCCCCCGAATGCTGAAAAGAATCAGACCAGACGTCTTTGCCGCCCATGTTATTCACATGGGACATTATATTGCTTACCGGGAAGGAGGTCTTCAACTTCTGACGACTTCAGATGCGCAAGAGGTCCATACCCAAAACGTGACGCGTGTATCGCCGCAGTTTTCTCCTGATGACTCATATGTTGAGTGATCGTCTGTACAGCGTCGTGGCTTGGGGTTCCTGTAGGTCCTTGTGGCGTCGTCATGTTGAAGTTGCCACTGAGTTTCACCTGGTCCTGTATCCCGAATTGCAGAGATCCTAGAAATTTATACGTCACTCGGAATATGTTGAAATTGAACTTCACGACTGACAATCGAGCTAATCTTCGGGCAAACGGAGTTCCTTGAAGAGGGTGCCCGAAAGCAACCGAATGCGATCCCCCCCCTGCGACATGAAATGAGAAATCTGACCTGAGTACTCCGTACTGAGCCAGGGCACAGTCCACGGATCAAGCGACGTCTAAAGTGCCAAGGCGTAGCATTACAAGCGCCTATCTCAGTTCGGAAAACACGAAGCTAGTGCAAGTACCTACTAGTATTCGATCATGGTGAGAATTTCGGCGTTGACATTCCTGAGACTATATTGATAGAACATATTACGCACCTGGTTGCTATGCCCCGCAGATGTCCAACTAGAGACTTCCTATTCAGGGTTAGATCACACCCAGCCTTCCCTGTTTTCCGGCGCTATCGATGCTCAAAACGTCCACCGATAGTGGCAAGAGCACGTTCTGAACTATATATCAAGTGCACCGGGGACAGGGATACAATTCAATGCAGGGAACTGTATGAATGAGGTAAAGTGACTTTGGAGCGGCTGCAAGAGCGGCTGCAAGGGCGGCTGCAGAAGCGGAGCCCAAAGACCTGAACTAGCTGACTAGTCAATACATGTCACACCCTGGAAAACACGGAGGTGGGTTAAGATGTGGTACGTAGAAATGGGGTAGGTTAAGACGGGGTACATTAGACGGGGTTACAATGAGCCATTCACCGATATCGCCGACAGAATCTAACTAAATGCTAATGACCAAGTCGTTTCTCCCATCTTGGGGCAAAAGTTCTACACTGCCCCTCCCCGCTTCCTCCGTCTTATCACGGCAACTACATATCACTCAAGAGTTTTTCTCCAGCGGAGTGGTCAGCTAGTGAAATCACAGTGGCCCCACACCAGCAGTATCATGGATGACAAAGGTGCACACTGCCAGAGAGCATTGCATGTATGCCTGCCCTGCCGACGACTGAAGCGGAAGTGTGACAAGAAACTCCCGTGCTGCCAAACCTGTCTTCGGTAAGTGATTCTCACCGTACGCAGTAACAGTCTCATCTTCTATAGTATTGGTCGATCCTGTCGTTATTCGGAGATATCGCCATATCTGCACCGGAAGGAATGCAACCGCATTGAGCGCCAGCAAGACTTGGATGTCGACTACCGCCATTTTCCGCCGATTCAAAGTTTACAAGGACTGCCTGCGGCGTACTCCAGGACTACGTACTCTACAACAAGAACAGGATCGTCGTTCACTGGTCTCTTTGTTTCGGTACCGGATCAATATATCACCAATGAGATATTACACTTTGTTGGAAGCGAAGCTGAACTGGAACTAGCCGCGATAAAATACTTCGAGAAAGCTTATCACTGGCTTCCGTTCATCTCGAAGGTTCTTTTCTATGAGGAGTTGCGTGTGAATGGTACAAACAAAAGCGCTAGCTTCTCGTTGCTGCTGTTCTGCATGTATCTGCTCGTCAAGGAACCCTCGGACGATGACTTCCAGCGCACAGGAGCATTACTCTATGCCAAGGTGAAGAGCTTGATCACTCTTTTGGAGACTGCTGGGCGATACTCTCTTCGCGTTCTGCAGTCTAGACTCCTGGTTACGCTCTTCGAGCTCGGCCACGACATTAACCATTCAGCATATGTATCAATCGGGACGTGTGCTTCGAGTGGAGTTGCGTTGGGCATTGACGAGTTGCCCCTGGGACGATGGCCGCCGGATATCAATGATTGGATCAAACAAGAGGAAGAGAGACGAGCATGGTGGGCTATCGTCTTGCTTGATCGGTGCGTGAGATCGGCTTTCGCTATGTTATATGGTTGACAGAGGGTTCTTCAAGACGTAGGATCTCTACAACAATCCTTGTATCGTCTTAGATCCTTGTGACATGAGTCAAAGCTTCAAAGGCGCTTTCTAACAGTTTTGATAGGTACGCAAATTTGAGGCGCGGCAGTCACGCCTTCGTCTCCAGAGATCCCAGACCGGAGAGCCTTCTCCCTGTCGATGATGACGCCTGGGATCAAGGAGTAACTCGGACTTTCATCGATATTTACCTGTCGTTTGGTTGACTTGGAAAGCAGGTGTTACCGCCAGGTCCCCCAATGCCAATGTCCACACCATCAAGCACGCGGGTAGGGCCTTTTGCACGACAAGTTCAAGTGGCACATTTGTTAGGTCGTGTCCTTCGGCATATCAATGATGCAACGCAAGACAAGCTATTCCAGCGACAAGAAGCAGAACAGTTGGACCGCACGCTCGCTGCTCTTGCGCTACTACTAACATTCCAAGCCCATGAGAAGTACGGAAGTTACTGCGGTGCTATGGGCATGGTTAACAGGTGAGCTTCGCGCCTTCTTAGGTATACGAGGACTCATATGTTCTCAGCGCATTGATGCTGCTTCGTGAGGCGCCGAGCTGGAACCATAATCATGACATGATCGACAATGGCCATTTACAGAGGACAAATACAACTGCGGCTGATGTCGCCGACGACATCATCCAAAAGTATAACGAGTCTGACCCTAAAACCACAGACTACACTCGCATACCGCCCTTTGTCATCTACTCAATCTATCAAGCAGGACTTGTCACGATATCCCAATCACCGACCACGCACGATGCACGATGTTCATCGGCGCTGGCTTCCCTGAAGACAATTCTCGATCAATTTAGCAGGCGATGGAATGTGGCTAGTAAGATCTTTCTCAGTTCTTCATCACGCGACCTTACAGGATATCCTAGATAAATACCTTGCACATATCGACTGGTGCCTTTCTGAGAGCAATACCAGCAGAGAACGAGCTAATGGAATGGTGGGCATAAATCCTCCATGTCACCTTCACATTTGAACCTTTGCTGCCTGGATATAAGGGTCCGTCTACATAATACGTCGAGCTTGGAAACCCCTGATCACTGCTGAAGCAGACATCACCACCTCGTCGCCGCAGCTTCCGCTGATGATCTGTATATTTGGACTGATACGCTTCGCATCGCCGGTTGCCCTAACCCTATCTGGAAGGTTAGCCGAATAATTTCCACCACGCCACACAACAAAGTCTCAGGCGCGCTAGATAGATTTCCTTGCTTATTCAAGTTGGTCCGCCAAGATGGGTAAAACGAGCTCACGCCTCAACCTCCGGATCGGGGCCAAATCAACTCTCCTTTCTACCTGTGCGGCATCACCTGCAAGCGAACAATTGTGCTCGAATTCGCCATGGCCAGCGCGGTGGATGGTACAGTATACAGTACCTCGTACAACATTAGGCATGAATGTACAGCAGACTCCTCACAGGGACCATTTCCCCAGTCTGAAATTGACGGAGAGTACCTCGTGTTGTGACCGTTGAATAACGCCTCAGATCGAGGAACTTATGTTACCAGAGAGGATCGCCTTACACAACAACTATGATGCCGCCAACCTTATCGCTCGCCACGTCTGTTCGTGCGGACGGTCTGCTTGGGACTTGTCAAACACAATAAAGAACACCGTCACCTGCGGTGTAATGGTAGATTGACTGAATGTTCGAGGCTTGTATTTTCGTGACATTGATGCATTTGCGGTTCCAATTCTCCCATCATCCAGACTGGCATGGCTAATCCAATACAGCTCTCCAGACATCTTCGTGTGCATCAGACCGCAAAATCCAAAAGTGTGGAACGACGCATGTTAGCAATTGCTACTATTTTCCCATCTCTTTACCCCTTTTTGGCCTTCTCACTCATCGCTTGTTAACTTCTCTTGTGGAGACCTTTTCCTTTTGCCTTTTTTCTGGCCTCTAGCTTACAGACGCATGTTCCACTAGGGTCGCGGTGAGGTTAAGGGAAGGCGAGTGAGGCTGTGAGGAGTGAGAGGGTGCTCCTCATGGTGGTGCCTGGCATCAATATTTCCGTCAGTATTGACGCCATCTCACGGGCACCCAGGGGTGAAATGGTGCTCAAACAAGTAAAGAACGCCTCTAAAACCCCTAAAAGGGCGATAGGGGTCGTTGGCGTCCGTCTCGTCAATCGGTTTTGGTAGTGGAGGTGTTCGATTCAGCTCAGCCACGTGGATGAGCCGTGGTTTGCTCAACGGTGGCACTGGTGTTGATGGGAATTATTGTTGATTCTGGTCCCGGTTCTGGCCAACGCCACCTCAGCTGCCAAGCTGCGCTTTCCACTTTTGGCCGAAAATCCTTCCTGTTCCTATTTCCACCATCAACGACTCTAGTGAATTTACAATGCCACGAGACTCCGCTCGCAACTCAAATGCGATCGAGACTGCCACCAAGGCGCTTCGCCTCCCATCACAAGGGATCGATATGTGGATATCATGCTATAGCATGGCGTCTCCAAAGCGGTGGTTCCGAAGGAGATGGTACAGGTAGGAGGGTGAGGGTGTTCACTACAAAGCAGTCTTCTCTCCTCGCATCCGACTTCAGTCTCTTGATCCAAGGCGACTATGTACTGACTTTGACTTTGTATACTGACCTTCGTCACTCGTTTGTTAACAGCTACCATGGGCTTGCTACACCTCACCGTAGCTCTGGCCCTCGCGGCGTCCACTCATTCACTTGGTTTACCAGCTAATCATGATACCACCGTCACAGAGACCCTCACTAGATTTGTCTTCACCTGCCCTTGCGATTCGACCACCTCTGTCAGCATTGGTACGACGTATCCTACTTTGCCCACGGGTGTATCTGACGGACACGACTGGCATGATTGGGTTGGTTCTGTGTCGCAGTCATCGGGAGCTTTGACCTCATCGTCAAGCTCGCTATCTCGTTCAGGCACCGGATCACGACCGGCGACAAACCAGCCCAGTTCACACCATACCACTGCGGATTCTTCATCCAAGTCCACCTCAACCACTGCTATTTGGACTTCTGTTTCTACAAGCCTGCCCAGAACATCTACTGGCAGCTCGATCACATTCAGGTCCACTTCCATGTACTCGCCTGTCAGCCCTTCTCTGTCGACGACAGCCATCGCAACAAGCTCCTCGCCTACCTTTTCATCAAGCATCTCGACCTCGACCTCGACGTTGGACATCTCAACAAGTACAACAGAGACAACTTCTCCTCTCACTCCGGGCACCACAAGCACTGCACTTATCACCACATCTTCATCAGAATGCTCATTTGAGGTTATCACAACTACTCTGAAGAAAAGAGATGTTCTCGAAGTGCGGACATTGACAGTACCTGGTGCAGATTGTTCTACAACGACATCCACATCGGGAATACCGACCACTACACCGGCCTCGAGTTCCACGCCTTCTACTGCATCCACCACTGTGGGTGCGAGCTCGTCTGCGGACACAAGCTCAACTACTCCAGCGGATCCTGCCACGTCTTCAAGCATTGGGACTTCAACCTCTGCAGATCCTGATAGTCTCCCCAGGACGACAAGCCTGACCACCGTCTCTGTCACTCTGACCACCTCGGGAACCTCTTCTACCACTTTGACTGCAGATACATCAACCCCTTCAGTTGGTCAGCCCTTTTCCATTCAGGTAAACACTGCTGGACCAGGCAAACACAAGCGAGACATCCTGGTTGTGGGGTATGTCAATGGAGCACTCGTGCTTGTGAGCTCTCCAGCTGATGCTGTGGCCTTCGTTCTCACGTCTGATGGCGTGCTGATGATTTTCGGCACCACTTTGGTAGTTGGCTTCGGTGGTGGTTCGGGAACTTCAGCTTTGATGATTTATTCATCAGTTTCAGCCATGCCAACAACAATAGTATGGTCAATCTCTGGTAGCGCTCTTGTCTTGCCAGGGGCTGGCTTCTGCGTTGGTGCGGGCAACGTCATGTCCGTCAATGTTGGCTCCGCGACAGACAGCAGCTGTGCCCCTGTCACCCCTGTGCCGGATACAGACACAGACTCCTACAACACTGAAGTCGCTAGCACAGTCACGCCGTCACCACAAACCTCGCCGGTGACAACACAGGCCTCGACCTCGACTACAGTTGACATTACTTCTACTACCTCTTTGTCCTCGTTGACAACCACGCCTATAATTATCAGCTCTACCTCCAGTCTCACTTCAACGGTCTATGTCTCGACCAGCAGTCAAATCTTGGATAGCACAACCTCAGGCAGCAGCGCGACCACAACCACAACAACCGCAACGAAAACCGAGGAGACAAGTGGACCAAATTGCTCTATACTACCGCTGCAAGATCAAACTGCACCGAGTGGCACTCAATATACGCAATTCTTCTATAGCTGCTTTGCAGCCATTCCCACGACTCTCGGAGATAGCTACTCTCTCGTCACCTCAGGTGATGGAGATTATAGCAGTGATCCCACCGCCTTTTTGAATCAGTGTGTGGCGACTGCCGAGCAGCTGAGCGCCAGTGTTTGGACTTATTACCAGTCGTCGTCAGACTTCAAATGGCATTGTGGCTTTTGGACTGGTCTGGTGGCAGATGATGGGATTTTTGTGGACGATGAGACAGTTTTCACCATGAATGCTATGACAGTGCTTGGGGGTGATGATACTTCAAGCAGCACCAGCACTTCCTCTAGCTCTACAGCAACATTGTCGACCTTCTCCAGCCAGACGCTTACAAGCTCAACCTTGACTACTACGTCCAGCTCATTCGTAACAACAACCACGACCAGTGTGACAAGCACGACATCATCCGCAAATTGCGTGGCTACATCGGCTTCAGTCGGCGACGTGTTGGATACCACGACCGGAAATTCCTGGATTAACTTCTTCTCCTCTGGGTGTGGATTGTCCTTGGATTGGCAAACACTGGACTTTAACAATCTTTACGTATATCAACGCACCGATTATACATTCGAGGAGGCATTGCTCGAATGCGCTCAGGTTGCTGATAATGATGGCTCTCCGGTCTTCGAATTTGAGACTGATATTCGCAATAACAATCGATGGGTGTGCTGGACCCTTAACGGCATCACCAATGATCCGGCACAATTCCAGCCCTATCCAGGAATTGCAGATGCATACGGCTGGTATCTACCTAGCAGAATGGTTTCGGTGACAACTACATCATCAACCACGACGTCTGCGCCTTCAAGCACCGTGTCAACTCTGACTACGACTTCAGCCCCTAGCGCTACAACTAGTCAGTCTACGCTCGCTCCTCCAACCACACCGTCAATCCTGACAACAACTTCCGCCTCCCCCACAACAATTGCAACATCTAGCTTGACTACAACTTCAACCTCTGTTACCACCACCACCACGGCGGCAGCGTCGTGTCAACCAACAAATCTCGTTGACTCAAACGGCGACACATGGCAAGTTCTTTGCGACGTGGTTCGACTTGGAGGTGGTGAAGGTACCGGTACCATTTTCAACCTGGGCACTGGCACTACTCTGGCCCAGTGCATTGAGCTATGCGATGGGATTGACACATGCAACATGGTGGAGGTCGGGCCCGACGACAGTGGTACGGTCTATTGTTGGGGTCTGACATCCGTTGTGTCTTGGACCCCGGCCGAATACGCTGGATGGGATACGGCGCTGAAGATATCCGGCGACTTCGCTCGTGATCCTGTCAGCGGCAACACTATCGACGACACTATAACTTCAAGCTCAACACTATTGACCACGACAAGCACCACAACATCTACTCCAGGATCCTTGACTACGATAAGTACGACAACAATTGACAGCACCGCAACTTCTACATCAATCACCACGACGAGCACCTCAACAGTTGACGTCTCGACGACAGCTACGTCAACACCGACCACCACAACAAGCACCATCATCGACATTCCGACATCAGCTGAGACGTTCTACATCGCTGCTGAGACGGGAGTGGCGGGTCGCAGGATCAAGCGAGGCACTCAATATCTTGTGCTGAACCCGCAGACTGGCTTGAGCAGTCTTGTCGACTCCCAATCCGAAGCAAGCACCTTCGTTATTGCCGATGATGAATCGTTAATGGTGGTAGTGAGTGGCACACCTGTCTGGGTCGGTTTTACGTTCACCACGCCCACTCAAATAGTGATGGCGACTGTTCAACCGGATCCTCCCGTCACTGCAACGATTCGTAGCGACGGAGTTTTGACGATTTCATCAGTGGTGACTGAGTGCTCACTGAACGGCGGCCTGGTTGTTTCCACTGATAGCTCGGTTCCTGAGGGCTGCATCCAAGTTACGTTGAAGGCAGTTTCTGCAACCATTGTTGATCCAGTTAGTTCAAGCACATCTACGTCTTCATCAGTGCCGGTCGTGACGACTTCCGGCACGACGACAACCACGGGTACGACGACAATAACAACGACTGCAACTACCCCAACACCGACCTGCACAAATGGGGAAATAGTAAGCGATGCGAATGGCGACACATGGGAAACTCTGTGTGGACAGGGGAGCGTTAATGGATGGACGTACTTTTCCAGCTTCGCTGATGTTGCAACTTTGGCCGACTGTATTGCCAAGTGCAATGAAGATGGCTCGTGCAATGCCGTCTCTATCGAATATCGAAACCTAGGGACCAATATGTGCGGTTTTATCTACACGACAATCGATTTCCAGCCGTACGACTTCACTGCAGATACGGCGATCAAGGTTTCGGGAGCGAATGCCAGGCCTCAAATCGACTTCTCTGGCTCATCCACGACAACAACGACAACGACAACGACAACGACAACGACAACCGGCAGTGTCTCAAGCACGGCTACAACTTCGGCCACATCAACAACCACGATACCTGCATGTACACCTTCGGCAATCGGAGATGTCACCGCCCTTTATGATACAACCCAGACTTTCCGTAACGTTTACACAGGTTGCGGTGAGTCATTGGAAGGAGCGACGACAGGCGGTCTGCAATATCTTCCGAAGCAGTTCGCAGTCCAATGGCAAGCGTCAGACAATTATGAAGGCTGGACATTTGAAGATGCTGTCAGTAGATGTGTTCAGACTGCCGTCGACAGCGCTGCGACAGCGGTTGAGTTTTATGTCGATGTGGATCAGAATTGGCTCTGTGTCGGCGTCGACGATCTGACTTTGGACGACTCCTCCTTCTACACTGATACGAATGTGATCAATGTCTGGGGTTTCGTCTGGGAGAATTCGTGCCAGAATTCGCCGCTCGACGACATTGTCGCAACAGATGGAACTGTCTTCTCCGAATTCTACACTGGCTGCAGTGCGTCGCTCCAAGGCAATATACCTGGTGGACTGCAATACCTTAACCGAGTCGTGTCAGTGCAATGGCCTGCCCCAGACTATGCCGACTGGACCTTCGATGCCGCCGTCAAATCCTGTGCTGACCAAACAGTCTCGCAAGCTGGCACTATGTTCGAGTTTTACATTGGTGCGGATGATTCGTGGTACTGTGTTGCAGTCAACGACTTGCCCATTGAAGCCGACAGTTTCTCTCCTGATGCGACAGTCGGTAAGGTTTGGGGTTTTGCCATCACACAATCTACAGAGGTCTGCGAACCTTCACAACTTGCAGGTTCAGTCCAGTTGGCGAACGGGACTACCTATGATGAATTCTATGATGCATGCCATGTGTCGCTGGAAGGCATCAGTGGTGGAGGGCCGGGCTCGATGACAAATGTCTTTGGCTTCAATAACCCACCTGGGGAAGATGGAAATCATGGAGGATGGACATTGGAGACGTCGCTACAGCAATGTATCACGGACTCAGCAGCCGCTGGGGCGACCTTGGTCGAATTCTATGAGAATGCCGACGAAGATCCCACGTGGTACTGCTTTGGCGTCGCCGATATATCAGCAGACGAGGATTCGTTCTACGGCGACGACACTGTTGGCCGCTTGTGGGCTTTCAAGCTTGACGAGTCCACCTTGCCGACAAATGACTAGACAGGAGTTGTGGTTGGGAAAGGATGCACTCCTTGAGATGTGATTGCTTCACACACCTCAACCCATTTATCCTAGATTTCACGTACACAGTTTCATATGTAAAGTTTCAGATATGGGGGAGCTATCTGTTTCGGGGACAATCTTCATAGTAATATGATGGATAAGCTAGAGTTAGATATGGAGTGATGAGGAATTATACAGAAAGAAATATCCCATCGCTGTGCACGGAAGAGAATTCTCTAATCTATCACCGTGACGACATTTCCCCATCAGTCAGTCATCGCTTACTGTGTAAATATATACGTATGTGTAGATTACTCTCTGACTCTCCAAAAGGAAAAAGGAGAATGCAGAAAACGACTCCGCTCGCTTGTGTAGCAGGACACAGAACCCGGAGAGGCGGGCGGTTTAGGTCGTTTTCGAGATTGAGCCATTGCAATGTCCATGCAATGAGGCGACCAGCGACAGGTGGAGGGGGATATTGATCTGGAAAAATCGAGACAGTGATCGTCAAGGCCCACCGCGTCTGCCTTTCTTCCCGGATAACAGACCGTACCGGTACGTACCGTACGAGCGAGCTGAGCCGAGCTGAGCTGAAATGGAGTTGAGTTGAGTTGAATTCTCGTCCATCCCAAGCGCCGTACCGTTCTTTGACTGTATGTCCCCCATTGATTGAGATATGTAGATGTGTAGATATGTGGTATGATATGTGATTATTACAACGCGGCCAAGATTTCTTGGGTAGGAGAATGAGCCAGAACCTGGCGCGTAACACTGCTCGAAAAGGATTCTATGCCTCTCAACTTGTGGTACGGCTTGGATCAGGGGGCCAATCTTTGTCAAACTAATATGGCACTTCCAAGGGGTCAGGTTTGGGCGTGTGGTACAGTTGGCAAGTGAGCCAGCGGTTGTAGAGTGGTGGTTGGGTAGTCGGTGATAGAGGAAGGGTCACGGCCCTGGAGATGGTGGTGCTGCCAAAGCCCCATCCTCGTCAACCCCCAGTATTGTCGCTGGTGATAATATTCAGCCCTGTTGATAGAGGAGGCACCCATCTCCCACACTTTGCTCGCCCGATTGCGCTGAGTGAGATGAGATGCAGCACATGTTGATTTCCGCTACGTGCTTGTTTCGTACTTCGTCTTCGCCCTCAGTAAACCCCCATGCCGATAAAACATCCAAGGCATCGGTGCCATTAACAAGGTGCAAAATGCCAGAGTCGAGGTTGCCCACCCAACGCCGAGTGCCTTGTAGAACTTCAGGGCAAACAGAGGGAACGCAGCCGACAGGCCATATCGCGACAGCATGGCAGCGCCAGCAGCCGATGCACCGTATAGAGGCCCATAAGCATCGACCATGAATAAGTTCATCGATGCGTACACCATCACAGTGGCGGTAAACGACATGCCCTGGAATACTACCGGCACAGCCCAATGAATTTCAGCGTGTGCTGTCCAGGCAAATATCAACAGGCAGATAGGAAGAAAGAAGGATGCGATCATGCTTGGATAGAGGCGATGTTCTGGAGGAAAGTGCTCGTCGGCGCCCAAGTTTTCGGCGCGAAACTGTTTCAGGCGTGGTTGGTAAATGTACAGGTCGACCAGAATCAGCGGGCAAGGAGCAAACGCGGTTCCACCCATCAAACCAAGAAACGACAACGACTGGCCCGTCAGCGAGAAGTTGTAGTAGCGCTCGAAGACCCAGGGCGATGCGACGACGAAGGTGTACATCAGCCCAAAGAGAAAACCGTTGTATAGGCATACAATGGTGACGATGGGCTCCGTGACGAGCATGTGGAGAGGGCGGAGAAACAATGTTGTCAAGAAGTAGTTGACAGCAGCAAGAATCGATCGGCGTTGTTGAGGCGGTCCTTGAATATTGAGTCTTTTTGCTCGCCGTTCAAGGATGGTCTTCTTGTAGGTTTCCTTGGTGAATACGATCGGGATGTAAAACGTGACAATGAAGAAGAGTGTAACCCATTGTGTCCAACGCCAGCCTCTTGCCTCGACGACGAGCCCTCCAAGGAGGGGCCTATACGAGGATTAGCCTCAGTATTTTCACAGGCTGGCTGGGGACGTACCCAAATACTGCTCCAAAAAATGGTATGGAATAGTAGAATGCCAACGAAACAGCTCTATAACGTCCAGCTGTATAGTCGACGATGGTGGCGGAGGCATTGCTGATGGCTGGCGAGGCAAAGACACCAGCAAAGAATCTGCAGATAATCAAAGACGCAGGTCCCTGGGAGAGGCCCGCCCCAAGTGTGAAGAGAGCGAATATAGGGGTAGTAGTCAAGAAGACTGCTTTGCGACCAAACGTCTCGCTCAAAGGTGCCCCAATGGGAGGTCCAAAGGCCAGGCCAAAGTTGTAGATCGACAGAGGAAGGATGGCAACCTCCTCCGAAACACCAAATCGTCTCGAGACATCGTCGTGTGCTGGACTGTAGAGCGAAGCAGCTATGGTGCTCACAAATGCGAGAAAGGTCACGGCCAATGTCGACGATATCCGACGCAGTAGAGAAAAGTTTCGAGGATTGTCAGGATCGCTGGGCCCGTCCCAGTCTGTTGCTGTTCGCGGGCGCTGGAGCACGCCTGTAGTGTCGATTTCGAGCTGTTCATGCCTCGCCATATTATTCCATCTGATCTGGCGTGATCGAAGAGGCTATTCCTCCATGCTGTGCGGACGGTTGTGAAAACGAGAAAGAGAGAAAATGATAACCCAGCAGACGCGATGTCGGACAATGACCCGAGTCCTACACTGTACCTCGTACTCCAGATAGGAATTGGGGATATACATACAGGCCCTGATGACCGTCCGTTCCCCGCATATCAGAACGGATAAATCGGCTTCAGACCTACCTATGATGAACAACCGGCGACATTCCGACCAGTATCTAGCCAGTTAAGCGTGCGAACACAGGCTGATTGAAGCTGTACCTGAGAGCAAAGAGGAGGGCATGATACCGATGAAGGAGAAAACATTGATTATTATCGTTACAGGCTATCGAGGCCGAGGCGTCGCTGCCGGCAATTCTTCGGGGGTTTCACGTGATCAAAATCAATTAAACGCGTCGATCGTCCAGAACGCGTCGACGCGTCCAACCGTAAAGTCTACGATACGCACTTGTCACAGCCCCCTCGCACCCCCTGCGCAACTGCGAGATTCAAGACGCCTTTGTTGTCTTCTGTCCTTACCAACACCAACCGACAGTCTCGACAACGATCCTCCAGCATGGCCCTCGACTCTCGCTCCGCATACTCCCTCTCTGTCCTTCCTGCACACAATGACCAACTGGGCGAACCGCGCACCGAACTGCAGCAGAAGCTCAGGGACTTCATCCTCGCATTCCAACTCGACGGCGTCTACATCTACCGAGACCAGCTGCGGCAAAATGTCCTGGTCAAGCAGTATTACTGCGATGTCGACCTGGCGCACCTGATCTCATACAATGAAGAGCTCGCGCACCGGCTCACGAGCGAGCCTGCGGACGTGATACCGCTGTTCGAAGCGGCGTTGAAACAATGTACACAGCGCATCGTGTTCCCGCACGATCGCGAGGTCCAGCTCCCTCAACATCAGCTCCTGCTCCACTCGAGTGTCGCGCACATTTCGATCCGTGACCTGACCGCCGCGAACGTCTCGCACCTCGTCCGCATCCCAGGCATCGTCATTGGAGCGTCCACGCTATCGTCAAAGGCCACCCTCGTCGCGATCCAATGCCGCGGCTGCGAACACACGCAGCAACTCCACGTCGAAGGCGGCTTCTCTGGCATCACACTCCCTCGCCAATGTGGGCGGACAAAAGTCCCCGGCCAAGAGTCTGGAGACCCGTGTCCTCTGGACCCCTATTTTGTGGTCCATGAATCCTCACAATTTATCGACCAGCAGATTATAAAATTGCAGGAAGCACCAGACCAGGTCCCGGTGGGTGAATTGCCCCGCCACATTGCCGTCTCTGCGGACCGGTATCTGACGAACCGAGTCGTTCCTGGGTCGAGATGTACGGTGATGGGGGTGTTTTCAATCTATCAGCAAAACAAGGGGTCGAAGAAGGATAGTGCAGTTGCGTTGAGACAACCGTACTTGCGAGCAGTGGGCATCCAAACGGACGTAGACCACTCGGCCACCGGGGCATCATTTTCGGACGAGGAAGTTCAAGAGTTCGAGGAAATGTCCAGATTACCCGACCTCTACGAGCGGTTTGCGCGTTGCATTGCTCCGGCCATCTATGGAAACATGGATATCAAGAAGGCCATTGCATGTCTGTTGATGGGTGGCTCAAAGAAGATTCTCCCAGACGGCATGAAATTGAGAGGCGACATCAATGTCCTACTTCTGGGTGACCCGGGTACGGCCAAATCGCAGCTGCTGAAATTTGTCGAAAAGGTGTCGCCCATAGCAATCTACACCTCCGGAAAGGGTTCATCGGCAGCTGGTCTGACCGCCTCCGTGCAACGAGATACACAAACACGAGAGTTTTACCTGGAAGGTGGAGCCATGGTCCTCGCAGACGGTGGCGTGGTCTGTATCGACGAATTCGACAAGATGCGCGACGAAGATCGAGTGGCAATCCACGAGGCAATGGAACAGCAAACCATCTCGATCGCGAAAGCGGGCATCACCACCATCCTCAACGCCCGTACCTCCGTCCTCGCAGCCGCAAATCCCATCTTCGGACGATACGACGATCTCAAATCTCCGGGGGAGAACATCGACTTCCAGACCACCATTCTATCTCGTTTCGACATGATCTTCATCGTAAGAGATGACCACGATAGAACGCGGGATGAAAACATCGCGAAGCACGTCATGGGCATCCACATGGGCAACCAGGGCGTCGAAGAGCAGGCCGATGTCGAAATCCCGGTAGAGAAGATGAAGCGATATATCAGCTTCTGCAAGTCGTAAGTGGAATTTGTTGCCTTGATGGTATAATTGAATAATCCGCTGACATCTTTTTCTAGCCGGTGCGCCCCCAGATTGTCGCCCGGCGCAGCAGAGAAGCTCTCGTCGCATTTCGTCTCAATTCGGAATCGAGTAGCTCGAGCTGAGGCTAACAGCAATGTCCGGTCTTCTATCCCTATCACAGTCCGTCAACTTGAAGCCATCATTCGCATCACAGAGTCACTCGCGAAGCTCACTTTGTCAGCCGTAGCAGAGGAACACCACGTTGACGAAGCCATTCGTCTCTTCCTCGCCAGCACCATGGACGCCGTGTCTCAGGGAGAAGGCGCTGGTGGCATGAGCGGAAACAGAGAGTTGATGGAGGAAGTAAGTAAGGTGGAAGAAGAGCTTCGAAGGCGGCTGCCGATCGGTTGGAGCACAAGCCTAGCGACTCTAAAACGGGAATTTGTTCAGGGGCGAGGATACAGTGAAGCAGCGTTGGCCCGCGCGTTGCATGTTCTGCAAAGAAGAGAGACGATACGGCTGAGAAATGGTGGAAGTCAGGTATATCGAAGTGGAGTCTAATCGAGGACCGGAATAGCTGTTTACGAAGTGTCACGAGCACATCTTAGTGTAGCCAACGTTTTGTGGCTTTCTGCAAAGACCTGTTGCCCTGTTTGCTTGAATGTGCCTTACCAGTTTGCACACCGACTGATGCAAAAAGTGGCTTCCCAGGCGACGGACTAGTTGAGCCGTAAGCCGAAGAAGCTTGGTGAAACCAGAAATTTCCATTTTGAGTAATTCTTTCAGGGCCGTTCGGGGGATGGGATCGATCGTATCCCTGCTCGACTGCATGCGAGCCCATCGGCCTGGTGACTTTAGTTTCTTCTTTCCAGGGGGCCAGCTCCCCACATTCTCAATGATGGATTGGTGGAACGACGCACCGGGGTGGCCCAAGTGAGGAAGATAACCCGTGTCCAGAATGCGAGTGTTGGCCACATCTGGCAGAGAGAGCTACCGGCCTCATGACATAAGACCTGTGAATGGTCATAGTAAGCTAGCATCAGGAATCTAGGGCAGTGGGCCGGTCACTGTCACCGAGCTGTCTCAAAGTTTGCAACCTACTCCGTACATCCGCTAAGCGAACAATGTGGGTGGCGCCCGTTCAGAAATATCTGGTGGCGGCTTAAGGCTAATCAAGCCGAGCCATGCTTCTGCTTCTAACAGAGCACCTAGGTGCAGGGTGTAGGGGCCCTGTCCATCGAAGCTGAAGTCGCCCAGGAGTGAGACGAACCCCTGCTCGTCGTCGACTAGGGAGGTGACTTGTTGCCGAGCAGCCACGCCGTACCCGAGCGCAGTGACTCGTAATGCTAGAGGAAGCCCAGATTGGCGTTGGATGGGCCAAACGCGCATCAAGTCTGTGCATCCAAGATCCAGATGGGCGGCACCAGGGTGGGACAGCAACTCACTTGGACGTTGGCAAGCGATCCTGTCATCGCAATTGGCCGCAGAGAACACGAAGCCTGCAGGGTCGTCATTCTGAGTTCGGATTTTGGTCGGCGTCGACAAGTCACAAACAGTCTGCCGGTGCCAATGATCGTGGCAGGGGCACGATTTGTGGTGCGCCTCCTGACACTTCGGATCTTGTACCGTGCATGAATGGCAGTTCTGAGGCAAGCCACCTCTAGATCGGACTCTGACGACGGGTCTGCAAGGTCAGTGAAGCCAGGAATGAGGATTTTTCCACTGTCAGGATAGTGTACACCAAGTTCGTAATTTGTGGGCGAGTTCGTTGCGCGCAGATTTTAGACCAGGAATGTGTGCAGTCTAGAGGTAAATGTTGCCGATGGTACAATTTCCGATGATCAATGCGTGCGATTGTGCAGGGAATAGCTCGATCTTGAGAGAGAGAAGTCGCCGAGATGGAGGGTCCTAGATGGAGGGGTTGGTGGAAGATCTGAAATATCAGCAACCTCGTCAGAGTCGGGCGCGCTCGATTCTCAATAGTTAGAGGAAGCGAATGGACATGTGAATGCCGATCATAGAATCTCTCATTCAAGGGTGTGTGAGCATCCAAGGCTGAGAGCCTCCTCTGGTGTCCTTCTCTTGTTTGACCCAAAGTCATCACATAGAGCAGTCAGTTTGCAGGGATGTCTCAGCGGTGCATTGTGCTGGATGGGAGTCAGCTATACGAGGCATCCCAAAAGATTGTGTGACTAGGGTGTCAGATGGAGGTTGTGATCAGCTAGCGATGCAGAAAAGTAGTCCGATGGCTCATCTAGCAGGCTGATGGCAGAGTCGATCTAGTAGCGTAGCATGGTGAACATCGAGCGGGACGAGGGTCATCTAACAAATTAGGATCTGAATCGACGCTGGTTTGAAAGAATCGACAACTGACAGGGGTTGGGTGAACTAGGAGCGCTGTAGGTAGTGTAGCGCGACGAACAGTAGGCGAGCTGGCCTGCTGGGTGTGGGATAGAGTGGATGGAGTGCCTTGAAGGGCTGTTCTGCATCTCAAAGTCTTTGATGCCAAGCTCAAACCCAAGTGGAAGACGTCACGGTTGGATGGATCGCGAGTGCAGGTCTCTAGGAGCCTCTAGCCCCTCCACGTTATTAGCAAGAGATGGGTGGCCAAGGTTCTGTTAGGGGGACCCCTAGACAGCGCAGCCGCCTACAAGTACAAGCACTCCCCAAACTCTAAGTACTCGGGCAGGCGGGCCTGACGCTTAGTAGGACCGTTAAGGGCAAAGAGCGTGCTTCGCTAGCTAAACTGCTTGCATAGGGGCTGCAGCGGTTCCTGTTTCCGACGCCCGACCCGACGCCCTATTGAATCAATGCCTCGTAACCTCGGATTCGTCGAACTGTCTCGTAACCTCACCCCAAAGTCCCCCAAACAACCATGGATCTTCTCAAGAGACCATCCTCTGCCGTCTTTCCTCCCTCCCGCAAACAGCAGCCAGTATTTTACAAGCATTGAGCCTGGCCTCTTGCTCTTGTCTCCGATCCATCCCCTCTCGACCTCGAACAGGAAAACGATGTACCTACCGCCTGCAGGACGGCCTGATAGAGATGGCGGATGCATTCACTTTCCCTCGATCAGCTTTCATTCCGGGGATTGCCTCAGTCTGTGGGGGGTCACACGGTCCCGCTGAAGCCTTTCTGCCCTTGTCTCCTCCCTCGTCGGCTGTCTTAGCCACGATATCACCTAGCGTGATGCTGAAGCTTGCGCGTATCGCTTCGCAAAGGACAACCCCCTGTTGCCCTGTAGGCAACACGACGATGTTAGTGATGATTACAGACGAAAGAAACAGGCCCTTGCGAGTCCACCGCTCTTAGTCCTATTTGGGTTTGCCTTCACAGCCTATATCCAACACCCTTCAGCCCAAGTGCCGCCAGGGGACAGCCATGATTCCCTCCATGATCCCACCATTGAAGGTGGCAGCACAATGGTGACGGCCTCATGGCAGGTTACACCAGATCTCTGCTCCCCCAGGCATATTCTGTGTAGCAGACCAACCCGTCAAATCCCTGTCTCTGAGACGATCAGGTCCCAGGTCCCCGGGCGTGCCTGCAAGTCAGTATGGATCGGCTTCGGCGGCCAATCGTGAAGAAAATGCATCGAGTCTCTGAAAACTCAGGGACCAGAGATGATCCACCCTGCGTCTTAGAATCATGGTCGCAAAATATTGCAGAGCCGTGATGGTGTGCGAATCCAGCTCACAAACAGAGGAGAGATCTGATCCAGACTGATGCGCAGGCACCGCGATAACTCCATAATCGAACCGGATGCTCTCACGCGGTTCCCTTGTCATACACACAAAATCCCCTCGGGGCAGCGACCGCTCTGTCGGTACTGCTTCCATGCTTGAGGACAAAGACCGGTCCTGCTCTGAAGACATTGACATCATACTTTCCTGGTGCTGCAGACTTCCAATCCGACAATAACCCGCTTGCAACTTCCACACATCACAATCTATCAATAGTCGATACTCCCCAAGCGTCCGAGGACCAAGAGAAATGTGGCGCCCGCCCTTGTCTTCTGTCTCTTTCATCCTCTCCTTCTCCGTCACCCCACTCGTTCCCTCCTTTTGGACTCACCCTTGACGCAACTTGGTGGTCACTGGAACAACATGAAACATTTATTTGGATGGGCAACTTCGCCATCTTACGGCGTCGATGTCCCGTTTCGAGTAGCCTCCGTTCTGTCCGCGGCCCCTCCCTCCTCAACAAAGCGACATCCTTGTTGACTCGTAGAGATTGACAGGTCGCATTCTAATCACTGGGTATAGACGTCCAACCGCAGCCCTGTGCTTTTGGCCCTTGTTCTTGTTGCCTCCATTCCACCCTCGACCGTATTGGGACATATGGCGATAGCTGGACATGGTGGACGTATTGCTCCATCGGGCTTCTAGTGGATCGATTGTAGAGGTCAGATCATGGACCCGATGGCGCCTCCTTCTCTTTTGGAGCACACCACGAAATGTAGCATCCATCATGCGCTGGAGCAGTCCATGCACATGCACAACGCCTAGAGCCTTATCCTGGAGCATAGAAAAGGTCACCAACACCTCGAGAGGAAGATTTTTCCTCTGCTCCTGCTGGTTCCCTCTTGCTCATCCCAAAGACTGGTTTCATTACTTCTGTATAAACAGTGATCGAACCCATCACACTTGCAGAATTCCAGTCGCATACCAACAATAGCCTCACACTATTGCCATTACGGTCCCTTGATGCCATTCCACAAACCTTCAGCCTGATTCAACGTCTACATTACCAAAGAATCTTCTAGTACCTCGTCGATTGTGTTGAAATTGTTGTACCTGTGGCTGCCCCCCCAGATATCACGATGGAACTCGCTGTTGCACCACCGTCGCGCGTCGCAGCGGGTGTCACCCTTGAGACACCCCTCGTGGTGACATTCTTGGGACCACCATCCACATCAGACGACAAGTGCGAAAACGAAGAAGCCTTTACACTCGCCGAAACAAGCGGGATATGGGTTTTCCTATCTCTAACCACACCGGACATGCAGGAAAGCCTAGCTCCGCCGCGGGAAGATCTCTTGTGTGGTAGTAGGGCCGACTCCATACATGCCCTCTGCGAGGAACAGGAGGGCGAGCGACCGACCATCGCATATGCAATGTTTCCCGGTCTTGTGATCACGCAACCCGGCACTTACCGCATCAAAGTCAACATCATCGATATGAATGCGTACGATTCGAGTTCCTAGAATAGGGTTGTGGGTTGCTGATGATCAACTAGGACACTCAGGCTAGACAATGAAGATGAAAGGGCAGCTACGGTTCTGCCATGCCTTCACTCGCCAGTCTTTGAAGTCGTCGAAGCCAGCGAGCACAGTGGAAATGGTATGTATGTTCTTTGGAGCTTTCCATACAACACGACGCTGACAAAACCCAGAGCCACAGGTTGCGGAGACAGTCAGGCGGTTGAAGTCAATTGGTATCAATTTCGGAGGCGAGGACGAGGGGTCAGGTGATTGAGGCTCATGGCGGGGTGAATCTATGGCAAAGAGGTGTATAAGAAGGAGGGAACTATCGATATGTGCTAATGGTATGTTGCTCGAGCCAGTAGAGGCCAATTGTTGCGTGTCATTGACGCCTGGGTATTTGGATACGGAACCGGAACAGCTGGGTATCCTTTGATACTTCACTCGCTTATGTGTATTCGATTCAGTTTTATACTGTAAGATGGTACTTGGTTGAACATCTTGACCTCCCTTAGCTCACACCCATGAGTGAAGAGTCAGTTACGGCGTCAATTCTGAGGTTGACCGACTGCGCTAGCACCACATTCTTCACATCCCTTTGATCCTGGGGAATACCTTGACCCTCGCGCTATTCTGCTTGGAACTTCGGCGTGTGGACCGAAATGAACATTGGATCGTGTTTTACGTACGAGACTACCGAACGGTCAGATGGGACGGACGATCATTGGTATGATCCATTCTCTGTCGACAGATGGAGAGAAAGATCTCAAACACCAGAAGTACCAACTGGGTTGTGCGATCGGGCATTTCCACAATGGGATTAGCATGGCTTGTCTGTTCACGTGAGAGATCCCAAGATATGATTGGTGGAGCTTCTCCTCGCCATAGTTTCCTATCTCGCAGAAGTGTCCAGGGGTGCTTTTGTCCCGCCCCCCCGACGCGGTGCAAAGTTGTTTCACACCCGCTACCGTGGCTGGCAAACTGGCACGCCTCGATCTTTTCGCCCGCCCTGACCTTGCCCTGCTCTGCCCACTTGCCCCCTCAAGCCTCCCTCCCTTCCTGCGACCGATCTCTGTCTGCAGGGACTCGTCGCCCACTCCTGCGCACCTTAGCTCTTTGTCTACCCTCTGGTGGAAGTGTCAATGCTGACACTTAGCGGCAAAGACATATCTCCAAATTCAGTACAGACTATGCTGACCTCGAGAGGTCCTTCTCTCCTGTCCATATACGCGCGCAAATCTACGGCCTCCGAACCTGATACCATGAGCATGACCAGCTTCACCCAAAGAAGCAACATCCCCCTCCTCCCCAACCTCTCATGATCTTGCTAGTGAGGCGACGGCCCGCCCTTGGGTAAAAGACCCAGGAATACAAAACCATGGCAGACTCTCAGCCTGCGCCCTCCACCTCCTCTCGTCCCCATCCCCAACACCTTCGTTTACAAGAAACATGCGAGAATGGGTCGGCTGAGAGACAATCTTCCTCCTCCGCAGCTCACATCGAGCCTGACGATCGTATCTTGTTGACACCACCCCTCCCAAACCCAGGAATCAGTCCGTTGGATCAGGCGCTCTATAAGAACAGTAATGAGCGGAGTTTTTTGGCCAATGCAAATCAGCAAGCGGTTTCTCACAATGGACAACTCAACATGTCGCCGCCCGATTCATTGCGCATTCACCATGATGCAGCGCATCTCTTGAGTGGCCTTCATATACGTACGGATGTTGGGGGTCCCAAACGTAGCAGTTCCACCCAGTCCATGGATTCCGAGTACAGGTTACGAACCAGTGCCTCTGCCACAAGTATCCCTCGTCGAGTTCCTAGTATCCGAGCTCACCTTCATTCGTCGGCTGGTTCGGTCTCCCCTGGTACAGTCATCTCCTCGCCCCAGATAACCGCAATGCTGGATATCACTCCTCTGCCCTCGCCGACAATGGCGGCATTCGAGTCATGGAAGGCTCTTTCGCTGGCAAGGACCAGATCCCGTACCTCCTCCATCTCTTCGGCCAAAGCTGAAGCATTGCCCCCTCCCGTTCTGCCATCACCCACCACTCCTCGCCGAAATAAAGGCTATCCAGGTTTGAGATCTACTCCTTCCTCACGTCCAGGTACATCAGACGGCCAGACCCTTGGTGCCGATCACAGTCGTACTAGAAGTGTCAGTGACTATGTGCCCGACCCTGTGGCTGTGCCGAAACCCCGAAACATAGCCGTGTCAACCGCTGGGGCACCATTCGAGATCACCGAGTCTCCAACATCTATGCATCGAGAAGAATATCTCGGTCCACAAAGAAGATTGAGCAAGTCCGTTGCCAGACCTCTTACCCCTCCGCAACCGACAATACAGATAGAGAGGAGCCACGAAGACGAGCCCGCTGCCAAACGACCAAAACTTGAAATCTTTAATGCGCGGAGCATTTCTACCGGAGAGCCAAGATCTTACGAAGCGATCCGGATTCTCGGCCAAGGGACTTTCAGCAAGGTCTACTTAGCGGTGCGTCAAGTCGACAACGATCGAAAGGACAATGTCGATTACATGCAAGACAGCATAAATATGGCCGGCGTTCGAGCTCGATCTCGACGACTTGTGGCGGTCAAAGTCGTAGAACATGGTCCAGCGGGTGGTGCGGACGCGGAGAGGATCGAGGTCGGGCTGAAAAGAGAGGTGGACTTGTTGAAATCCATACAGCATCCATCCCTGGTCCATCTGAAAGCATTTGGCAATGATGATAATGCGCGAGCTCTGCTTGTCATGAATTACTGTCCTGGCGGGGACCTGTTTGAAGTGGCGTCGAAACACCACGAGGTCTTGACGCCATCGTTGGTGCGAAGGGTTTTCTCCGAGCTGGTGTCGGCGGTGCGATACCTTCATCAAAAGTACATTGTTCATCGGGACATCAAGCTGGAAAGTAAGTCTAGGGAAAGGGACTCAATCTCCTGTCCGTGCTAATGGAACCCAGATGTCCTGCTCAATATTCCGGTGCGTGTGCACTCGGACGTGTCCAATTGGCAAAGCCTTGATCGGGCGGTTGTCACACTCACCGACCTGGGTCTCTCTCGCCGCATTCCCGAACCCCCCGAAAGCCCCCTTCTCACAACGCGCTGTGGAAGCGAGGATTACGCCGCACCGGAAATCCTAATGGGTCAGCCCTACGATGGACGACAAACTGATGCCTGGGCACTTGGAGTTCTGCTTTACGCACTAATGGAGGGTCGGTTGCCCTTTGATCCTCTTCCCGGAGCGCGCGGAGACCCAGCTGTTCTGCGTGCGAGGACGCCGCACAGAATAGCGCGGTGCGAATGGGCGTGGTACAAGTATGGCGACGAAGACGGAGAATGGGACCCCGTCAAAGGCGCCGACTTTGAAGGTGCACATGAGTGCGTGGCAGGGTTATTGAAGAGGAATACAAGACGGCGACCGTTGGCCGAGATCCGAGAATTACCATGGGTCAAGGACGGGATCCAGGTCGATGGAGGTCTAAGATGGGTTGAAGAGGAATTGTAACAACATTCGCTCCACCTTTTCTGTTCGTTTCTTCTGGGATTCTTTGATTGGCTTTTGTTCTGACTGAGACGGAGGCACTCGATGCCGTTTGATCGAACACGGACGGCAGGAAAAGAAACATAGATTTTGAATAGCAGTTGGTTAGCGGGACCTGTCTGGTTGGTGCTGATGCGTTTGTATATCAACTTTTATAGACCCTTGATGAGATGGACTGGAGATATTTTGTTGGAGGACGAATGGCGAGAATGGGTGTTTGAGGATTTCTGAGCACCGACTAGATTTCTTTGTCTCATTAGGAGGTTAGGGGGTCAGGAGGATTGATGTGGGATTTCGTGGCTGATGTGTATCTCGCGTCGGAGACTCGGTCGATAGCGGACTCGTGCAATTAAGTTGTCTTGTGCTTTGCTGTATGATTGTCAAGCCAGACTTGGAGACTGTCCCACTGGAAAAGATATTGGAGGAAGACAGAAGGATGGATAACTTGGGAAATAAAGAGAGGAAGAAAGGAAGAGAGGAAGCTCTGCAGCGCAGGGAAAGAAGTAAATGACTGCGGGGAAATTTCCGTAGCAAGGCTGCAGCGAATCCACCAAAGAGGGTCCTGAGGGTCCAAAAGCTCGGGCTCACTTGTTCCATCTCATCCCATCTTTCTTGTCTTCTCGCTATCATCATGGATTCAGGTTCGACGTCCTCCTCTAGCAGTCTTGTAAATGGACAATCTGCACCCAATGGAGTCAACAATGTGTCGTCGCTATCAACATCGTCCCAATCCGACCCACAGATGCCACGAGTGCCTAAGAGGCTGTACTCGCTCTCCCAGCCGCCGTCCCTGTCTGCGTTCAAGACACTGTGTTCCCAATCGACAAGCCGAGAGATCTATCCACACGCGTCGGCCGTGGTGTCCAATATCCCCGTCTACGAGCTACCCACTGAAGCAGATGCGTTTGCAGACCCAGGCTTCATCGATGCATTGCAGGATGAATGGCACCATATCCTCCTCTCAGGGCCTGGGGTGGTGATTCTCCGCAACTTCATCCCGGACAGGAAGCTGATTGAGCAGGTCAACGCTGTCTTCGAGGCCATCATCGCCGCAGAATCTGAGTTGCTCGCTCAGGGAGGACACGGTGGGGACAAGGGCGACCACTTCGCAGCGAGCGGCACCAATGCGCGCATCTGGAACTCGTTCCAAAAACACGCCGAGCGCGACCCAGCGTCCTTTGTGCAGTACTACTCCAGCCGCTACTTGGCCGCCATGTGCGCCGCCTGGCTGGGACCCGCGTACCAGATCACCGCGCAGGTAAACATCGTACGGCCGGGAGGCCAGCCGCAGGTGAGCCACCGCGACTACCACCTGGGGTTCCAGACCACGGCGGCGTGCGCGCTGTATCCCGCGACCACGCAGGTGGCGACGCAGTTCCTCACCCTGCAAGGCGCGGTGGCGCACACGGACATGACTCTGGCCAGCGGGCCGACGCGCTTCCTGCCCTTCTCCCAGCAGTTCGAGCCGGGGTACATGGCGTACCGTCTGCGCGAGTTCCAGGAATTTTTCGACCGGAACTGGGTCAGCTGTGCCCTGAACATGGGCGACGCCGTCTTCTTCAACCCGGCGTTGTTCCACGCCGCGGGCGAGAATCGCACCCTGGACGTCCAGCGCTCCGCGAACCTGCTGCAGGTCAGCAGTGCCTTTGGCAAGACCATGGAGACCGTCGACACTCTGGCCATCATCTCTCAGTGCTGGGACGATGTCAGGAAATTGTATGCCGAGGAGAAGAGTGGCGGCGGTGGCGGCCTCGACAGGACAGAGCTGCTACAGAATGGTGGCGTCGCAAGCAGAGTCCATGCCATTTTGGATGCAATCGCCAATGGATACCCGTTCCCAACGAACCTCGATCGTCGCCCGCCCGCGCCAGGTGGAATGGCACCCGAGAGTGAAGTTGATATACTCCGCAAAGGGCTGCTGGAAGGCTGGGACGTCAAGAAAGTTGTCGCGGCTCTTGTGGTCATCCGAACAGACTCGATGCCTTGACTATAATACTTATTGGACGACAACAACGCCCCCAGAACCAGGTAACATCGAAGGAAAGGAGGACAGGGAATGGTACATGAAAATTGTCGGTTTTTTTCGTTTCTCAATTCCACCGTGTCGGAGATGCTAGTCATTGTCTCGTTATCCCATTCTCCCACAATTACCATCTCTTCGACCCTCCTATATATATCCCCCTCCCTTTTTGTGCGTTTCTGCCGTTACCAGGCCATGTACCTACCAGATGAGAACAGGTTTAATGACGCTCCCGTCCTCCATGCCGTGTAAGGCCTGCAGCGCATCCTCTGCCGGGAATTGCTTGACGATCTTCTCGATGGGGAATTTGCCCTCGCGCCACCACTGGATCATGACGGGGATCCAGGCCTGGCCTGTCGTGTTGCCCAGGTAGTGGCACTCGTACGACTTGTTGGAGCTGAAAAACTCGCCGACCGGGAGGGTGACTTGTGCGTCTGGCCTGGGGACGCCGAGCTGGATGAAGCGGCCGCGTCGGCCCAGCGCCTTCATGCAATCCTCCACGACGGGGACGGCGCCCGTCGTCTCGATGACGATGGAGATGCGCTGGTTCGCGACCAGCTGCTGCACGCTCTCTGCGATACTGCCGCCGCTGGGAATGGTCGACGTGTCGAGCACCTTTGTGGCGCCCAGCTCTTTGGCAATCTCGAGCCGCCGCGCCACCCGGTCGACGGCGACGATTTCTTTACACCCCGCGATCTTGGCCGCCATGATGGCGCCCAGCCCGACGGCGCCGATCCCCGTGACCAGTACGACATCGTGCGGTTTGGCGGCCGCGCCGTTCACGATGGCCCCGGACCCGGTCATCAAGCCGCACCCCAGTGGGGCCAGCACCTTCAAGTCCTCGTGGCCGCCGCCACCGCCGCCCCCGAGCAGATCGCGGACATTGACCACGCTAGCCTCACCGACGATGCTCGTCGCCGCGAAGCTCGATTGCCCGAAGAACTTACCGGGCACTTCTGCGCCCGCACCCGTCTGGAAGACGGTCGCGTCGCCGACGATGTTGAGCAGCGGCCACGCCGCGCAGTACGGCTGCTCACTGCTCTTGCACAGGTCGCAGGCGTCGCAGTAGCTGTAGGACAGCAGGACCGGGTCGCCGACGCGCGCGACCGTCACTCCGGGGCCGACCTCCTCGACCACCCCGGCGCCCTCGTGGCCCAGCACACGCGGGAACTTAAGCCCCATCTGCTCGCCGGGGATCGACGCCACCAGGATATCCGTGTGGCAGATGCCCGTCGCCACCATGCGGATCTTGAGCTCGTGTTCCTTGGGTGGTCGGGACACCTTGATCTTCTCGAACCGCCAGTCCGGCGTGGGCTTGGTGGGATCGGCTGGGTACGACACCAGCGCGGCGACTTGGTCTGTTGCCATGGCTCTGTCCTCGTCCTCGCCTATATTTGGGGAGGTGTGTAAGCGTCCGCCTAGGTGTGTAGGTGTGTTGTGTGTGTGTAGGTGTATATGTGAGCGGTGGGTGTGTATGGGGTAATGTGTGCGTGTGAAAAGATCGGAAGAGGTGATGCGAGGACGAAATGACAAAGGTAGATATAGATGGATAGAGGATACCTGGTATGTATATATACAAAGTACCGGAAATCCAATTTCTATTCCTGTTCTCTCTCTCGACACTCAATCCAAGCAAGTCCCTCCCCTGTCCGTTCCCTGTTTTCGGAGAGAGGGAGATGGGGGCCGCTTTTGAAACAATACCATGTACATATAGTTACTGTGTGCGCCCACGGGATGATTTCTACTACTAACACTACATCGAGTAACTGAGTAAGTTGAGTAGAGTAACCTAGTCAGTGAGGGAGTGACTGCTCCCTCACTGACTAAGTGACTGACCCCATCGCCGAGTCGTGTGTGCTTACTCGGCCGCGCCTCCTCGAATTTGCTCCGAACCCTGTCTTGGTTTATTATTCCGGGCCATTCCAGCCTAAGTTATGTACGAGTACTCGGTATGTAGTAGGTACTGGGTATGTATATGTGGACGGGTGGAACTCAAGTCAACCCCTCCTCGCATTTTTGCATGGGATTTGACCTCGGGTAGCTCGCTGGATTGCAATAGATCTCGTAGACCGCACGAGATGAGCGTGATGATGGAGGACGCCTTGCATATCTCGGTGCTGGGCACTGAGTGCTGAGTGCTGAGTGCTGAGTGCTGGGTGCTGGGTGCTGGGTGCTGTACAAGTAAGTGCTGGTGGTGGTGGTGGTCAGATCGAGGGCATAAACAGGATCAGAATAACTGCATCGAGAACGGATTGGAAAAGAATCCAGCATCGGCGTCGTAATGGAGTACCCAGAGTACCTTGGCTTTTCTCTGGCGGATCTCGGCTCTACCCCGCGCTCGCTCACTGAAAGGATGACCCATTCATGATTTGCGGAGCTGAGCATGCATGCGAGCAAAGCTCTCTTCAGCTATGCATCTCCCACCGTTCGGCGCCCCATTTAAAAGTTCCATCTAATGCCGCACTTGAATCCTTTCCCAAACTTCATCGTGTTTATATATGCGAGAGTAAGCACTGATACTGATACGTCACGGAAGTGGGAAGCCTGTCGCAAAACACACCAATGGCAAAGACTTCCGAGATGGCCAGACTCGGTATCGGAGGAGGATGTGGTTGCTGATGCCACTGCCAGTGCCGGTGCGAGTGCGGACGAGCGGTCCGCGGTAGGATTCTGGGATTGCGCGTTGATGAGAATGCGGGCCGCGAGGCCGACGACTAACTGAACCTGTGCACAGTATCAAATCATGGATGGGGTATTAATACATGCCTCGTGTCAGCAGCACCAGTAGCACCAGCATCGAACCTTGATTTTGTCCGTCTATCTGTCTGCTGTGTCTCGCAAATTTGGTACTCTTTTTTCTGCACGGCCGGCTGCTTACTTACATGGATAGGCGGCGGCCTGATGGATTGATGGAATGATTGTTTGGTTCTCATTCGTCTCCGACCTCGACTTGGAGGATGTGGAGGAGAGAAATGGAACCTCAGACACAAGAGGGCTATCAGAGGATCGTCCCTTGCGTTGATTGATTTCGCCCCCATCTCGCAACTGCAAGTCGTCGTTGTAGGGTATGATACGAGAGTCAGCCGCAGCTTGAGGGGGGGTCCAGCCACCGTTCAGCCTGGCTTTGGGGTGGGTGTGTGTGTGTCTTGAAAGTCAAATCTCACTTCCTCCTGTTCTAGCGCCCACCGAAGAGTGTCGATTACAAGGTATGTAACAGATGACTATGACCGGGGTATGAAGGTGTGTGAAAGGTTTGTATGTGGCTTTCTCGTTCTGCTGGAAAGGGATGCCGTGGCTGGACGTGTCAAGAGGGCGCAGATACGGGGCGCAGGTGAGAAAGGATTCAGAAGGTGTTGCTGATGTTGAATTTCTGTAACTGAAAGGTCCCGTCAGCCTGCAGCGCCAGGGACGCGGGAGGGGTTAACGAGTTGTGTATCTCAAAGATTACACGCTGTCCCAGCTTGATCTTGTGTCCAGTCTGCCGGCCTCTGTTGATGATACACAAGATCAGGTTCAGCCGAAGTGAGGCACTTGAAAGCAACTGAACATCCCTCGTGATGGACAACTGACGCGACAACCTTCCCTCCAAGAACCACCTCTCACCAACTCAAGACGCTGTGCTCTTCTCCAAAGCTTTGCACAAGGCAAAGGACAATGATGAAAAGTTGGTATGTGAGAGAGACAAAAATTGCGCTCGCGGAAGTCCCGGAGGTTCTTCCAGCACAGTCACCGACTCCGATGTGCCATGGAGTTGACATCCGTGCAACAAACTCGACTGCATGTGCTCAAGATGTTCGAACAAGGTAAGTATGAAGAGAAGAAAAGAAAAAAAAAGAGAGGGAGGAAGGGAGTGGGAAGAGATATTTATACCCCCCAAGGAGGGAGGTGGTGGTCAGCCTTGGCGGGCAGTCGCGATATTGCCTGATCTGATCTGGCAGTTAGGAGAAGTTGGTCTCTGTTCTGCCAAGGGACAGGAAAGATCAGAGAGAGTGAATGACTGATCTGTCACTCGCTGTGTCATCTCCCAGATCAGCATGTAACGTGTGAAGTGAACAAACAGTGATCCTGGGCCAATGTGTCGAAGTCCTGGTTTAGTGCAGGATTCACCTCAGCCTCGTCTGATGCCACATGGTCCTACACTACACCACACTAAACTACACAGTGTGACAACAAATCTCTCTCTCGGACAGGTGCTTGGACAGACAATGTATTGTCTCAATCATTCCTATCAACGCGATATTGTGTTTGCCACAATTCTGGGATCTTTCACGGCGTACAAATTAGACATATCCTATGCCATGCCAATGGAACGTCAACGCGATGTTTTCGGTGCAGTCGTAGCCCTCCAAGCTTTTCTTTTTCACAAGTTCGGGTCGTATTCCTCATCGAAAGTGTCCAACATGCTCTCAATGTCCTCAATCTGCGCCCAATTTTCGTCCGTGAAAACTTGGTCCACGGTCGCCAGGTGTGTCAACATGTGTGGCGTGGTGACGCCGTACATCAAGATATCCGCACATCGAAGGATATCCTCACATTTGTGTTGCTGGTCCCGGAGAAAACAAAAGGCGTCTTCAAACATGTCCCTCAGCCCACGTAGTCCCGCAACCCGGTTGCGGCCAAGGTAGTCGGTCTTTTCCACCTCCAATCGGCGATCGGCCAGTTCGCGGTCCATGACGGTGGCGATGCGCACGTACTTGCCAGTGATTTTTCGTTGCTTGCGCGCCGTTCCCCCTCGAAGACCACGCCTGCGGATGTCCTGGTTCTCGTCCCAGAGCTCTGAGAGCCCGTGCTGGATTCTCGCCTCGTGTTGATCGATGGTGGTATGCGCGGCGCGGACGAGATCGGCGAGGACACAGAGACGGTCGAGGTGCCCTTGGATGGCATCGAAGTCGACGAACAAGGCCGGGTCGAGTTTGACCGATACTGAAACGAATGTGGTTTGTGCTAACAATGCCGATGACGGTGGTTCGTACTGCTCGATCCCCGGGAGAAGCTCTGACCGTGTCAACAGCTGAAGAGGGCACAGAAAGGGAGAGTCCTACCGTAGTCTTCCTCTTTAACTGTTGAGACTGCCATCTTAGTCTCCATTGAAGCCGCCATGTCAATGGGATGAATTCGTCAGACGGAAGTTCGATTGAGAGTTGAGTGAAGATGGCCGCCAGTGATGAAGGGTGTGCGGCAGGACTCCTGGAGATTCACTGTTTGCGTCTAATGATGGTGAATTATGTTGTCTCTCCGTAGGGTGTGGCAGAATGCTGCTCTCTTCCTCTTTTCCTGCCGGATACCCATCGATGGGCTCGACTGTTCTCCAGCTCCATTGTATGTCCATCGCAAGTTCAATATCATCAATTGCATCTTCATATCCCCCACGCGCTGTACCAAGCGAGGCTTTCCGAACTTACATGACGAGCCGAGTGAAAGCCAAGTCTAGCGTCAGGAAAAGCCATAGTCAATGACATGCTTGATATCTGAATTTCAGAGTTGAGGAGGATACGGCGTCGGTGTACAGGGTCATTGACCGCCTACGGGCCTATCGACATGTTGCAAGGACACGGAAACTTGTTTGTCTCGGGGCTAAGCTGTCTTACGAGATGGAGAGGTTTGATGTTGCAGGAATCAATAGACGACGATCGCAGGGTTCCATGGTGAAATCCAGGTGTCTATCCGCCGACCGCCGACTCGAGGATGATGTCGGTACCTTGTGTCCAGCGGTCATGAACTGCAGAGGCAGCGAGGCAATGACACAGACATCTGGAAGCATATCGTGCAGCTGTTGATCCAGGATTGACAAAGAGGAGAACAAGTTTGTCATGGCATTGACCAAAGCGGAGACTTGAGTTGCGTTGGACTCCGAGATGAAGCCGAAGTTCGGAGAAAAGAAAATGGTGTTGTCTGACAGAGTACAAGTTGCTGTCAGATAGAATCCTACAGTGGGAATTCTGCTATGGTGAGGTGGTGGGAGGTCTGTAGTATGTTTTTGTCAGACATGACAATTATATCCTTCGACCTTTCCTCATCGTCCAAGCGTCACACCACTTCAACCACTGAGGATTGACATGGTGGGTATTCGTAGGTATTCACGTACCTAGTCTACGACTCCTCCATGTCCCCCTCCTCCCCACACTCCCTCCAATGGCTCCGTGACCCTTGTTTACATCCCATCTCTTAAGTACTGAGCACTGCCCCTCCATCTCACCCTGTTTTCTTTTCTGCGTCCCAGTTCCCATCGATTCCGAGTCACCCCTGTCAGGTTCTCGTGCAGTTTTCCCACCGCATATATCGATCGAATTCCCGAGTCTCGCGTGAGAGACAAGCCCAGCAACCATGCTCCTCGAAGAAACCCATATAGATGTGCCGACAAAGGCAGCAGGGGAGGGTTCAATGCGTATGCCATCCACACACCCGACCCTTGAAATGGTAATTCAAATGTGATCTGAGGCTGAGCAAAAGTGTCCAAACTGGCACAAAACTGAAAAAGGAATCTTCGTCTTTCATCCCACCATCGCTGGGTACCCGAATGCAAAGTTCCCCGGGGTCGTGGTGTTTTCGGAAATCTACCAAGGTAAATAAAAGAAAAATTCTATCAGGAAGAGAAGAGAGGAGAAAAGAACTCTTTTTCTCTTCTACATATCCCTCCCACACAGAAGTCATACCTGGGGGGAGTTTTCATGCGAAAGAACCCCCGTCACCTACATGTATCTACAAGTGTAGACTGAGACCACTTTCTTTCTGCTTGTAGTGACCGGCCCCGTCTCCCGCTTTGCCCGCCAAATCGCCGGACAAGGCTACATCGTCGCAGCGCCCTCATGCTACCACGAATTCACGGGACCCGAGCCGCTCGCCTACGACGGCCCCGGCACCGACGCGGGGAACCTCTGGAAAATCACCAAGAAGGTCGCCGCGTACGACGAGGACGCCCAGCTGGCCGTGTCATACCTGCTGGGCCTGAAGACGTGCAACGGCCGGATCGGCGCCACGGGTATGTGTCTCGGCGGCCACCTCGCGTACCGGTGCGCGCTGGACTCCCGGGTCAAGGCCGCCCTGTGCTTCTTCGCCACGGACATCCACAGCAGCACCCTCGGCGAGGGCAAGAAGGACGACTCCCTCAAGAGGGCGGGCGACATCAAGGGCGAGCTGGTCATGATCTTTGGTACGGCCGACAACCACGTCCCCGCCGAGGGGAGGGACCTCATCCGCAAGACGCTGCGCGAAAAGGGCGTCGCCTTCTCCTTCTACGAGGTCCACGACGCCCAGCACGCCTTTGTCCGCGACGAGCTGAGCAAAGGCCGCTACGACCCGGCCATCACAAAGGTGTGCTTTGAGATGCTCCTCGAACTCTTTAACCGGAGGCTCAAGGTCGATCTGGGCGAGCCGAGCGGCGAGAAGCTGGTCGTTGAGGACATCTGCTGACAACCAGCAAAGCTCTAAATCAAAGGACAGATACTTTGGAAATAGGGGACCCAAAAAAATATAAGGCGGGACAATCCAATCCCCAGTAGAGGCTATTGATCATCTAGACCAGACAATTGCGATACAATAGATACACCCAACCCCGTACCAAGAATCGGGTCTTTTAATATTTTTCCCGTTGGTCAGTTAAACTTGTCTTTACAATTTTGCCCCGGGTTTTGTGGCCTCCTCTCCCGTCGTCTTGTACCCGAACAGATACGCGGCGACCTTGCGCATCTGGACTTCCTCGCTGCCCTCGGTGATGCGATACCGCCGGAAGTGTCGCCAGATGTGCTCAAAGGGGTAGTGTCGCGAGTATCCCACGCCGCCGTGGACCTGGATGGCTCGGTCCGCGGCCTCACAGCACAGACGGTTGGCGTAGTAGTTGCACATGCCAATCTTGTGGCCCAACTGCTTCTCAATGGCGACCCACGGCGCCTTGCCATTAGCCTTGGCCACCGCCGTGACCTGGTCCATCTCCACCGCGGTGCGGAGGATCAGGAGCCGGAGCATCTCGGCCTGAGTCGCGAGCTCCACAAGCGGCCACTGGATGGCCTGGTTCGCCGACAGAGGCTTTCCAAACACCTTGCGCTTGTTTGCGTACTCGACGCTGCGGTCTACGCAGTACTTCGCCGCACCGCAGCTGGAAGCCGCCTGTCGAATACGGTTCTCGTGCGTGAATGTCTGGGCGATGGCCAGGCCGTTGTCCAGCGGGCCGAAAATCGCTGACGCGGGCACTTGGACTTTGTCAAAGAGCACGGTTGCGTGGTCCGTCGGCATGTTCAGCGTCCATTCATACGATGCAACCTTCAGCCCCGGTGTCTCTCGGGGCACGATGAAGGCCGTGATACCCTTGGGGTCTCCGTTGCGGCCAGAGGTCCGGGCAAAGACCATGCAGTGCGTGGCGGCGTGCATGCCCGTCTGCCATTTCTTGTTGCCGTTGATCTCGTACCCGGGCTCGCCATTGGGCAACGTGATGGGTGTGGCCCTGGTGTCCATGTGGGTAGCGTCAGAGCCGTGGTAGATCTCGGTCAAGCCAAATGTGGTCTTGAACTCGCCCTTGATGCTGGCGGGGATGTACTTGTCCTGCTGCTCCTTGGTGCCATAGTGGTGCATCATGATGATGAACGGATTGTTGCCGACGACACTGTGCTCATTCTGCAAGTCGTTGGCCAAGCTCACGCCGCCTCCATAGACCGGATGGGAGGCCAGGTGATACCGGATGGCACACATGTACAGGTTCAGGTCCTCGCTGGCAGACCCGCCGAATTCCTTGGGGAAGCCGAATCGGTAGAATCCAGCTTCGTCGGAAAGTTTGCGTGCTTGCTGGAGGAGTTCCTCCCAGTCATGACGAGGGAGGCCTAGGTTGTCCCATTGCGTTCGCGAAGATTCGCGGCGGTGGTCGAAGAAGCGGTTATTGTCGTCCTTGTGCTGGAGCGGCAGGATCTTGTCCTTGATGAATGCATCGACGCGCGACAGATAGTTTTTAAGCTCGGGGGGATATTCGAAATTCATCTTGTCTCTGGGTCGGGAAATACAGCTGGGGCAAGCAAAAGAACCTGGAGAGGGGCTCGACACTGGTCTTGCTCAAGAACAACTTACCATCAAGTGCATTTTATCTGGGTTGACAGCTTTGACTTTGCATCTTGGCATGTTGTCGGCTTTGTCGAAGCGGAGTAAGGCGAGGCTGATGATGGAGAAACATTATCCTCGGATGCAGCATCCCTCGGTTCACTGACTTGGGCTAACAACTCATGCCACTTTGGGTGGGTTGACACTGGCAGATCCGACGGATCTTCAGGATTGGGCTTGTGCTCTGCCGTAGTTGGGATTCCGTGGAGCATCAGTGGATTGGCAGGACTGGCTTCCGCTTTAGCCGTATGGCCGTGTACACCGAGGCACCTCCGAATCTGGTCCCGGCGCCCTCATCAGCCTTGTTCTAGACTCTCCAACGATCTGAACGGTCTGAACGATCTGAACGATCTGAACGATCTGTGAACGGGCCTCGCTCGATTTCGACCTCGACTGTTGCCGTGGCCCGTGGGCGTCGTCAAACATCTTTGGGCATGCTTGTCTCGGTGTCGGTGTCGGTCGAAATATTCGGGCCACTACAGATGACTCGTTTTACGCCATCGATTACCAAATCGAACAACGGGAAAAGGGTCCTCAGAATTTCCTTGAGTTGGGGACGACTTGCTGCTAATGTTCAGGTATGCAGCCGTGGCAGCATCAAGTGCAGACAGCAGGATGGCCTGTCATATGTGAAGCCTTGGATCCCGGAACTCCCCTATCGTCCTAAGTCCAGAGACCCATTCAGTGATGATGCACAAGACTGGGAGTCTGGCAACCCCCATTTTGGTGATGGGATCATCACCTGTTCGAAGAGCGTATGGTTGTTGTATGCCTAGAAGACGTGGCACGCAACTGCTTCTACTCGTACTCGGTGCTGTTCCAGGCACTGCACGTTGGGACCTCAAAGATGCCGAGTGGCTCTGTCTCGTCATCAGTTCTTCGGGCGTTCTGTGACTCGTGGCCATGCCAACCGCAACCCCTGATGATAAACCCCCCAGCGCTTTTGGTATCTTGCCAGGGTCGTCTCAGACCAGTGTCGGATGCTGCTCGAAGACTTGAAGGGTGCACATGTCTCAATCTCGTTTACATACTAGACTCAGCAAGATGAGAACGTCAGATTGCAAGGCGAGAGCATCCTTCTTATCCGAAGGTGCAGTCGTCTGGTTCCCCTGCGACATGAGTCTCATGCATATGTGGTTCTAGCCATGTCTCTGATGGCTCCCCGCAGACGAATTCTGACTTCCCCATACCAAACGCAAAGATCCTCCTCTTGATCGTCCACACAGATAGGCGAACAGCCTCTGTGGCTGGCGGTGATGATCTCGAGCACGGTAGGGTGCGGTATCAGATTCCAGGAGAAGTCAGCATCGAGGTTTTGAGGGAGGGGCTATACCCAGGTGAGTCAGGAGGCTGAGTACAAGCTGAGACCATCATGGCACATGGGCAAGCAGCAAACGTTGGACGCTGCAGCAAAACGAGGCTCCAATCTCGGGATGCAAGCCACGGGAGCGCCAAGCTTGAATAGTTTGCGGTACACTAAGCCTTTTTGGGAATCTCCCTTCTCCTTTTTTCAACTTCCTCTCACTTCCAACATTTGCACCAAGACAACAGTTGATTCTGTGGCTTGATCACGAAATTTTGGTCCAAGGAACCCACAGGCATGGCGCGACTGTTGCACCGTTCAGAACTCAACCTTCTTTCGGAACGGTGGACCGGGGTATTACGCCAAAAGTGTCTCCCTTCTTCAGCTGCCAAACAAAGAACGGTGACTATCCCCCAGCGGTGCCAGTGTCCACAATCATCATGTCACTGGCGTGTCGAGGCCCCCGCTAGGAAAATCTCATGCGTTTTCCAGCCATGTGGCGCTGATCTCTAACAGGGTGCCAACCTAGTAACTTTTGATATGATTCGATGACCCTTTGGACAAGGGTTTACAGAACCCCCAGAACGGCGTAGACTGCATGTGCGTCGTTCGCGCTTTGGGCTAGGTAAGATGGTGCTGCGGAGAAGGCTCAGCGTCGAGCGACGCCATCTACTACTCTACCTGCACATCCCTCCTCTTCCCTCCCTCTTCACTTTTGGTAAACCATCTTTGCGTTGTCGATTGGCACGCGTCCATTCGTTCTTCACCACAGTCGCTCTTTTCCTTTGAGCTGTTGCTCAATGCAACATGCTGCCATTCTTTTATTTCCTTTTGTTGTCTGATGTGGCTTTAGGTGCATTGGGAGAATGGGACGGTTTCATGCCATGGAAGAAGAATCTGCTCAAACGCGACGTCGAACCGACCTGCTCTTGTACTGATCCGATCGCCGCCGAGTGGGCAACCAACAAATTCTTTGCGGATGCTGCGACATCTGCTGCGACCCCGGCCGGTTATTATCAAGCATTTAAAAATGGACAAGCATGGGTCTCAGGAGATGGGTTTATTGGACACACGACGATTGATGAGTACGATAGCGGCATCTGTGCAGCCATTTGCAATAGCATTGACGAATGCTCCTCGTTCGAAATCTACTTTGAGAAGGAAATCGGCGGACCAGCTCCAGCAATCAAGTGTTCTTTCTGGGCTGGTTCCATCAGCCCTGCTGGTCCAAACAGTGCGAATGCGGTCATCGCGGGTTGTAACGGCTACACTAACAGCACCTTGACAACTCCAAAAGGATTCGATGTGCCAGTGTTCATTGCGGGCTCGGCGATCCATCCACCACCGACCTCTGGGGCATTTATGGGCTCAAAGATCTTCTATGGCCCATTTGACACAGCATACTGCGCCAAGGAGTGCAGCGCGATCGGATGTAAATTCTTCAACACCTATGTTCTCTCTAAAGACGGTGTGAGCCAGGGTCAATATTGCGACATGTACGCTCAGACGTTCGGACCGGAATGGGCCACGGAAACTGGAAGATCAGATGGGAACACAAACTATACCATCTCTCACAGCTTCACCTGCGGTTCCGCTGGAGAAAAACGTGGTGAGGATCATTCCAATACCGGCAGCAATGGTGGCACGGGAGGATCTTGGGAAGATCATCATCCCTGGCACGGGAGCAATCCCTATGCAGGCAATACTGGGAGCAGCTCCAGCAGTAGCTCTAGCACTTCGAAAATTTCCACTTCTGCAGGGCCTTCTGCGACCTCTGGCAGACCGGGAGGTAACGGTCCCAGCCACACTAGACACTCACCATCTGCTTCGACATCAGTTTCTCCCACGGATGGGCACACACAACCTGGAGGGGGAACGGGGACACCATCGACGTCTGCTTCCAGCACGCCCACGAGCAAGCCTGGGAATAGCTCGGGAACCCTGAACCCCGTTGATCCTACCACCCGGAGACCTTCAACCACTCCAACCGGCCCGAGCGGCTCTTCGACTGGTGGTGGCCCAGGACATTCAGAACCTGTTGAAGCGACTAGCTCGAAGTCGACTCCTTCCGGATCCGGGCGGCCCCCACACTCGTCGCTCAGCAAGCCGAATCACGAAAGCCAATGGCTCGACTGGAACAGTTCTCAATCATCAAAGGCCACGGAGTTATCTTCGTCAACCACCCAAGAGCCTGTTGATGCGTCGACTACAGAGACCAGCTCGTTTTCCAGCGGGCGGCCAGGACAGCCAACTCGACCTCCGGGTGGTCGGCCACACTCTTCATCAAACAGAGGGAATAGTGGCTCCGGTGGCTGGGGGGATTGGGGATTCCCAACGGGACATAGTTCCTCTGATACTTTGACTACGACGACCACCTCGTCGAAGCCAGTCGAGGCTGCAACGACGAAATCTACCACCTCTTCCATCCATTCTGCCAACCCCACTATTTCGCACCCCACGCGTCCAGGAGGATGGCCATCACACAGCGGATCAGAGAAACCGTGGCTAGATTGGACGTCATCGTCCACTTCAAGCTCTCTCATCGTCGATGACCTTACCACAACTTCTTCTGCACTATCTACATCTTCAGCCTATCCACGTCCGAGCAGCTTCACCTGGCCAGCAGAAAATGGTACCGGAAAGGTCTGGTTGGATTGGACAACTTCGTCTTCAACTTCAAGCCTTCTGCCTGTTGACGCTGCAACAACCACCTCGATCCAGCCAACTACCACTTCCACAGGTTATGTCAGGCCTAGCAGCAGCTTTGCTTGGCCCTCGGAGAATGGAACAGGACAGATCTGGCTGGACTGGACGACATCTTCAACTTCAAGCTCCTTGCTCGTTGACGCGCTAACAACAACCTCAACACTTCCAACGACGACTTCCACTTTGTCGAGGCCGAGTGGCTCCGGCTGGCCCTCGGAGAGCGGGACGCAACGAGTGTGGTTGGACTGGACCACATCGTCCACCTCTAGTTCTTTGTTTGTTGATGCGGCAACAACAATATCGACGACCACCGCTACCTCGAATGCAGTGAGGCCGTCGGGCTCTACCTGGCCTGCGGAAAATGGTAGTGCATGGGAAGATTGGAGTAGGACATCTACGTCTACCTCGACTAGTCTTGCCGTGGCGGACGCCACAACTTCTTCTCTTCCTACAACCAGCTCTGGGGCAGTTTATTCTAGTTGGCCGTTTGAAAACGGCAGTCTATGGCTCGACTGGACCAAGACAACTTCATCTTCATCGACTGTTCTTCCTGTCGCCGATGCTACAACTTCTTCGCCTCTTTTGACCACCACTTCTCAGACCACTTCAAGAGCAGCTTACACCGGGTGGCCTTCTGAAAATGGTAGTCTGTGGCTGGACTGGACGCGGACATCTTCATCGACCTCGAGTGTTCTCACCGTTGCCGATGCCACTACGACTTCGCCCCTGAGCACGACTAGTTCCATACCCAGCTATTCCGCCTGGCCGTCGGAAAACGGTAGCGCCTGGTTAGACTGGACACGAACGGTTTCGACTTCGACTTCGAGCATTCTATCTGTCGCCGATGCCACTACAACTTCACCCCTTAGCACGACTAGTTCCATACCTAGCTATTCCGCCTGGCCATCTGAAAACGGTAGCGCCTGGTTGGATTGGACACGAACAATTTCAACTTCGACCTCGAGCGTTCTATCGGTTGCTGATGCCACTTCAACTTCACCCCTTAGCACGACCACTTCAAGATATGGATATTCTGCTTGGCCGTCTGAGAACGGTAGCGCCTGGTTGGACTGGACACGAACAGTTTCAACTTCGACTTCGAGCATTCTCGGTGTTGCGGATGCCACTACGACTTCTCTAACCACAACTAGTTCTGAACGTGGATATTCTGCTTGGCCATCAGAGAACGGTAGCGCCTGGCTGGACTGGACACGAACAGCTTCAGGATCGACCTCGACCTCGACCTCGAGCGTCCTCAGTGTTGCGGATGCTACTACAACTTCCCCAAGCACGACTAGTTTCAAGCCCACCTATTCTGGTTGGCCATCGGAAAACGGTAGCGCCTGGCTAGACTGGACACGAACGGTTTCGACCTCGACTTCCAGCGATCTATCTGTTGCGGATGCTACGACCACGTCTCTAAGCACAACAAGTTCTACACCTGGATATCCTGCTTGGCCGTCAGGAAACGGAAGCGCCTGGTTAGACTGGACAAGAACGATTTCGACTTCCACTTTCACTTCGACTTCGAGCGTTCTATCTGTTGCGGATGCCACGACTAGTTCTGGACCTGGATATTTTACTTGGCCTTCAGAAAGTGGCAGCGTCTGGCTAGACTGGACTCGGACAGTCTCAACTTCAACTTCAACGTCGAGCCTTCTTAGTGTTGCAGATGCCACAACCTCTTCCCCAAGTACGATAAGTTCGAGACCTAATTACTCTTGGCCCTCAGAAAGTGGTAGCGCCTGGCTGGACTGGACTCGAACAGTGTCAACTTCAACTTCAACTTCAACGTCGAGCCTTCTCAGTGTTGCGGATGCCACGACCAGCTCTAGACCTGGATATGCCACTTGGCCATCAGAAAGTGGTAGCGCCTGGCTGGATTGGACACGGACAGTCTCAACTTCAACTTCAACCTCAAGCCTTCTTAGTGTTGCAGACGCCACAACCTCTTCCCCAAGTACGACAAGTTCGAGACCTAATTACTCTTGGCCCTCAGAGAGTGGTAGCGCCTGGCTAGACTGGACAAGGACGATTTCAACTTCATCAACCTCAAGTGTTCTTGGTGTCGCGGATGCCACAACCGCTTTAAGTACGACAAGCTCCAGACCTAATTATTCCGCCTGGCCTTCAGAGAGTGGCAGTGCTTGGTTAGACTGGACACGAACAATTTCGATTTCAACTTCAACCTCGAGCATTCTTAGTGTTGCGGACGCGACTACAAATTCACCCCTTAGTACCACAAGCTCACGACCCAGTTATTCTGCCTGGCCGTCAGAGAGTGGCAGTGCTTGGTTAGACTGGACACGAACGGTTTCGACTTCAACTTCAACCTCGAGCATACTTAGTGTTGCGGACGCGACTACTAATTCGCCTCTCAGTACGACAAGCTCAAAGCCCAGTTATTCCACTTGGCCTTCAGAGAATGGAAGCGCGTGGTTAGACTGGACGCGCACGATCTTGATATCGAGTTCTACTTCCTCTAGTGTTCTTAGTGTCGCCGATGCTACAACCTCTTTCTTGAGTACGACAAGCTCAAGGCCTAGTTATCCCTCTTGGCCTTCAGAGAGTGGAAGCGCGTGGCTAGACTGGACACGAACGATTTCGACATCAGCTTCGACATCCTCAAGCGTTCTTAGTGTTGCGGACGCGACTACTAATTCGCCTCTCAGTACGACAAGCTCAAAGCCCAGTTATTCCACTTGGCCTTCAGAGAATGGAAGCGCGTGGTTAGACTGGACGCGCACGATCTCGACATCGAGTTCTACTTCCTCTAGTGTTCTTAGTGTCGCCGATGCCACAACCTCTTTCTTGAGTACGACAAGCTCAAGGCCTAGTTATTCCGCTTGGCCTTCCGAGAATGGCAGCGTGTGGTTAGATTGGACACGAACGATTTCATCAACCTCCAGTGCAGTCTCAGTGGATGCCGAAACCACAAGCTCTTTGCTCGCTACCACTTCGACTGAGAGTTCTAGACCATACGGCTCAACTTGGCCGTCGCACAGCGGCAATGGCTCTTGGGAAGACTGGGCAGCAACAACAACGTCCGTAAACCCGACGAGCTCTTCGGAATTGCCGGTTGATGCTGTAACCACAACAGGTTCAGTTTCGTCGACGACCTCCATCGCTACACATCCGGGCTACCCCGGCTTCAATGATTCAAATTCTATCTGGCTTGATTGGAATCTGACGTCGAGGACTTCGTCGTTGCCGGTTGAGGCTGTATCTACTGCCACAACCTCGAGCTCTTCCCTATCCCCAACCACGACCAGCTCGACTTTTGGTTACCCTGGCTTTAACGACTCGAACTCCATCTGGCTAGACTGGAATCTGACGTCCTTCTCGAAGACACAGACTACCTCTGCCTTGCCGGTCGACGCCGCAACCACAAGCCTGGGCTCCTCTTTAAGCACAACCACGAGCTCCAGTTTCGCGTATCCCACGACAGGTAATTGGACAGGTCACAACGAGAGCGCGTGGCTAGACTGGAATTTGACGGCCACCCGCACAAGTACGCTGTATGTTGACGGTCAAACAACATCATCCTCAATCGCAACCACTACGAGTTCAGTCAGGGCTTATCCTACCGGGAGTTGGACCGAGTCACAGTGGCTAGATTGGACCAGAACTACGAGCTCTGGGATTGTATCTACGACCTCGAGCTCGCAAGCAAGCTATCCGACATTCCCGGCCTACAATGGAACGGGCAATTGGTCCGACTGGCTGTCTAACTTGACTTATAGCTCTTCCTCAAGATTTGTTGCACCGCAGACAACCACTTCCTCCGTTCTTTCGGTCGATGCTACTTCTCTGCAACCTTCCTCGTCCACCACTTCTGTTGCAGGATATCCGACGATTCCAGCCTACAACGGTTCATATCCTTCGTCGAATTGGACCGACTGGAATGGCACAATCCCGTGGAATGTGACTGACGGCAGAGGTTCGACCACAACGTCGATATTGTATGTGTCACCGACGGCTACAAGCTACACGTCAGGATCGACATCAACAACGCCCTCTCCTGTGGTGCCTACGACGACTTCGACCTGGGCTTACAATGGCACTGGCAGTGGTAACTGGACAGACTGGGCTAGTAATGGGACGGCTCCGTTGAACTACACGATCCCCCATACGAACTCGACCAATTCGACGGCAGGTGGTGGTAACTCGACGTATCCCGCCGGCAGTTCCTCTGGATGCAGTGCCACGGCCCCTTCGCAACTTCTGGAGAACCCATCGTTCGAATGCTCGGGCACAGGGTGGAACCTGGACGAAGTGGATATTGTCTGGGGAAGTGCCTCGGAGTCGTCGACATCTGCTAGGCGCATCCGCGATATCTTGTCCCCTGACTCGGCATATGACGGCAAAGGATTTGCTCGCTTTGAGCCCGCTTTCGAAGATGTGACTGCCACTTTGTCGCAGACTCTTGCCGCTCCCGCCACGAGTGGATCGTATTGGTATTCTTTCGCGTATAGGGTTCCCTCTTCTGGTGCTACACCGGATGAATGCACGTTGACAGTTTCGAACGACGAAGGAACACTGGCAACGTTGGGATCTCTCTCGGCCGCCAGCACCTGGACGATGACCGGGAAAGAATTCCAAGTCACATCATCGGCGAGCACATTCTCTCTGGTGTTTAGCTGCTCTGGTGTTCAGACTACCTCACCAATTCTCGATGTCGACAACATCAGAATGGGTATAGGCGGCGGCAATTGGACTGCTGTGAATGGAACTTCGGGTGGACACAGCAATAGCACTGGCCTTCCGACTTGGAGTGCTCCCCCCAACATCACGTATAGCCCGCCACCAACCAACCTGACTCGACCGGATGAAGCCGGCAGCCCAATTGACTATAGCGGAGGAGCTGCTGGAGCGCCAATACAAACCACCTCTAGCACTGCGCCGGTGACCGCTTCGACCGTGCTCTCTCCAGCAGCGCCGACACTTGCTGATTTCGAGATACCTGCACCTCCACCGTCTTCCTCATCAGCAGCACCAACGACATCATCTCCAACAGCTCCGGCCGCAGCTACAGGTGCATCAGGACCTCCGGATGTTAGTGATCCTACGACATCGGCGGATCCTGTAGTCGCATCGACCACGGCTCCAGCTGCGGTTGAAGAACCAAGCACAACATCAGCGACGTATCCTTCCAGCACGGTGTTTTCTTCCAGGAACCGGGTCAAGAGGCACCGATATCATCGGAACTAGTAGGAGATGATGCATGTTGATGGGGGCAGTTTGGGATTTTTCAGGGAAAGGGGAAAGCGAGCTATGGGCACAAGCAACAGATAATACCCCCAAGAGTGTTTTCTCTAGGTAGTTGATTTTTTATTAATGGCTTGTGTTTCTTGACAACCAAGATTCGGACTCCTAAGCAAAGAAATTCTTCATGATCTTTCGGAGGGGGCGAGACTAATCGGCACCGCCGCAGTCGCCCATGACCACTTTGAGCCTTTTGATTGCATGTTCCTACGAACTAGGAAAGCGAAGGGAGTATGGGACATGGAAGAATCCAGGCGCACAACGGACGACGACTTTTCTCTCTCCCTCCTCGTCTTTGTTTCCTTCACTCACTCTTTCTCGCAATCTCGCTCTATTTTCTTTCTTTTCTTCACGCCACAAGGGGTTGGGATTTTCGGGGGACGTTTAATGGGGTTTGGACGTTTTCCACATTTCTCCATTGATTGGATTTGGGAAGTTTGGTGTGGGCGCCAGTGATGATTATGCGACTCGACGGGTGCTGTACGGAGTCACGAGTATGTATGTACCGAGTACAAACAATGGAGTGTAGTGGCGCTTTTCCTTTTCCTTTTCCGTTTTCCGCGATCTGCCCACTCTTCCTCCACCTGTAAGGCTGGCGCAGATCTTTCTCGCTTGTGCTGGTGTATCCGGCGGTGCCGCGCTAGCTTCGTTCGCTGATACGATGAATGAAGACTAGGGACTGAGCACCGAGTACTTGTACCAAAAATGTATGTATGTACATATGTTTCGTCGGGAAGGGCTTCCCCCGTCGTCTTTCTCGCTCTCGCTCTCCGTGTAATGAAGTGCCTTACCATCGTTCCGGTCAACAGGTTTCAGTAACCTGGGGGCTGGCATGAAGCCTACCCATTTATCCTTGAAGAGGCAGTTCGATTACCAGGAAGTGAGTAACTATCTACCAATTCCCCAAAATATGGGTACAATGGACCAACATTGGGGAGTTTCATTCCTGGGGGGTTCTCATATCCCATCTCCTTCACGCACAAGTTTCGAGCATGGGGATTTTCATTTGCCCTACAAGAAAACAATAACAACGCGTCGCCCACTTAAACACGATCATCTCGGAGGTTTCGCACGCACCAGCTTCATCTGTTTTCCTCCAATGTATTACTTGATCCCTATATACTCGTCTCGCCGTATATGACGGAGAAGTGGGTGACCCATCCGGCCTGAGAGGAGTCGGGGAACCCACTATGCAGTCGGTAGCAAGACACTAACCTCCGGGGCTCCACTTGCCTTGTCCTAAGCTAACCCGAAATAGTCAGGGGTAGCCATTAACGATACTGAACATGCCAATCAGGAAATCCAGGACAACCTCAATGGAGAAGGCCACGGAGGAAGAGAGATTCGCTAAAGGAAGCGGACAAAGCTTGTGCGGACCCTACAAGGACGACAGGAGACGAAGACGAGGAAGTAATCGAACATGCATACTCACTTATGTACTTCTCCAGAGACCTACTTGGATATTTCCCTATGCCATCACCCTCTCTTGATACGCCTCTTGGAGAAATACTACTTTCTCGAGTTTTCTTCAACCCTTCCTTTTTCCATTTATCCATCGGACAATTATTCGGACAGGGCGTCCCTAGACCGGTGATTTGTGGCGTTTGTGGCGCTTGGCTTTTGCGGGATCCACTTCCTCCCCCACTTTTTCCCTTTTCTCCTTTCATTCTACCGTACATTCAACTTTCACATCCCACCTTTATGTCCGCAATAAACGTCTCCGCCATCTATGAGTACATACATCCTCGCCACTGCACATCACTACTCGTAGGATCGTGTACCGAGCACGGAGTTGTTTTCCGACATGGCTGTCTCACGCGTTCTACTCCACGACGATGCTTGCGATATTGACAGTGGTGATTACGATGATGAGATTTTCGTCATGGAGGAATCTCCTCGGGAGAGATCTTCTCAATCACCCGCCTACTCACTCTCCGAATGATTGACCGGGCTTCGGTAACGGCCAGTGTACCAGGCAGTAGCAGCAGCGGCAGCAGCCTTAGCATCAGCCTCAGCCTCGGTCTTAGCATCGGCATTGGCTTCGGTATTAGGGCTGGTATAGTCTACACTGGCATCATCAGCGGCAAGCAGTAGCAGTTCACACCAACGAAGCAGAATCCCCGTGTGACTGACAATCTGCAATCTGCAATCCCCTCGTCCTCGTCCCTTATGGAGGAAGAAGGACGAGAGAACGGACTTTCATTTCCGCCACCGCAATACAATGACAGACTCTGGCCAGATTCCCAGAAACAAGACACATGATCTCCGTCATGTTTTTCCTCCACCACCCCCGTCCAACCCCGGCTCCCTTTCCATTCTATTGCATCTTCCATATCAGACACACAGATCACAATCACGGTTCCCAACAAGTGGACATGCGGTGGCTCGATTATTGCCAGTTTTAATCTTAACGACTTCTGTATAGAGCGTGTTTGTGTCTATCTGTGTTTGTATACCGCGTCGATAGGTAGGTCCATACAGACAGACAGACACACATGTCTCTTCATCAACAATGGGTGGACGGATGTGTATAAAAGGTCTGTGTCCTCTCGCATCGTTCAGTCAGTTCAATCCAGCAATCGACAGTTCCAACTTCTTCACACTCCTTTGACTCGGCAACGAGGCCATTCATTCATTCATTCATACTGACCACAGTCATTCATTTCCCCTTCTAAATCTAACCCTTCAGTCACTCCTTAAGTTACCCACAGACACAAGATACAAAAACACAAAACATAATGAAGTTCTCCAGCACCGTCGCCGCCTTCTCGGCTGTCGCGGGCGTCACCCTTGCCATCCCCCAGGGAGCTTGGTACGGACGCCCGTTCCCACCTTACGACTACTCAGACAAGCCTCAGAGCATCGACGCTGCCTCCCATGGCGGAGACCGCCACGGCGCATCCGCCAATGGCACTAGCACTCGCGCCATCGTCGCGGATAGGGCTTCGACCACGACTACAACCACGGCCTCGGCCACAGCGAACTGGAATGACTGGAGTGTGGACAGCGCACACACACATCAAACTCAGAGCATCGACGCGGCCTCCCACGGTGGCCGCAACGAGAGCCACGGCGCATCTCACTCCACCAGCGCAGCCGCTGCGGTGGTGGCTGCGAACACCAGGACTACGGCCACGACTATGGCGAGCAGCATCTACCGGGCTGTAGAAGGCACACATACATACAGGTCTCAAAGCATCGATCCAGCATCCAGCCGTGGCGACAACGACATCCACGCCCACCGCGCATCCACGACCACGACCACAGCAATTTGGAACAACTGGGCCGTGGAAGACGCACACACATACAAGGCTGAGAGCACTCACGCACACGTCAATGACCCTAGCAGTGCCACTCCGGTGAGGGCTGCGACCACCACGATCACCACTACAACGAACAACAACAACCGGCATGTGGACGGCACACATACGGCCTCCACGACCACCGCCAACCGCAACCACTGGGACAGCAGGGGTTTAATTGAGAGCATCAACGCGATCCTCGCCCCAGCCTCCAACATCGACAACGACTCCCACGGCGCATCCACCACAAGCACTCTTTCTTTCGCCGCAGCGGCTACGACCACAACCACGACCGCAGCAAACCATAATATCCATGTTGTGGACGGCTCGCACACAACCTCCGTGCCCACGACCGCAGCGAACTGGAACGACTGGGTTGTAGACAGCGTCGACGCACACAAGGCTCAGGGCACCGACCCAGCTTCCCACGGCGGCCACAGCCACGGCGAATCCATCAATGGCACTCGCTCTTTCGCCGGGGTGGAGGTTGCGAAGACCACGAGTACGACCACAGCGCACCACAACAGTCGGGCTGCGGATGGGGCGCACACGGCCTCTACAACCACAACCGTAGCAGAATGGAGCAACTGGGTTGTGGACGGCGCAGACCCGTACAAGTCTCAGAGTGTCGATGCCACCTCCCACAGCGGTAAGGACAGCCACGGCACAACTGCCACCAGCACTCGCTCTTACGCCACAGCAGAGGCCGCGAAAACCACGACCGCGGATCCTGCCAACTGGAACAACTGGGTTGTCGACGGCGAACACACGTCCACCACCACCGTGACCCACAAGTCTGTGGACGCATACGAAAGGTCTACGACCTCAACCCGGACCACGGACCCTGCCGACTGGAATAACTGGGTTATCGATGGCGAACACAAGAGCACAACCTCGGCGAACCACAAGAGTGTGGACAGTGCACATACGACCTCCTCGACCGAGGCCACGACCACGACCACGGACCCTGCGAAGTGGAACGACTGGGTTCTAGACGGTGCACACACCACGAGCACAGCGAGCACAGCGAGCCACAAGTCTGTGGATGCACACGAGACCTCGACAACCACAACTGCGGCCGCTGATCCAGCGAACTGGAATAACTGGATTTTGGACGGCGAACACACGACCACGACCACGACGAACCACAAGAGCATTGACGCACACACGACTTCCACGACGACGGCCAAAACCGCGATCACAGACCCGGCGAACTGGAACGACTGGATCGTGAACGACGCGCACACGAGCACCACCTCAGCGAACGACAAGAATGTGGACGCACACGAGACCTCCAAGACCACAACCTCCACGACGACGATCGCGGACCCGGCGAACTGGAACAACTGGGTTGTGGACGGCGCACATGCGACCTCTACAAGCACAACTACGAGCACAGTGAACCACAAGGACCGGAGTGTCCACGACGTACACACGACCTCGACGACTTCGGACCCCGCAAACTGGAATAACTGGGTTGTGGACGAAGGACACCCGTACAGCCACACGACGACGACCATCGCCGCCGTCGCTGCCACAACCTCCACAACTTCCACCTCCTCCACCAGCTCCCACAGCAGCACGGCATGCCTCAGCCACGCCGCGGCCTCCAGCGTGGTCAACAGCTTCGCCTCCCTCCTGACCGCCTACGACGACGCGACTGCCGAGAAACTCCTCTCCCCCTCCTTCACCGACTCTTCAGACTCGACCAACTTCTTGGCCGGCAAGCCGCTGGGCAGCGCGACATTCGCGAGCAAACGCGCCTTTCAGCAGGGCCAGGGCCAGGCCGCGCAACCGTCCACCAAGTTCAACGTGCTGTCCATCGACGCCGTGACCTGCGACGTCATCGCGTTCCGGTGGGAGGCCGTTTTCGCCAACACTGGTGCCGGTGCCGGTGAGGGTGCCGGTGTTCCCGTGAAAGGCATCAATATCCTCCACACGGTCAACCCGACCGGCGCGGCCGACGGGTGGCAGATCGAGCGCGTCTTCTCCGAGTTCAACTCGGCCGTCTGGACCGTCGGGGCTGGCGGGTCCTGTGCGCCGCCTCCGGCGCAGCAGCACGGTCAAGCTCAAGCGAAAGGACAGGCGTAAGCTCCATCGCTTTCACTAGGACAGGACAAGACGGGACAAGACACCACACACACACACACACACACACATCTCAGAGAGTACTTGCCCTGACCTGACTTGAGGCAAAGGGTTCAGAAGTCCCCTACACGATACATACGTGTGGGCACGACGAGGTCAGGTCAGGTCATCCCAAAACCTCCCACCCTCCCTACCTCCCTTCGAAAAGAAAAAGAAAAACCAAAACCAAACAACAGTATGATACGTGCACGATACCGGTAATAATTATGGATTTGCTTCATCATCATCATCATTTTTCTTACAAAAAACATGGCCACGAAAAAGGAAAAAGTTTCGGAAGAAAAGTTTATTGGAATAATGGACAAACGGGCAGATTGATAATGTTGTCAGACAGACGGACAATCTCCTATTTTCATGCGAGGGGTTGAGCATGCTTTCCTGTCTTTCTGTGTGATATATTTTACATAGGTATACGTTTTTCGTGTTGGGAATGTCGACGTATTTCCTTCCATTCGTGTTATTCATTAGCTCTCCAGATTCTGTCATTCTCGATCAGCCTAAAGTCCGCATTGACACGTTGTGGGATGTGCAAGCTTGGAACATGGCACGCGTGTATACATTTATTATCTATCTTCTCTGGCTTCTCTAGCCTCTAGTATTACCTGCGGCCATCGCTCATAAGGGAGTGTACTCTACTCATCTCGCGCAGCACTCCGTCTACACATCAGTCTCAACAATCCTGACTCCAATGTAGCTGTGCCATTCGGGGCAACGTGTCAAAGCTCGAAAAGTTTCCATCTGCACTGACCCAGTCACTGGTGTTGCCGCTCAAGTACTTCCCCGCCGCCGCCGAAAAGAAACTCGTGACGTAGACATCGACCAGCGTCGAATCCGAGGTGTTGGCTCCAACACTGACATTGGCTTGCACGTAATGTGGAGAAGAAGAGAAGCCCTGGTTGATGTGCACGATATTGTCCCCGTCGTTGCCAAAGTCGTCCTTGGTGACATAGCCTGGTGTCTTAATCAAGGTGGTGGCATTGACTGGCAGCGGGGCGCGTTTGAAGACTTTGTCGGTCTGCATATTCGAGAGCAAGTTCTTTGCCGAGGACCAAGGGGCAGTCATGCGCAGCCAAAAGTTTTGATACGGATTCGTCTGATAGGCATTGTCGATGGTAAACGGTCCCTTCAGCAAATCGTAGCGGAAACCACCAGTGTTGGTGAGGATGATGCGCGGCTGATCGGTACGGTTAGGAGCGACCACGACCGCAGGAAAGACAACATTCGTGAGGTAGTTGAATAGACTTTGATTCGAGCTGATGGGGAACCGGTCGAGATAGTAGTTATCCGGGCAGCAGCCGAGTTTGTTGGTCAACACTGGCAGACTATCCACCGCCGCGGTGATGTTCTTGCTGATCGTCACACCCAGGCTGGAATTGAATGTCTGCTCATTGGTGTTGGTGTGGAATTCAAAACTGTAACGGTTAAAGTCAAGATATTGTCTCGAGTAGGACAAGGTGGAGTTGGGATTGGCCTTGACCCCAGGTACGTCCGAGGGTTTCTGGGTGATTTTAGTGGCATTTCCCATAGGCGACTTCGCTTTGGTGACAGCGCTAGGCAGGCCGTTGACCGAAACCCAACCCACTGTCTCGCAATATCTTCCCGAAGCAATACCCACGGCCGACGCATCAAAGACCACGGCGTCACGCACATGTCGATGACCCCCAAAGATCTGGATGGGAATAGTAGGATGATGTTGGCGAATGGCCGCGTAGATCAGCCCCCATTCTGGAGAGTTCCGAAGAGTGATATGTCCCGCGACCAGAAACATGTCGATATCCGTCCTCTTGACCTGTTCCTGGAACCAAGATTGTTTGACCGCATCACCAACTGGGGTCACAATGGTTGCATTACTATTACCGGTGAAATTGAAAAGAAAGGCAAAGGACATGATCCGGACGCCCATCTTCGTCTTCCAATACGCATAGCGATCGGAGAAGGGCGTGGGGCTACCAGTGAGATTGAACTCGACATTCGAGGTAATGTAGCGGCCGGCCCAGTTCGGAGCAAAGTTGTGATATGTGTCATTGGCGATTTCTGTCGTGTAGAGTTCATGGTTGCCAATTGACAGCAAATCGTACGGTAGCTTTTTGAATATGGGCAGCGTGAGCTTCCCGTTGGGCTCCGTCGCATCTCCGAACCCAGTACCGTCATGTAAGTCCCCCGAGTCGATGAGGAGTAGGTCGACGCCCAGCACATCCGCCTTGGCCTTCATCTTCTGCACAAAGTCGGCAAAATCGCCATAGTCGGCACTGTAATTGTCATCCAGCAGGTGGCCCGCGAGCCAGCCATGGGTATCCGTGGTGTGAAGGAAATTGACCTGACCCCAGTGCAGGTCCTTGATCTGTTGCGGCGGGGTAGGAAGAGCGGCTGGCTGGATCCGTTTGGCCAGGTCATGTCTTTTCATCAAGTCGTGGTCGACATAGCCTCCCAGGACCGGGGATGTCCAATCATGGTCGTCGCATGAACAAGAAGGCTCCAAGAACGCGGCGAGGGCAATTAGCGAAGTGAGCAGCATGGCGGACACCTCGAGAGAGCCTAGATGACTTCCAAAGAACAAGCGACAATAGCTTCACGACGATATGAACAATCTCACCTTGCGGGCGAGGCGGGAATAACGGGGCGGCCGGAGCTTTTATCACGCTGTGGTATAAGATGTGCAGGAGCTGCAGAGTGGTGCTCGCTTCATCCTCCTAAGATCCAAGGTGGTAGGTAGTACAGGTGCATAAGGCCATCGGAGCTGCTACTGCAGGTAGCCGCAGCATAGCCCTGCCAGATGCGGGAGAGGAAAGACGAAGGAACCCAGAGTGCCAGGTCAGATGGATGGTGTGAGGATGGAAAGGCTCACAGGTTGCCAGGCTGAAAGAGGGCATGATCGAGGCCTGAATCATCAGTGGCTGACCTGGACCACAACTTGAAGCTTACCAGCAGCCCCAAAGCAACTTGCTCCGGAGCTTGAGCTCGGGCAAAGCTTGTAAGGTAGCAAGGCGTTGTTCTAGCTCCTTGGATGGCGGCTGGGCACACGACACAACATACCAGCGTCGTTGGGCTGACAGGAGCACGAGGGGAGATCAATTGGAGATGATCGGAAATGGAGACATGATGATGATCATCTTACAAGGAGGAGCTTTTCAGTGGATTGCAGTCGCCAAGCAAATCCTAGTCCGAAGCGAGGAAGTACGAGTATCGAGCACGTGAGTGCACGTGCTCGTAGACAATCATCATCCGCAGGCACTCAGTAGTAACAGGCCCCATCACCACCCCAGCAGCCTGCGCCCATACATCTTACTTTCCTTGCCAACTTCCACATTGTCTATCATGAACTTGATATATGGCTCATAGCTACATACCCGAAGTCTCTAGGTAGCGAATATCCATTCCTCGAACAAAAGTGTCGTACATCATGTAGAGTCTTATTTCAACATGGCCACGTCTCATTTCATATTCATCAACACATGATCGGATTCACCGCAAATGCCCCCTGTAACAGCTTCGTTAGCGCCCCTATTATCGAAACCAGCAGAAAACACTCACCTGGTTTTGCATCGCCAGTTCAGCAAATCTCCTCTGTACATCCTCGTCATCTTCCAGAAGCTTGTCAATCACCTTGACATCGTCGATGACCCAGAAATCCCGGAAGGCTACCACAATGTTTTCGGTATGCTTGCGCACCACATCGTCATCCACCGCGGCAAAGCAGAGTCGGTAGTATTGCCAACCTTTCTCCTCTCTGATTTCGGGCGTAGGGCAAAACATGCTTCCAGGGGCCAGCAGAACAAGGTACGGCTCGGTAGTAAGCCACACCCAAAGCGCTTGGGAAAGTCGTTGATGGTCGACCTCGTTGAAGAGAGGATGTGTTTCAAATCGTGCATGCAACCAAAGGAACATGCCAGCCATAGGGTAATCAAAATCGTACAGCTGCGTCTTGTGGACCACTTCGTATTCAAGGTCATCAGGCGCAAAGGCGTTTGATTTTGGCTTTGACTCTTGAATCAGATATTTCCCTTCTTCCAGAGTCGACGCCATAATCTGCATTCGTCGTTCGTAATTGCCCCGTAAGCCTTCGAGCCATCGAACCCAGCCGTCCGCCTTCCATCCCCTACCATCCTTGCTACCTCCTTTACCGGGATCACCATCGTGGGAGGGCCCGATGATGAGTTCCGCAATCATACTCTGAACGAATCCGCTGGGTTGCTGGGTGGTTGTCTCCGTGATACGCAGGATTCTCTCAATCACTTCAGGCTGGGCTGTGATCCAGCCTAATCGACAGCCCGGAGCAACTGTCTTGCTGAAAGTATCTAGTCGGACGACTCTTCCATCCACATCAACCGAGAGGTATGAAGGGACAAGACTATCCAAGAACGGAAAACCACTGGATTTGCCACCGGAGGCGGTGTTGTAGTTGTATGAGCTGTCTGAGGGGAAGTTCTCCGAGACAAGTTGACCTCTGTTTCTCATGGACAGCTCATTTGCCGAAGGATATTGCAGGTACCAGTACGGATCGTCTTCGATGATGATGATGTCGTATTTTGAACACAGGCCATAGATTTCTTTCCGCCTTTTTAGTGACAGTAATCCAGAGGTTGGGTTTTGGCCCATTCTGTTCCTGTTAGTGCAGTTTATAGTATGGTCAAGATGGCACTCACGTCACAGTATACATCAAATGTGGTCGCTTGCCCTTGTTTTTGTCCCAGTTCACCAGGACTTCCTGCAGTCCTCCCTTGCCATACGCAACCATTCCTTCGTCGTCCATGGCCACTGGGACCACATTGAGCCCTCGAGGCCTAGCGGCTTGAATGGCATTCATGTACGCAAACTCTTCGCATAGCATGCCCTCACGTTCTCGAATCCAATCTCTTTCCTCGTCCCAGATGTTGCTGAAGCATTCAAGCGCCTTCGAAAATCCATCAGTAGAGCCACAGGTCAAAATCACGTCTGGTCCGTCCTTGTAGGGCACATTGGGATGGAGATTTGTGCGTGCAAAGTCTCGTATGAAACTGTAGAGGGGCGGGTATCCCTGAGCGGTGCCATATTGCAGAGCGGTGGTCAGATCGATCTTGCGCAGGAGGTTTGGTTCGGCGGAATCGTGGGGAACAAGAACGCGCGAGGCTGTTGGAGCTTCTGAGAGACATATCTTTGCAGTCTCAGACGCGGGGGGGTCGACAGGCCTGTTGGGCGTGGGCTTGAACCGATCGGGGAGCGCCGTGGATGCTTCCAACGTGTCATACGGAAAGTATCCTGGGTTTGGAAGTCCTGGTAACGGTCAGCTAGCCACAGACTCAAGGTCAAAGCGACAACTTGCCTCCAGCAAGGTTTCCGATCCCGGGAATAGCAAAATATTTATAGAAAGCCTTCATCTGGCTGGCAGCACGCCGCTTGGTGACCCGCGAATAGAGATGGGACATGTCCTTGGGCGCAGGTTTGTCAGTGCTGGTTGCCATGGCTGCACAGTGTTGGGGCTGTCGGGCTGAAGCGATAGTTCTGTCCAAGGTAATTCAGTCACCAAAGAAGGACCCAAGAGTCCAAAATCAAACACAACTCAGAAACTCCAGTCAGCGGGAGAATTGTAATCAAGAAGTTCCAGTTGCATTGATCGATGACTATTTGACACTGGCATGGCCTGCGGCCAGAACCCGACTGCCGACCCCGATAGCGATAAGAAAGGTCCATTGACCACCGGAAGACGCGTTCCGCCGGTGCCTGCTGGAGTGAGGCTAGCGCAATTAGGCGCCCCGTCCCTGGTACTGGCTCGCTGGCTGGTGCTGGTATATTATTACTCAGCATCCCCGTCTCTTCGGCATCTTGACCTTCCGCGCCTTTGGGGACGAGTCTCGGTCGAGAGATGTTGGGAGTCCTGGTGCTGTTACCAATGCGGACATCGTCATGCTCTGATGATTTGTGGGCAGCTGTATTGATTTTCTAGGCCGCTAGTGAGTATGTGCATGTCGAGTCCATAAACTCCAGTTCTCCATCATTAGCATAACCCTGTGTCATTCATTATGTTCTGGATGTCATTGTCCATCACGCCCATCGTTGCATTCCAAGATGTGCAATGCCGTGGAAGATGCAGTCTCAAATTGGTGGTTCTCTCTTCGTAACCCGCATCCACATGTCGCTTACAATAAAGACTCCTGCACTAAAGGATTTCCAGGGGTGCTGCGGGTTGACAATGGTGAACTCGAAATTCCGAAGAAGCTACAGCAGAGGCAGGTCAGAAACTGATGGAACGCAATCGTTAAAAGAGCGAGTCTGGCACCAAACTTACCTGCGCGAAGACCTTGTTGAGTTCAATGAACGCAATGCTCTTCCCAAGACACGACGACCTCCCGTACCCAAATACCATGTCGACGTTAGCCTCCTTGCGCTTGATCTCCTCCGGCGTCCCCTCCAGGAATCGCTCGGGTCGAAATACTCTAGCATCGGGGCCCCACAATCCCTCATCTAGGAACAGGCCAAATGCACAATATCCGATCTTCGTTCCTCCTGGGACATAGTACCCGTTGAGGGTGTCTCCCCCAGGCGGCACAGACTTGGACTGGAGCCCTGTAACGGGGGGGTGAATGCGCAAGCCTTCTTTGATCACAGCTTGGAGATACGGCAATTTGCGGGCCTCCGAGTCCTGGATGGGATCGGAGATGTTGGCGGACGAAAGCTCGGTCAAAAGTTTTGCCAAAACCGGCGGGTTGGTGAGGATATGAAGCATCGTCGCACGTATCGCTGATGCTGTGGTGTCGCTACCGGCGAGGATTTGGACCAAGGTCTCCGTTTCTGCGTCTTCTTGTGAGAGGCCATGTCGAAGGAATGATCCCAGCATGTCCATTCGTGGTTTTGCTCCAGGTCGGAATCTTTCAGCTACCACCTCCTTTGCCACTCCCATAATTTTACCCAGGCCATATGCATCAGTATCCTTCGGCATAAGAAACCTCATCAATGGTGACTGAAAGACCTTGGACAAGCCTGGAAACGCTGCACACAAGATCATGGCCGGAATGGAGCTTTCGGTTGTCTGGATATACTGGAATACATCCTCATCCTTCTCAAGGTATCCGAATGCTCCTCCAAAGGCAATGGTGGAGAGGATGTCGAGAGTCAAGTATTGTGCCTTCCGTGCAAAATCCATTGGTTTGAATTCTTCCGGGGTGGAGAGATAGTTGCGTTCGATGAGGCCGACAAGCTTTGCAATACAGTCGTCGATGGACTGCTCGAGGGTGGGATTCTCTTTGCCAGCATACTATGACAGTGTCAGCATCCCACGACCAAATTTGGGACACAGCTTCTCTTCGAATACCCCAGGGGCCATCTTGGCGCGAAGCATCGCATGTCTCTCCTCGTTTCGCTCGGAGAGAATGTTATCACGATCGACTCGAAGGGCATCATACCAGTCAGATCGACGGTACGGAGATCTAGCCGCACCCATTGTCTTGAGTATTTCGGGGTCACATGTAATGAGGTCGTTCGGTCCGATGCGAACGAGGGAACCTACGAGTTACGTGTCAGCCAGAAGTGAATTTTGGCAATCCCCCCTTCCTCTTTCGACGGGGTTGTACCATATCTGAAGCATTGTTCCGCAGACTCGATGTACATGGACCCATCCCAAGTGTGTTTGAGCAGCCATCCTTTTGAAAACCCCGCGGAGAAGGGACCAGGGATGTGTCGCAGGCGGTACCAGTCGTAAAAGGTCTTTGCGAACGAGTAGATCAAGTAGACCCCGAGCCCAATACCAAGGTAGGCGAGGGCGAGCATGTTTGCTTCCTGGGGAGTACAAGAGATAGATGTGATGTCCAACTTGTGTTCACCGCGGGGAGAGTTTCAGATCGGATCTCGCATCGTACGTGATTGCCCTTTCTTGCGGGAGCTCTCCGTGATGAGCAACGGTGCCGATTCCCTACTGTGGATCACACTGTGAGAAGCAAAAGACGAGATAAGGAAGGACTGACAGCCACGTCTGGGGGAAGATGTCGTACAGCAGATGTCAAACGGCGGCACCCAAACGGGTCTGTTGCAGTAGCGTTGGTCTGTTGGTCGGTGACCATGCAGTGAGTAACGAGTGAGGATGAAGTGGCATTGGTTGCAGGTTCCTGCGGGTGCGAATCTTCACGGCAACGAGGGAAAGCTAAACGGGTACCAACCGGGGGGAGAAGTTGCGTTTCACACATTCACTGCATCCTCGATTTGTCTGGGTCTGGACCCGCCCTTTGAGATGTTTCCTGGATTCTACTATTCGTCACCGAACAGCGAGACTGCATATAGCCCAGAAAGTTATTGCTACTACCTCCCTACAAGTCAAATCCTACCGCCAGGTTTCCCCAAGTCCTTCAGCTCGCTTACCCGGCAAACATGTGTTAGTCCTAAGCAGCAAACCTGCTGGATGCCAACCACATCTGCTGGCGTACAACATTTTGGCGTCCCGATCGGCTATTGGGGCTTTGTCCCACTGATGGAGTATCTGATGTTTCACCCGTCAGTCTCGCCCATGTCACAGCGCCGGAACACGGAGGGGTTGCTCACATGGGCCAGAACGCATGGTACCTCGTGTTCCTCATGTCTTTGCGAACGTCGATCAGAAATGCCTCGAGCTCATCTGCTGTCCACGCTAAACCTCGTGTGAAAAGTGCCAGGCTGATGCCGGACAGCGAGGTGGTGAAGTTGTGATAAGTCCAGATACCTGCAGAAGTCGGCTTCGTGAGCATCTTCGGCTCCATCACATCCGGGCCAGATTGATGCAGGCTCACCGATCTTGGTCAGGGTGGACTCTTTCTTCCATGGGTTCATTGGCCAAATGTAGGGTGTTTCCACCACGTCGACGAAGCCCGTCTCAATCATAATTCCCCTTACTGACTCAACACTGTCCAGGGGACACCCCAGCTGCTTACTCGCTTCGAGCATATAAGCTGCCCATCTGGCCAATGCAGAATTTGCGGGAAGGGTTCCGTCCTCACACGTGAGATGGAACGATATATCTTGAACCTCAAGCATCGCTCCCGGGGCAAGGTTTCTGTGCGAACTATCAGCACCAACGACAAGTTTGAGTTTGGCTCTCGCCCTTACTCGTAGCATTGCCGAATGAACTGCCTCCAGTCTGCAATAGCACCTGTCATGAATCGGCTGAAGATGAAATCGAATTGGTAGCCGAAGACCCATGGTTGCCCGACGTCCATGATCTCGAACCTCACGTTGGGGGGAACACTACTTGTCAAAATGAGCAGACGAAGACCGGGAGTCTGATTAGACTTACTACGTCGGTTGCACAGGGCTGACATCCACCCCGAGCACCTTTCCTCTGTCAAATGTCACTCACGTGGGTTCCAAGGCGGCAGCGTCAACTCACCATGGCTTCCGGATGAAGGTCACCTTTGACACCATGTCAGTCGCCCTCCCTTCTCGGATCGGGGAGATGTATTCCCTTACCGTATTCGACGGACCAGATGCCCGTCCCAGTGCCGACATCTAGCACATGGTGCAGATCTCTTGTCTTTTCCACCCCACAGGTCGACAATTTGTTGTTAAAGGTCATCTTGAGCAGATGATGTTGGAGGTCTAGTCAGACCTACCGTTAGCGAACCCGTGATGGAGAGGGAACCACTGCGAGATACTGTACCTAGACGATCTAGCTCTATCTGTCAAGACAATGATATCAGCACCGTGGTCTCCGACCTGTCAGGTGACAACGGGGCAAAACACCAATACCTCATCGTTGGGCAGGACATATGCTGAAGACAATTAGTTTCAGGTAAATCCGTGCTTCAATGACGTACTTCGCTCGCCGTAGGCGTTGTATGTCCTCCCATGTTCTTGTATGTAATCAAAGATACTTGAAGTCAAAGACGACGTGGATAGAAGATCATCTTCCTGAGTGCTATGTTAGCTTGCCATCTCTGTTTTGACATGGTTGAAGGTTTACATCTCCAAGTGCCGAGTCAGCGTCATCCGCGGCGCCTATGGGCGGGTCCTGGCACGCGATATCAGTATTTGACCGGAGCCATGTAAACAGCAAAGGCGTGATCAACCCTACAGGATCAGGATCAGGCTCGGTGGGGGGATCATGATCTTCCATTGGGAGTGACATCAGCCTCAGAGGACTCAGAGGACATTAATTGAGGAGGAATGATGGAGACGTCCATGAGAAGACGTATTTAGAGTCATTCTTGAAGGGACTTGCATTGTTTGCTTCGAGATATACTCTGCGTTTCTCTGCGAAGCGCAGATCCGAGTCTATCCAGTTCGTGTCGCGGTTGTGAACCCTGGTCTGCATGCTCCCTCTGCTCTCCCGAATACCTGGTGTAACGTGTGATGCATGGGGATTTGAAGACTGTCTGCTTCCGGCTGGCTGCGTTGTGTATCTCCCACCTCTTGCGGCGTGGCACATCACGGACAGCCTGATTTGATTTCACGCCATGTGGCCCAGTTGGTCACACAAGATGGCTTAGTGAAAGGATCAATGTTCTATTGGTGTAAACATTGTTCTAGGGCTGCTGTCGATCAACGAGCATGATATTTCTGATTGAGTTTGATGGTCTCAACGGTTGGGGGAACTTGGGAGCGCTTCTGCTTCGAGTTGGATCCTGATATGCAAGGTCTTTTGCTTTTGCTGACCATCCTTTTCGATTTGTAGCTAGTTTGCAAGGAAGATCTGTTCTAGGCTACAGCTGCCTGCGACAGTGTAGCTGCACCACACCCATTCCGGATGTGATTTGACGTGTATCACAGACAACATCAATACCAACATATGCCGGCGACTTGTTGGAAGCGTAGGTGGGATATTACGTAGGAGAAGGGTCACCTCATGGCATGACCAAGGCAATACCCGAGTCTTGTCTTCAGTCGTTGGTGTTCTAGGCCCATCAACAGGAACTGTGGTCGGATTTGAATCGTGGCTTGAAGGTTGTAAACACGAGCAGCCGTTGCTGCTGTGGACCACTCGGGTAGAAGCAACATGGGGGATCCATGTCAGGATTTGTACGAGGTTGTGCAATTTTTGACTGGCTTGACTGGTTGGATATTCACTTTCTCGACGACGCGTGGGGGAGACTTGGCAGCTAAGAGACGCGTAGGCGGGAAGCGCCTCCATCCGACTCATCATTTATCTCGAGGACTCACCACTGGTGAACCCTCGTCTCCTAATGCACAGCTAGTCACGACAAGTCCACGTCCATGTATGAAAGCAGAAGGTCGCGTCCAACATGGACTTCTTCTCCTCGTTCAATTTCTCCATCATCGCCATGGTCGACACTCTGCAATATGCAAGACTGCGGCATTCCACGCCGACTCACCCAATGACATTCACACCTGTGACCAGCCCCATCTGCGGCCCTCCACGTTACCTTCTCCATCATCACAGTTCCCCGTCCGTAACCATGTCCTCTCTGCCGTTATGCTCGTGACCTCTTCTCAGCGGTTTTATCTTCCGCCCTTGAGTCCTTCTCGTGTCGTCTTTTACAGTTACCCTCAGGTCGATCGAATAACAAGACTGGCTGGGGATCACGGTATTCATGTCTCCGTCACTAAGAGCTAGCAGACCAGCCAAGGGTTACACTCGGAATGCATAATCGGCCAGCCGCCATCACAAGAGTAAAGTCCAGCAAGGAAGCGGCTCGCTTGAGTCTGCCAGTGACTCGTCCATCTCAACGATGCAAGGGAGTAATCATCCTGCCAATATCGCTATGACTGAAAAACTCATCAGGTCGATCCAGTAGAGATGGTCGCCTGGAAGATGATGCCATATTTGTCAACGAAAGTAATAGAATGACTAGCCGATCAAAAGACAACAGACTTTATTTTCGTTGCCCTTACAGCGGGCCCCGGAGATATCGGAGCTCAATCCTCGGTACCTACAGCGCCTATCATGACTGAAAATATAGACTAGGCTACCGCCTATTAACTCTGACTTGTAGCTAGGAGATAGGTATGGGTTCCTATAAGCTCAGAAAATCTTCTATCACAGTAAGTAACATTTGTCATTTAAATTAGCGCGCGCCCTCGTATCTCTCCAGATGTCCTCCCTGGTTCTGGACTGGTGGGTCCCTCAACACCAAGCAAAACATCGCTTACCACTCCAGCCAGCAGCCAAACCTCAAAAACAAGACTTCCCAAATATGTGTCTATGGATGGCTAACACCCACCAGAACTTCGACAACCTTGGAGGCAAGCACATGAGACATGAGGCGCCGCTACGCACCGTCCTGTTGACACAACCTTGAATGACGGAAGGACTTCAAGAGTCGAGTCGACGGCCAGATTCACATCAAGAAGTGCAATATACCGCATCTTGATCAGCAGGGGAACTTTGTAGCTCGCCACAGTTACGTAGAAGTCCAAGAGTGCACATTTGAACATGCTGTGTAGGTAGAGCTCCAATTGCACTCGATACTTTCTGACTGGAAGCAGTGTCCGCGCTGTCAACGTGCCAGCAGCCTCACATTGGTGACATCTCAGACTTGAAGAAGTTACCGGATAGCTCGGTCGTGATCTGCTCTTGGCAGCCTCATTTGCCGCAAGCTTCCGGTCATGCTCAGCCTCGTGGGCTGGTAGGGACAGTAGGCATAATCGTGTACCGAACCTGCTTGGGAGCAATGATGGCGGAGGTTGTCAACATCAAGACAATACATTATCGATCAGAAGTCACTGGAGAACTACACCTGGGGTATTTATCGCGGCGCATAAGTATAGAATGTGGAGTGTGGCAGCCGAGGCCGCAGATGATCTCGGCGGTGTCTTTCTGCCAGCGTCAGCAAACACGCCGCGCATTCAACCCGCTTCATTCGCTTCTCATCCTCAGTCACACGCCTCGTTTATTCTTAGCATTGGGTTGTTTGCGTGTCCCCTGACCTGCTTCTGGTCCCATTCTTCTGCCTTGTATCACAATGTCTTCTCTTGCATAGCTACTGCGGAATTGTTAACCTGTGTACCTTCGAACCCTCTGATTCCTATACCCCTCGTCCGCCGCAATGGTCGGATATCGCGACAACGCAGATGATCCCGCATCCGAGACTCTACCTCTCTCGGATGAAGAGACAGCGCTTGGGGCCCGAAGCCCAGAGTTGCACGTCCAGTCTACCCCGGATTCACCCTCCTCGACCGCGCTCCCGATCCCTGTGTGGCTACGAGAATCGGCCAATTCCTTCAAGTACAAATGGGTGCCCCTACCTCTGCGAAAAGCGGGCAGGGCAATCGTAACATGGGTAAAGGGTCCGGTTCCTCCCCGAGTTCTCAAGATTGAGCCAATATACCCCAAGATTCAGCAAGCGCCTATCAGACTGTTGGATAGATATGCGCCGAAGAAAAAACACCGAGTCATCCTGCTCATGGCACTCTACGTTTGCTGGTTTCTTACGTGGTCGCTCATGCTCAAGAATCACTCTACCTCTGGGTTCATCAAGGGATACGGCAAGCCGAGTAATCTGTGGTGCGGCGCCAGTTTCTGGAACGAAGGCAATGGATGCGGATTGAATGGGAATATGTGTCGGCCGTTCTCGTCGGCGCATTTGACCTTCCGCTGTCCTGCGAATTGCAAAGGCACTCATCTCCTGGAAGAACACATTGTTGGGAACCAGTCATTGCGGTATCAAGGGTTGGTCGTGGGCGGGCCCAGACCTGACGAACCCGACTCTATGCCTGTCTATCGAGCAGACAGTTTTATATGCCAGGCCGCCATTCACGCGGGCATCGTGACCGAAGCCTCCGGCGGTTGCGGAGTGGCCACGCTCATCGGATCTCACACAAACTTCCCGTCCACCAAGGCTAATGGGATTGAGAGTACGAGCTTTCTGGGGACATTCCCGCGATCGTTCACCTTCCAACGCCTTTCGGCGGCTCAAGCCACATGCCCTACGGACTCGCGATGGCCTCTCTTTGTGGTCACGGCTGTGGCGTTGGTTGTTCTCTCCATATTCACCACCTCGCCTGCTGTTTTCTTCTTCAGCACCTTCGTGGTCATGTTTCTCCACGTCGGTCTCGTCTCGGACCCGCCCAATACCGCGAACGTCTACGAAGCAATCAGCAAACTGGTGGAACGTCTCCTTCCCGCGTCGTTCATCACCGTCATCCTCTATCGCGTCGCCGCGCTGCCACTGCTCCGCGACCTAACTGCCCAGATCGAGAAGACGGTGCTGTACTTGGGGTTCTGTTTTATCGGCGCGCTGAACAACTATACTTTCGCCCCCCTCATTCCCATAGAACGGCTGACACCACGCGACCTGGCACAACCCGGCGCTCCATTCGCCCTTGCCCTTATTGTCACCATCATCCTGGCCATCGTCATTTCGCAAATCCACTTCATCCGCATCTCGGGCAACATGCCCAAATACCTCGCCATCTACGGAGCCATGGTTCTGACGTTGATCATTTTCCTCTTACTACCCAACCTACGACTGAGGATCCATCATTACATTTTAGCAATGGTTTTTATGCCTGGAACATTCACTCAGACACGCGCCTGTCTAGCCTACCAGGGATTGTTGCTGGGCCTGTTCATCAACGGGATCGCGCGTTGGGGGTTCGCATCCATCATCCAAACCCCCGCTGCGCTGGGGGAAGCGAACGGGGGTGGCGGCAGCGGTTCGCCCGGGTCGTGGTGGGGCGCGAAATCACCCAATGTGACAGCCGTCGTGGCGCCAGATATCTCCAACATTACATTCAACTGGGGGCCACTGCCCAAGGACAGCGGGGTCGACGGCGTGAGCATCCTGATCAACGACGTCGAGCGGTGGCGCGGGTACACGGACGAAGAACTATACTGGGACCCCGATGGCGTGACGTTGAAGAGACGGCACGAACGGGGCGACACGGACGATTCCCTGGAACCCGAGTTCTTCAGGTTCGCCTGGATGAGCGGGTCCGAGACGGGGCTCTACTCGCGCGTCGGACTGTGGGATGAACACGGACAATGGCACGGGCCGGAAGAAGGGACCACCAAGAATATGGGGGTCGGGGACGAGGAGGACGACGAGGTGAGGAACTACGGAGGACCGTTTGACTTTGTCGACGAGGCCGAGGAGCAAAGATTGCACGAGGTTGCGGAGCAGCAGCAACAGCAGCAGGAGTTGTAGCTCACGCCAACCGTGCCTCTTGCTTACTGTACAACGTGAGTTTTACGCAAGTATCTGTCGGAATTGGACATTGGAAAGTGGAATTGGATATGAATATACATATATACCCCGCGGAAGAAAGCACGCACGAACACACGCACGCGCGAATGGAGCCGGTACAGTACTCCTGTCTCTTCAACCCATCTGACGCTGCCGAAAAACCACTCTGTGTAAAGCTCGGTGTTCGCCGTATCCCTAAAAAAAAAAAACCAAACGTATCTTAACAATGACAGTTTTGGCGAATATTCGACACAACAATCTATTGACAAACACTCAATACAACGTGTTTT